CAGTGTTTACAAGCTCTTTTCTGTTTTCAACCTGCTACTCGGTATAACTGATTAAAGGGCAACAGCCACCATGAAGCTCACTGTCGCTGTTGCTGCAGTCTTCATCGTATGTTCAGTCGTAGCTAGAGTGGTCAAAGTCCAACTCATCATCCTGTACCTTGCCCATGGCACATTTCACGTACTCGCCATGCGTAGTCTAAACGGCCCACGCCCGAAAGTGGCCTTCTGGGACGACCCCGCCAGTCCGGAAGACTGGCAAAAGTACACAGCAAAAGGCGGTGCGTTGATGTGCGGTCTAGAGGGCTCCGATCAGACCGCTGGCCGTCTAATGGGAGACACACGTCAGCCGCCTTCAGCAGCGAGCAAATTCAACGGAGATCTCCAGACCGAACTCCAGGACTGGTACTGGCGGCCAGTTCATCCTGCGACATACAGCTGTAGTATTTCGCAGCACTGGCAGATTCCCCATGCAGTGGAATCCCTCGGTCTAAGCGGCACATCGAAAGCACAGGGTGGAGACAATGAATGCTTCAGGACGGAACACTGGGATCCAGAGCGTCGTGATGACGACGGCAATCAGATTCCTGCCGTCAACCAGCGGTATACAGTTCCTGGATATTCGAAGCAATACCGCGTAGGTTCTCCGTAAAACCCGGGCTGATCAGCTTGCGCTAACAATGAAATAAAACTAGGCAACAAAGGCACACTACGAATTTGGCGTCAACACAAAGGCTGGCGCTATACACGGCATTTACCTAGAGGGTCCACAAGCTTCGGCAAAAGGTCTTTGGGGTAAATTGCCCAAAAAAGACGAGCTTCCGGAGTTACGCGCATTCTCCGATGTGATTTGGGGCTATTGGAATCGCAATAATCCGGACATCAAGAACATCCGCTATTTCTTCATGGTCGGTATCTCCAACGACTTGATGAATGAGCTTATCGCATCGAGCCTAACAAACAAGAAAGCCAGACTCGCCAAGTGGCCGGGAACTGAGTTCTCGACTGCTACAGATGAAGGACATGCGCTTCTCGGTGAGTGCAATAGTATAGTCAAGTGGCTGCAAATACTGACAATGGCTAGGATCACCAAATGGCGCCGCGTTCGCGTACTTTCTTATGCAACACAAAGCTCAGCTTGGTCAAAAGACTATCACCAAGATCACGGTCTTTCGACCGGACAACGATGACGACTTGGACTTTGTTGATGCCTCTCTGGTTTTCCATGTCGAGGATGGCCCGGAACCACCACCTGACGCAATGGCTGGTACTGACACGGAGGATGCTCATATTGTACGGAAGAGTACTACGGCCAATGTCGATAATAAAGACGTCGTCCAGGTCCATGAAGTCTACATGTAATCTTGTACGCTAAGTGGAGCGAAGTCTGTGTGCCTTCCCTAGGATGCGTAGACAGACTTACAGAAGAATGTAATGAGATGAACAGAATTACTATGCAGGCGATCGGGTAGGTTCTTCCGCTCCACAACTTTCACATTAGTGCGCAATTTGGCCTGAATAATTCCAAATACAGAGTAGCAGATTACGCTTTACCAAATGTATTTTCGTAAAATTGAGAAGGGATTGTAGCAGTGTATCATGACGGTGCCGGCCAAGAAGTGCGAAAGGTCCAGATTTAGTGTGCTAAGTCAGCCACCTTCTTTTTGACAAAGCCTGACGCGTGGGTGCAGTACTTCATCTCAATGAGGAGGGCAGCACGACGTGATGGCGTGATGTTGGATTCAGTACCATGTCGAGATCGAGTAATGAAGATGATTGCAAGCCCATTTGGGCCCTGTAATGAAGATCAATTGCGTTGTGGAAAGAAGGCTGGGAAATGGGACGAGTTGTACGGCTATCGGTCGCTTATGTCATCAATCCCGAAACATCCACGTGGATCCCGGTGTCGCAATCCTGACCCGCTCCGGCCCACCTACATCCAACCGCCAAAAGTAGTTCACGATGCGAACATTGCGCAGATCTCTTCGGATGGCCGTCTGATCTTGCGTTCTTCTCCACTCACTCGCCAAGTGATGCTAGTGTTGGGATCTCTGCTGCCGAATCTTCTTCGGGCCCCGATAGAGCGACATACCTATGATCATAAGTCGTCTTGTTCGATCACACATAGCGTCCTGCATCTAGTGCGTACCTGCTATCGCATATTATGAGGCTCACTGAAATATAATGTGAGCCCAAACGAGTCAGATAGGGCTTCATATTTGTCCCCAATGTGGCTGCCAAGCCAAGCGGAACGTGTGAAACGAACTTCTGACGCTGCGGCCCTCACGAGGAATGATCTATCTGTACCAACGCGCGTGTGGGAGGCGGATTAACTTTCACTATGGAACGTTGACAGCAGTGGCAGCGGTTGCAGACGTTGAAGACATTGACAGTTGGTGCAAGCGCACAGCAGTATCTCAGCTGCACCTTTATCTTTGAATCAGGAAACCTTGAAGCCGAGAAAGAGTGATTACGCAGTACTGAAACGAAACAGATTATTGGAGTCCTTTGTGAGAGCTCGCTTCCCTGCAGTGGGCACCGGCTATGGTCCCCGTGAACCTCTGGTTGAGCCCCGAAACGAGGCCTACGTTTGATCTCTCGGAGATCGAACCATGACCCTAAAGCCCCGCGCCTAATTCCGGCATATTCCACGAACGCATTCGGTTCATGAGGCGCGGCTTTGTACGATTCAGGAACCCGAGGGTCATGTTCCCAAGCAATCCCGGCAGCGTCCATTGGTCGCTTGCAGCTGATGGGCGCGCTGTTTGTAATCCCAACCTCCAGGTTACCAAACAGTTTCACGCATAATAAAGCCGTGTACTCAGGGCATTGAGCCTTGGGCGACCGGAGGTTTGAGTCGCTAATGAGGCTCTTTAGGGCCGTCGTTACTGATATAGAGAGCCAAGGGTACGGCACTTAGATGCCGGCTTTGTTGCCTTGTTGGTGCCACATTCGTTCATTTTTTCCAAGTTTTTTCTTCGTTTTATGCCTGAGGTATTGATTTTGATCGGACAGCATCATGGCTACCACAGCACCCAACCCGCTCGACCCCAAGTATTCGCCGGGTGCCGAGCAAGCAAGACAGGACATCATGGTCGGCTTGTCAATTGTGATGACGATCATTGGAGGTACATGCGCATTGTCAGGTGTATATGATCGTGGTTACTAACAAGCGCTAGTATCTTGCGTTGCTCTCCGAGTATACACGCGCGGCGTCATCGTCCGGAACATGGGCCCAGAAGATTGGACCATGATAGCTGCTACCGTATGTTGCACCAAAGACCATATCCAAAAGTAAGCTGACGGGTTCTAGGTGTGCACTGTAGTCTTCTTGGTTGAGATCGTAGCGGGCGCAAAAGAGCTCAAACTGGGCTTCAGTGCTATGTCTATGACTCCAACGCAGATGGTGAACAACATCAAAGTATGTCACATACACGTAGCTATGAAACCAAACTGACAGACTAAGCTTGTTCTCGCCATTGTGGTCACTTACAAGTTGATCATGACTCTCATTAAAATATCCATTCTTTTGATTTATCTCCGACTAGGTTCGCGCCACTCTCTATTTATATTTCCCTAAGCTAATCAATCTAGCTGTTACTTCAACATTCAAGCGACTTTGCCAAGGCAGTATCGCCCTTCTCGCCGTATATCAAGTCGTCGTCATCATCGTGGTTTTCACTCAGTGCACGCCTCTCTATAAGATGTGGGACTTCTTCAACAAAGTCGAAGGGACCTGTATTGACTCAAACGTTTTCTACCATGGTAAGAAATCAAACTCACAAACTTGGTTTAGCCGGAAATACTGACTGCTCATAGTGACGTCGATTTTTCACATCATCATGGACCTCTGGATTATTGGTCTGCCCGTCAAGCTCATAATGAGCATACCGCGACCACCACGGGAAAAAATTGCTTTATACATCATCTTCGGCCTCGGGATCGTCAGTCTTCTCGCCTCCGTCCTCCGACTCCAATCCCTTCGTGTCTTAACGCTTTCGAACGACCCCTTTTACGACTCACTACCAATCAATACCTGGTCCATGGTGGAAGTCAACATTGGTATTTTGTGCGCTTCGATACCAACTCTGAAGCCGCTCGTATCCAAGGCACAACGAAACCGTACGCAACACGCGCTCATGAGATCCAGTGAGAGAGCCGAGAGGGTCTCGAATTTTGGAAAGTCGGAAAAATCCGAACAGTTCGAGCAGTTCCAGAAGCCTGAGCAGAGCCAGCCCCCCGAACCAAAAGCCTCGAGCTGGGCATGGCCACGCAAGGAGAAGTCTGATGGCTTTGGAGATGGTGATAACATGCTCATCAGCCTCCACCCTTTCGCTAGCGGTGACAGGAGGTCATACGATATGGAGTGGGAAATGGCGCATCGAGCGCCGCCGGTGCCTCCAAAGGACGGCGGTGACCCACGTGGACCCCCACCTCGATACCCGGATATGGTGCATTCTAAGTCTGAGCTGGCACTTATATGAGACCTTCTCCGGAAAGAAGGTTAACGATCTGAGATTTTGTAAACTATCTGTTTTTTTGGAAAAAGCATTTCGCGTTTCATGCTGTTTTGCACATTAGGGTCCAAGGTGCTGGAATACCGTCGGACTAAGATCATGTGGCGGAATCATGCGACGACTACGAATGCGTCGATGGGACTGATGATGCCGGCTCTGGAAGCGCTGATACTCGCTGGGCTCCATATGAGAGCGAATCGGGATTCCGAGGATTCAGATTCAAGGCACAAGACAATTTACAATTCATTTCACAATTATACACAAGCTCGTGCGAAGCACCATTGCGAGATGAGGATTAAATAAGTGGGTCTATGTGTATGGTATTCGTTGCTAACCACAAAAGGCAAGATCTCAAAATCTCCACTAGACCGCGACAAGCAGCAGCCACGACTATGGCACAACTATCTATCTCTCTCTCCGACCCCAGAATTTCCTATAACGTACCCCACGGGCGAGTTGGCCACCTTTGCCAAGACCCCACCAAAACCACGACTCCTCAACTCTTAAGCGTGATGTCACAATGTAATTACGCTCAAAAGCCTTCAAACAAAAACCAAATTCAAACTATAATTTAAGCTATCCAACAAGACGCGGCTCTTACTTAGCGGCGTACTGCAGCTATCTACGGAGTCTCTCGAAGTACGCTTAGCAATCGACTCGCTAGAAAGATGTTTTAATACGATTATAGGCCTAACTTAAAGAGATTATTAGATATAGTTAGAGGAGAATGTGCTTGTTAAGCATATCCTTAATCTTAATATAAGAGGATTTCCTCCTCGGCTCGCTACTATTAAAGATATAGCTAATTCTTTACAGGCGGAGTGTCACGATACTCCAGCTGGGTCATACTTCGGTAGGCCTCAGGGACCCCTTCGGAGACCCATCGGCCCGAGCCAGCCACAGTCACGTGCCATAGTCGTATATAGCATCTCACTGAATCCTTGATTGCTCCTCAAGGATTCGTCTTAATACAAGCCTATACCTACATCTTAGTGCCTGTTCGAATACTTTTTACACGGAGCGCCACCTAGTAAGTTAGCTTACTACAATTTTTATTTACTGTTCTATAACTACAGTGCGATACTATCGCGATAAGTCGTGGTTTTGGTGGGGTCTTGGCAAAGGTGGCCAACTCGGGCGTGTGGCCAACTCGCCCGTGGGGTACGTTAACTATAAGCTTTTCCCCAACTCTCTTTAGACATACAAGGCAGCAATATGAACTCCGCACCACCTATATGCTCCCCTTACCATTCGTCCACCCCGCTTCCTAACCAATCATCAACACCTCGAAGAAAATCCACGCAATCCAAACACTACCATCTCCGCCTCCTCAAGCCTCTTCGCCCTATGCACAGATGTCCATCCTCGCACGCAACCGCCTAGGCAGACCGGAGTTGCCCGCCTAACAACGCTATTCCTAATTCGCGCATCACAGCCACCTCCTTCCTTGCGCTTACACGCTACATGCGCAACTCGGGGTAGCTAGCGTATGCCACATGCGTCTCAACTGCGTCGCGAACAGCAAGGCGCTTTGTAAAGCAGTGGGCTATGAGAGGCCGATTGGGCTAGGCGTGCTGTCTGCGTGCGCGTCGTCGATGTAAAGATATGGGGGCTTTTGTTGTTGCCTGGGGGATGCGTTGGCGGAGGTTTTGTACTTGAGGTGTAGGTTTGGCTACACCGTCGCGAATTTCCAGACATATACATACGATTGCATAAGTCTCATCTTCAGTTCCAGCCCTACCTACTGCAAACATCACACGAGATCACGACCCCCACTATCGTCATCATGGCTGTGTCTAACGAACGCTTCCTCCGCATCCTCACCCTCTCAAGTAGCGCACTCGCTACGCCTTTCCTCATTGCCACATCCATCGTATCGACAGAAGGCCATGGTTGGGGGTACAGACGCGAGGCAACCGCTTTCTGCTTCGGCTTCATCCCCCTCGCTATGACGGCTTTCGCTTCCTCAGTCACTCTGTACTACCAGCGGCGTCACGGCCGCGTTCCAACTGCCGGATTTGCTCTGCTAGACGGTGCCGCTTTCTGCGCATATATCTCAGTCCTGATTCCTATCTGGGTTGTTGAGGTGAATTATCTCTGGAGTGCGAGTTTGGGAATGTTGGCAGGATATACAACGACGCCGATGATTTTGAACATGTAAGTCTGATCACTTGCGTGGTGTTGTTTTCTTTTTAGTTTGGCCAAAGATCCGCGTTAATGATAAATAGGGTGCTGCACGCATACATCTTCCTCTACAAGTTCCGCGCTATGTGGGCAGTACTTTTTGCCCCGACGATGCATGAATGCCCGAACTGCCATAATGAGTTCATTGTTGGAAAGCCTCAGATCAAGGAGACGAGTCAAGGTGGAGAGAGGTACAGTCTGTTGAGGGGTGAGGAGTACCTCGATGCGGATGCGGATGCGGAGCTTTACGTAGAAGGCGCTGCAAGACCTTCGGAGGAGAGCGTAAGGCCGGAGGGCGAAAATAAGGAGGGGAAGGGGAAGACCATCCTCGATGTTTGAGGGGGGATTGCGCCAGTGTTATAAGACGGGCTGGTCTGAGAGCGACTTTCAAGGGGATTCTAGGAACGGCATCGTTCATGAGGGGCGATATGTTTGTCACAGTTGCTTGGGCGTTGTAGCGGATTAACATGATGTGGGTCACAAGATCGGTGCGCGGGCTAATAAATATTCACATGAGAAGCAGGAACACCCTGCCAGAATTGAATCTCGCCATGCGCATATCCTTGTAAATTGTTATATGCGTGCCCGTATCCAACGCGTTGGAGCAATGCTCAGATCGATTTCAATCTACGACGACCTTTTGCATTTAGGCCCTGCTCCATTGTCCGTTCCAGTAGGATTTGTCGGGAATACTTCATTTTGATCCCACTACAAGTCTCAGTTAGCACACTGTATCACAATTGAATTCTCATGACCATAAGGTAAAACACTTACATGCTCAACGATACATCCGCCCTCCCATCGAAACCGATCAACAACACTTCCAAAGTCGCTTTGATAGTTCACCCAGCTCTGCGGCGACTTGAATGCCGTGCCCAGAACCTTGATCTTCTGTTGATTCCAGATTGGCGACAAAACTTCCCAAGCAGCGTCTGAGCCGTTCTTCACAGAAGGGTTATGGTTCTGTGCTGGTGAGCTGCCATTCCTGTCTCGAATTTGGGTCAGAGTAATGCTTACAATGTAGTCCTTGGCGATGAACGTAAACGCCTTGCTAATATCTGGCTTGCGGATGAAAGCATCCGCGAAGGCAGCAGCGCGTTGTTCGGTTTCCTGAACTGTTGCGCTTGGGTTGCGGACGCATGGTGCTGGCTTTACCGGGGCTGCTTGTCGCTCCTCGATAGCGAATCTGCTGTCCACGGTTGCTGGGAAAGCGGAAACGGCCAGAGGCGCGATGAGTGCGGAAAGGATGATAGAGGCGCGCATTTTGAACTTTGATGTTAAGGTGTGATTTGAAGATCAATTGACTGAATGAGTGCAGGATGGATGCGGTGGTGATGACTAGTAGCTCACACCCATCCTTATATACTACTACCTTCTAATTCTTCATCTGTTGTCTGCCTTGCTATTTCTACTTTCACGGCGTAATCTCGTGTATTAAATTGTGCCTCGTTAATGCGCCTCCTATCGGCTGTTTTCCTGGGAGTTTATCCTCGCCTATTATATCCCGCATGCATTCGCCTAAGCTCAACGGCGTCACCAACCGGCTTGTTTCAGTGTTATGGATACGCAGGTCGGCAGTTGTGTTGTTATTTAATGTTATTGCGCCCCAAGTTAGCGCTGTGGGGCTGAGCAACGTCGTCAGTCATCTTTCCGAATGGTACCGACTTTGGTGGTCACTCGGGCTTGGTATAGTCAGCCGCCCAAAACTACCTAGGTACTGCAGCCAACCGACTTGAAACAACGATGCCACAATTTCGTGATCGTAAGACCAACTATGACCCTTAATTGCTTGGAACGTCGGAAACTATTCATAAAATAAGAAATTTGCATATGTGAATTTGGTTGTTATTGGACCCTTAATTGTGATACAAAGTCTGGTATCAGAAGCTGTGTAGGGTAATGATAAGTTGAAGAGGAAGGGAATGAGTGTCAGCGATGTTCGGGGGAGACATCGGGTTCATATACCATGGTGGGCGGTTATGAAAAAGGCGTCAGTCAAAGATTAGGTGTGATAGATATAGTTTACCAGAATTCTGATAGATAGACGACCAAGCGTTGTTGTGGGGCATAACGATGTGATCGAAAAGATCGCCACCAAGACTATCCTGTATAAAAGAGAAAAATAGACAGGTTTCATGCCGGGGTGACATTCTTGCAAAGTCTTCAATTCGCGCTCTCAATCTCAATATATACAATATAGAATAGCCCAGTTGACCCAAATTTCCCATCGCAATCCTCGCTCTGGATCAAAGAGTACAGGTTTGAGGTGCACCAGGCACATCATCCATTATGCCGTCTCCTTCGTTCCACTGCAGTCATCTCAGTCAGCACAATTCAGTTTAAATAACACAACTGTTGGAAGGCCTTGTACGATCGTACGGTGAATAACAGTAGCTAAGGTAATCTTGTGTATTGGTATTCTGGTGTATGATGATTCTACGAATGTGGGGGCTACGAAGGTATACATAGCGTTGGGTCCGAGTTGGGCCGAAGTAGGATCGAGGCGGTACATTGGGCCTTATTAGGCGACACACCGTGTGTATGCCGACAACAACATTGTTTTCGAAAGAAAGAGATAATCACTCACGTGCTCAACGATGCACCCTCCATCGAAGCGGTAGCGATCGATTGCAGCCCCAGTCCAGATCTTGTACTTGACCCGAACTTCAGATCCCTTGATATCTTGACAGACCATTTCAGGGTGGCCTTCGTTCCAGAATGGCTTGACCTTCCAGTAGGCCTCAATGCCCCCCTCATCGTTGGTGTTCTCGTCATGATTCTACGTTTATCAGCTAACGTGGATGGCAAGCGAGTGGGCCAGGCAAGCGAGTGGGCCACCCCACCAACTTTTTGCATCTACCTAACTTCAGTCAATTATGGCTCCACCAAAACAATCCCAAAACCCTTCTTATGAAGCTGATATACAGCTAGCTATCTCAGCTACTACCCGAAACCAGCTCCAGTCTAATAGAGACGCTGCGCGGACATTTGAAGTCGCCCGAATGACACTCACGCGCCGACGCGCTGGTATACCTGCACGACGCGATTGCCAGCCTAACTCAAGGAAGCTTACCCAGAGAGAAGAGGAGGTGATTATTAGCTATATACTTCACCTAGATCAGCGCGGGTTTGCGCCTACCTACGCAGCTGCACGCGATATGGCTGATAAGCTGCTGGCTGCGCGCGGCGCTGGCCAGGTTGGGCAGAAGTGGCCAGCCAACTTTGTTAAGCGTACAGACAGTCTTCGGACGTGTTTCAACCGAGCGTACGATAGGCAGAGAGCTATGTGTGAGGATGCGACATTAATAAAGAGGTGGTTTAAGCTTGTAGAAGAGATAAAGGCTGAGCAGGGTATCTGCGATGAGGATGTCTACAACTTTGATGAAGCTGGCTTTATGATGGGCAAGATTACAACGCAGCTGGTTATAACAGGATCAGAGAGAAGAGGCCGGCGGAAGAGTATTCAGCCAGGCAATCGCGAGTGGGTAACGCTGATTGCTGCCATCAGCGCTGGTGGCTGGTCAGTGCCACCGTTCCTCATCTTCGCTGGTCAGTACCACCTATCAGCGTGGTATGAGGAGGATATCCCACGCGACTGGGCGATCGCAGTCAGCGATAATGGCTGGACGAATAATGAGCTTGGAGTTGAGTGGCTAAAGCACTTCAACGCTCACACGCAGGCTCGTACTATAGGCGCGCGTCGCCTGCTTATTATTGATGGCCATAGGAGCCACCAATCTCTAGAGTTCCAGGAGCTCTGTAAGGAGAACAATATCCATACGCTCTGTATGCCTCCTCACTCATCTCACCTACTCCAGCCACTTGATGTTGGCTGCTTCTCGCCATTAAAGCGCGCGTATAGCCGTGAGGTGGAGAGCCTCATGCGCAACCACATCAACCACATCACCAAGCTAGAGTTTCTGCCTGCGTTTAAGGCTGCGTTTGATCGAGCGTTCACGCCAGCTAATATCTACTCAGCCTTCCGCGGCGCAGGCCTTGTTCCTCTACAACCAGAGGCTGTTCTATCAAAGCTAGATGTACAGCTGCGTACACCTACTCCTCCAGCAGCTCTACCAGATGCTCCCTGGGTAGCTCAAACGCCGAGCAACGCGCGTGAGCTTGAGGCTCAGTCAAGCCTTATACGTGAGCGCGTGCGCCAGCATAAGAGCTCATCACCAGCTTCGATCATTGAGGCGATTGACCAGCTGAAGAAGGGCGCTGAGGTGATGATGCTGTCTGCTGAGCTGATGCGCGATCGGATCTCTAGTCTTGAGAAGGCTAACAGCGCAGCCTCAGCGCGTAGGCAGCGCTCTAAAAGGCGTATACAGAAGCATGGAGTACTCACAAAGGGAGCTGGAGAGGATATACTAGCTCAAAATGAGGCTGACCAGCAGATTGCTCATGAAGAGCGTCAAGGAGGAGCGCGATCAGGCCTTAGCCAGCGCGCTCAAAGGCGCTGCACCAGGTGCAAGGAGACTGGGCACAACTCGCGCACATGCAACACTAATACTCTTAATATAGAGTAATCTACTGTATCAATATCTAGCAATAATATTATCGCGTTGTTGAGATAAGTCGCTTTGAAGTTACAAAAGTTGGTGGGGTGGCCCACTCGCTTGCCTGGCCCACTCGCTTGCCATCCACGTTATTGTTTCGAGCTACTTTTCCAAGCAAAAGAAGATACTTACAACAAGATCCTTGGCGATATAAGAGAACGCCTTGGTGATGTCAGGGTGGGTAAGGTAAGCGTCCACGAAGGCAGCAGCGCGTTCCTGGGTCTGTTGCGCAGTGATTGCTGGGTTACGGACACAGGGAACCGGCTTGACATTCCAGCTTGCGACCATTTCCTCCCAGGTTTGCCCAGCTGTTGGGAGAGCAAGGATGACGAGAGGTGTATTGAGTATCGCGAGAATGATGGAAGCGCGCATTTTGACTCTTTGTTAATGACTAATTTTGCAGAAACCTGGTAATGGATGTGTTGAAAGTGGGGAACCTCAAAATGAATGAAACTGAACAAAAGTGACGGTGACGATCAACGTCCTAGGGTGCTTGGGAGTGAATGTGGTTGAACTGAAGTGTTGACGATACTGAGTAGTTCTTCACTGTCCTTATATTCTATCGCCTTTGTGGTCACAACATCTTCCATAACATTTCATGACCCCTTAGCATTTTCCCCATGGCGCAATCTCATTGCAATACGCGAGTATCATCCTCTTCGGTCGTATTGCGGGCTTTAATCGCCATCTATAATGGGCCTGATATCGCTTGGGCCAGATGGATTCCGCACATCGCTTGTTTCATGACTGCACTCACGAACGCAGACAGTTATGTTTTCTCAGAGCAACAACATCGTCCTTCGAGCTATAACCTTTGACTACCAGACGTCTATCGTATGATTATTCTCAGAAACAACTCAGAAAACACCAAAACTGTTCGAATTAAGCTTAGAATGTCATTGAAATCTGACGATACGAAAGGCGTGGACTTGATACCCACGGTGAGACGAATGGCGGATCCTTCCAGAACTCCTTGTGAGAACCAGCGGGTGGCGGCTTCTGTAAAACATACTGAGTCGACCACGAACAGCTACCGTGAGTTGTTTGTTCATCGGGAGTGGCCCAATCGTGCCCTCGGATCGCGTGTGTTGAAACATGTTTCGTGGCCTTACGAAGCCTATACGAGAGCCAAATAATTGCCGTGCACGATATTATTGATTGGAGCAGCCCAGACTGAACCGCTGGGTGCAAAGTATAACACCTGCAGACACTGATTGTACACCTTCGTCTCTGGAATGACCTGGACGTATAGGAGATCTACCGGTACAAAGCATAACATTGACTTGTACTGATAGCATTAACCAATCGACTTGGAATGCACATATACGTAATGAGAATTCGGGCTCGTTTAGAGCTTTGTATCGGCATTTTCTAGGTTACGTTGCAGATGCTACACATGCTGCATATGCTCGAGCAAGGTGGGGGAATACAGTCAGTGCATCTATCTAACTTTGTGCGCACGACGTTGGAAGTATTGTTGGTGATGTATTCTCTGCATATCTATCCAGTATGACTACAACTAGGTGTCTTGGTGGAGCTGCATGCGCGGACGAGGCTCTCATGGACATGACGCAAGCAGATGACTAACTAACAAATACCAATTCGGGCAACAACGATTGCGCCCTTTCCTTGCCTCAGATACACCAAGCCCGCGACATCCCCTGGTCTCAATATCCCCCATTCTTTACGCTTCGTATACCTAAACACACCCCTCAATCGGCTCCGTGACCGCGGAGGGTGAGTGGAACCTCGAGCGCGACCGCGACCAGTGCGTCGCGAATGAAGGACCAGTGCTGCACTGCAAGTTCGCGGCTCAGTATAGAACGACCGGGACGTTTGCGGCAGGTATCTCCAGCCTGTTATTTGAAACTAAGGACCTTACTGCTCGCGCGATGAACCTTGAACCTTGAACCGCTGAATCTCCGCATCTGGATCGCCCACTTCGATCTCAGGGACCGTCTCCGCTGGCCGGGATCCTTGGTCTTCCTATCAAAGTTGAAGATAAATGTGTTTCGCCCGCTTAGCCACTGCTTATCGGCGAGAAGACGGACGAGTTTTGCCTTTTCCTGAGTGCGCGAGGCTGGACCTGGACCTGGATCTCCGGTGTGAGGCCCAGGTCGATGCTGTAATCCAGGGCTGATCATAATGCGGGTCACGGACATGACAAAGAGGTCGGTTCTGCATGGCAGCACATCAGGCAACCCAGGGGTTGCCAATGATTTAGAAAGATTCTTGGGCTTTTTGGACGATGGCTTTGCGTCAGCTGCGAACTTCCGGCAGTACCTCCGATCCCTGAGCGGCATGAGGGCAATTCCCTTCTCATCGTAAAACTGGGTGACATGATTATTGTATGCGAGTTTAATACCAGATTCAGATATCGTTATTTTCACTCCCGAGCTTTTCATGTTCGCATATACTTTTGATACCCATCTGGCGCAGCACTCCTTCCAGGAAATGCCCTCCACATCGACCCGCAGCGCCAATCGCGTATATTTCTAGCAGCTGTCTGGTTAGAAGACCAGTCCGTGAGGCTATTGATGTGGTCATAGAAATGTTTTGTCTCGGCCTGTGTATACTGCTCTGCGACGGTTTCTCCTAGTCTATGAGTGTTGTCGTCTTTTGTGTTCAAGTCGGTCTTACGAGCTGTAGTCTTCGACTTCTTTGCCGACTGACCGCCTTCAATCTCGTCGCTATCCTCTATGATTTCCACCTCGTTTGTGGCGTCCTGCGCGGAATTAGGTGGACCGTCGCTGGCGGCAGACGACGTAGCCGCCTGGGGCTTGCGCTTGCTTGCCGTCTCCAGTGCGTGCGTATATCGTCCCTAATAAACTTTTGGTTAGTTCCCTTGTTTTTCTCCATGTTTTTGTGTTGTATGGAGCAGTGGTTCGCGTTGCAAGTGGAAACTCAAGTAAGAGTTGGTGATCTGGAGGAAGCGCTCAATGATCTGCACTATACTAAGGGCGCGGTACAGGCCAAAAGCGCTTTGTCACATGGAAGACAAATGTTCAGAGTCTGACTGTGCTCGCGCGCTTTGGACAATAGTGTTGTGTGTGACGTAGCCATTATTCGGGGGAAGTAAGCGTGAGTGTTAGTATGAATAAAAGTGGATGAGCAGATGGTATTATATTCCGTTTATAGACCGTACATAAATCGCTGTAGATGACGGATATACTGCGCGTCGGCTATGCAATTTCATACCCGCCTTCGCTTTAGCCGGGGCCGAACTTATACACGATGAACTCTCCAGCATTAACCTCCATCGCTTGCCTCTCCAGATCTGCCAACTGCTCCTCCAGTGGATCTGCAATATCCGCTCTCCCCGTCTTGTTTGCTTCCAACCACTCGTTGTGCTTTTCTTGGATCGCTACTTTAAGCTCCTCGGGTATGGGCACCCCAATATCTTGGTGGACAACTGGATGATCTTCAACAGATGGACTCTCGAAAGACCGATGGTCGGAAACCGGACTCTCGCTCCTAGAAGATTCTGCTGCTCAAAGTTAGCCATCCAGCGACAGAAACAGATTGGAAAATCAACATACCCGAGCTCGCACCCGCAGTGCTCTCATCATCCTCCTCCTCAAACCTCACCACCCTCGAACGCCTCACCCGTTTCTTTCCAGGTCCCGCCACCCACCCCGCCAATGGATCAACCACCATCTCATCTGCCACTCCTCCCGCTCCTGCCATGACCAAATCATCCTTCCCCCACCCCCTCCGTATCAACTCCGCCTTCTCCTCAGAAAAATACAGCCCCCATGGTCGGCGTACCTGTTGTTCATTGAACCAAATCGGACCATACTTGCGCATGATCTTGTAGACTCCAGAGGGCGTGTAATGCGTTCCGTAGCCGGAGGCGTTGTAAAGAGCCATGACCTCAGATCGATTCCGGTTTTCGAAGACGCACCATTGGATTACTGCGAGGGCGGGAAGGGGGACGGTGGAAGTTAGGGCGGTTGCGAGGGGAAGGTGAGGGGCTGAGAGTAGGAGGGTCGGTTGCGGTTGCGGCTGTGTATGGGCCATTCTGCTTGCTGGTGCTGGGCGCTGAGTTGTGTTGATGTCGTAGTGCCTTCGATTGTGTCGCTATGCGATGTAGTGGAGATTGTAGCTATCTACTTGAGCTTTATGTGGTCGGGCACTGAGTTGCGACACCTAACTTGACCGTAGACAGATGTAAGAATGACAGACGTGGGGTGTCAGTCAATTGGGGGGTAATGTGGTGTTGGTTGGAACACTACTGCGCTGGAACTTATACCTTGTGGCAACCAAACACGTGCTACTGGCTTGCTTTACTAAGCCAACCACGTGCTGATTAGATTGCGAGATTCCATCTGGTCCCGCGTGGGAACGAGTGAAAGTGAAAAGTGCGGGGGTCAATGAAAAGTTAGCACAGCGCTGCTTCGGTGAAAAGCAGGTGAGTGGGTGATTATTGTCGGTTTAGGTAACCATGTATAGTGGCGCGGAAGCAAGAGCTTGATATTGATATAAGACTTTTCCCCGAAAAAGTTTGGCTATATAAAGAATAGCTGTGATGTAATAAAGCAGCAGGTCGCGGTCAGGAGCACACCATGTACAAGAACCTATGTTCATTCACTCTCATATCTCATAGAGTCAGGATTCTTCCTGTGGAAGAGAGAAGAAGAACTTCCCATACGTAAATCGACAGAACTGAATGTCAGAAAATCATATATGCACTCAATCCTCAGCTACATATATACACCAGAAGCTTGCTATACATACCACCGTCCCCTCCCACGTGCCCCTCCCACGCGACCCATCAGCCATTATCCGCACCCCGCCGTCTATCTGGTATCAAGAGCATAACACACAAAGCCAGCCGTACATCATACCAAAAGCCTATAGCAAACCAAGTCAAGCGAAGCAAAAAGTAAAATAATCTTCGAATTACAAATTTGATCTTCGCGAACGAAAGATGATAAGACATTTATCGTAAAAAGAACCGACTGACTGCCCGTGTGGTATTCGCATGAAACAAAACCCCCTTTGAAAAAGATGAGAAAAAGATGATACCACACAACGCGCGCACACAAACCCTCCATGTATGTAGCCAACGCCTCGCTTGAGAATAAAAAGAAGAGTAGAAAGAAAAAAGGATATAACAGGAAAATGCGAAAAATGACGATGAGGTATCATGCATATACTTAGCAATCCGTCACCTCTCCAAGCGCCTCCCCGTCGTCGTCATTGTCGTCTCACCACACCTCCCTGGACATCATCCGCCAATCGTCAGCGGAACCCCAGATTAGTACCTCAGTTTGCCCAACAAACTGAAGCAATACGCACACTCCCTCTCACTCTTCATCTGAATCATGAACACCCTGGCCCTCGCACCCAACACACCACCCGTCTTGCCCACACCACCAACCTGACCATCTTCATCAACGTGATCCTCCCATACGCTAACTGCGATACCACTGCGCGCGACGCGCTCGAAGCAAGTTTCCGAAAGCGTAACGTCGAGCAGAACTTCACCCATTTTCTTGCCGGTGAGTAGGATACGGCGCTCTTGTCTATGATCCCTCGTGCCGGGGGCGCGTTGGCGCGAGTTTGTGGGCGAGGAAGGTACGCTTGGGTTGGGGGAAGGCAGCATAATCGTTAGTCTTGCGCCACCCATGTCACGCCATTTCTTAAGAGACTCTCGCTCGTAGAGGCGGCATTTTGTATTTGTGATGCCGGCTGGTGCACCGGGGGCGCGCGTCATGTCGCCTGTGGGTGTTGAGGCGCCGGAGCCGGGTCGGGAGCCGCTGTCGAAGGAACCTGAGCTGCGGGATCCGAGGGTTGAGTTGCGGATGCTGAAGATACCGCTCTTGCCAAAGGAGAAGCGGCCTAGGGCTGAGCGGAGCGCAGAGTTCATGGTTCCTACGGACGACTCGGTGGCGGCGGAGATGGAGGCCGCGCGTGTGCTTGACTTGCGGTAGCTGCTTCTCCTGCCCAACGTTCCTCCAAGCCATCCTGATGACGATTCTGCACTTGTCCTGGCTGCGTTGCGCTGGTCCATCGCCTCGGCCCAGCTTGATTGTCCATAGGGTCCGCGTGCATTCTGAAGTGCAATGTACGTAGGGTTATTGATACGCGACTGGTTGATCATGGCGTACAATTGCGAGCATTCAGCTGCACTGCGACTCCTCAACATGATGTTGTTGCCGGCTTTGATGCGCGATTCTCCAGTGGGCGGTGATCGAATGGAAATATCAATGGCCGTTGACTTTCGCAGCGGTACAAGAGGGGTAAGCTCAACCGCAATAAGGGGAGCACCTCCCTCAGGCGTGATGATCTCGTCGCCGTCGGCCAGGAAGGGTTTTGAGTGGTTGATTGAGATCTCATAGACTTCAATCTTTCCTGGCGTGACGACAATGCTACATTCGTCTGGGTGCAAGCTGTCCCATCGGCCAGCCTCAGACCAAGCAAAGAGGGATGCGATGGTCCTGGAAGCTTTTGCAGAGTTTCGAGGAACAGCTCGGTAGGGCGTGTTTGACGCGGATTGAGATGGTGTGATGGTGCCGTTGGGAAGGGTGTAAATCGACCCAGGAGGAGAAACCTTTGTAAAATCCTTGGGCTCATCTTCTGCCTTTTCTGCTGTTTTCGGGCGGCTTGCTTCCCTTCCTGTGATAAACGGACGTGAGCTGTATCCGCGAGGTCCAATATACCCAATTGGCATCAGCGGCATGGGCACATCGTCATCCAGTTCGTCTTCTGATGATTCGGAAGTAAGGCTCTCCTCGGACCCCTCCTCTTTTTCGCCTTCGGAGTGTGTATCTTCCTCGCTCTCGCTTTCACTTTCACTCGACTCTTCTGTGCAAGTCGATGGCTCATACTCGTGCTTCAAGGGTGATGATGAGCGTCGTTTGCCCTTGAATCCAGGTAGTAGCGGAGTAAGGATAGGTGTCTTGCTTCCCTTCAGTGTCACAGGCGTTGCCGGACTAGGTGATCGATGTGGCGGGGTCGGCGGTGGTCCCTCACGCTCTACTTGGGGCTCCTCGATGTCATCAAGGACAATGTCGCGACTCTTCTTTTGCAACTTTGACGGCGCGGAGCTTGGCTTCTCGTGTGCGTATGTGACGTCCACTTCTGAATCGCGGGCCGGTGTTGATTGCCCACTTGACTTCCTTTGCCTTGGGATACTGGGCAGCTCTAGCGAAGGTACAGAAGAGACACGCCTATGGGCTTGAGGACGTTGAGGAGATGGTGGAGAGCCTGGTGGCGAAATCTCTGAATCTGTAATGGTACGATTGTCTGCTTCGGATTCATCAGAGTCATCATCGACTTCAGAGGTTGGCATCCAGACACTGTAGCCCTTGTTCGACTGCGAAACCGCCGAGGCAGGAAGTGATTGGGGTCGTCGCTTGGTAGATTTCCTACGTGGCTTGGGGCTCTCAACTACGGGCTTAGGGTTCTCAAGTTCGACCGGGTCTTCAAGCGTAATCTGTCGGGAGGCTCGTGCTGACGTTGGTGAAGAGGTGGGATTTCTTGACAGCCTCTTTGCCCTTGTTCGCTTCAGGCTCGAAGGAGAACCAGTGTTGGCAACCCGAACTGCTTCGTCAAAGCCGCGTGGTGTTTGATCGGGGTCGTTCTGAAGTTGATCCGCCGTGTACATGGATTCAATGGGTGTGGTCGGCTCTTTCCCGTCATATTTCTCGCTCGTGAAGGAACTATCGCGGCTTGGTGTCGTAATCGGTGACACAGGGCGTGATTTGTTGCGCTTGTCGGAGGTGTCGTAATGCCATACTTTGGATACTTCAGTATGTTGTTCACCAATGGGAATCTCGATTTCACGAGGACTTGGTGTTCTGCTCTTCTGGGGAAGCGTTGACTCTGTTACACTTGAAAGTTGAGAAGAGTCGTGACTGCTCGATGGTCGTTGCATATTGACAGGTGCATAGGGATTCTTCTTTACTTCGGCGATCTGCGGAGGAATGGGGTTGAGACCAAGCATCTGCACCCACTCAAATCCGGCTTGCTCGTCATCGGATATCAGCGACATGAGTTCGCTCCATTCGGATCCGTCCGCTTGGTTTCCACGGATCATGACAATGATTTCGCCCTTGAGGTCGCCATTGCGAGCTGACGCGTGGCTCAATTGAACAGGCGGGAGGAGCAGCCATCGGCCTGTAGGATCGACTTCGCAGAATAAGAGGTCGCCTCCGGGTCCCGTACCTGGTGCGTTGTCACGGAGTAATATCTCAACGCGACAACTCATTTCCTGACCAGTTGAATGATATAGATGTAGGTCGAAATGATCTCTGGCCCGCACGCATCGTGTTGGATCAACTCGGACGCCCGCAAGAGGGGCGAGACTTCGAGGATCGCGCGCGCGAGTGGGATCGACATTGGCCGCGGCCTCGTCCTCAAGGCGGGCCTGCTCGTCGTTCGACCGTTTGCGTGCCGCCGAAACTAGCTCTTGGAAGATGCTCGACGTCTTCTCTACGTGTTCAGACGGTTTGACATGGTTGATGCCCTAAGATAGGATTAGTATTCTGTTCCATTTCAGGAGTGTATAAGTCCAACGTACCTTCAAGGTCTTGGCTAGGTACTTTAATCGTACGAGTGGACGCTTGAGCATATAGGCGACATCAACACGTTCGCCTTCGCTGTTGACCACATATCCTTCAGCGTTTCGGGGCATGCCTTCGTCCCAGGGCGCACCATCTTCTGGCCCATTAACAACCTTTGCAGGCTTGAATGGGTCGTCGTCTGCAGGGGCGAGACTGATTACGACATCTTGGAAGCCAAGGCGCCACACGGAGATGTAATCAGAGTACACACGCTGTGCACTTTGAGCCCAGGATACAAGCTCATCGGAGTCTTCTCTGGGGACACGTTTGTGGAGGTTCTTGAGCTTCTCGAGGCAGACACCCATATCGACAATGGGCTTGGTAACCTCACTTGGGTCTGCCTTTGATGAACGAGAGAATAGCCCGGCAGCAATGGCGGACTCAGACTTGGAGAGAACGCAGCTGAGGAGGACAGGAATGACACCGTCAACGAGGGTGCGAAGCTCTCGCATGTATTTGGCTTCATCGGAAGAGAGCTCTTGCATGATGTCCTCAATGGTGGCAGTTGCCAGGCGACTTCTGTTAGTACGGATACTGCGAGCAGAGACGATGCTCTTCGAACCTCCCGCTTTGGGCATGGATAGCACGGAAATAAGATCTGCATGGCGGGCGAGCTTTCTTCTTCTGGTACTTTGGCGACTGATAATGGTCGAGGTTTCGGGGTTAAAGTAGGAACCAACTTCTGATGGAGGTGCTCGCGAGACAGATATAGTATCATCTGTGATGTCCGTCACGGTATCTGAGCCTGAAGCCTTTGAGCGCCGCGATGATTTTCTTCTCGTTCCATACGAATCGGCAGAAACAATAGTTGAAAGGCGTTTGCCACTGGTAGGGTACATGCGCGGACCTAGGATTTGGCGCGGTCGTAATGGCAGTGGCATGAGGTCAATAGAAGCTGTGTCGGCGGAGGAAGAAGGCTTCCTCGACGCTGTTTCTAGATCCAAAAAGTCGTCCTTGGGCATGTCGTCTATTGACGTGGACTCGCGAAGAGGAGAGGACATGGATCGGCCTTTGGTGGGCGAATATTGACTGCGCCTTGCACCACGTCGCTTCAGTGATGGAGTTGGAGTGACTGATATTTCGCTATCTTGATCCTGTGTAGTTATCTCGGTGGTGGTGTCTGAGATGATGGTCGATGGGGCTTCTTCCAGGTCCTGAGTATCTACCGTCATCTCGCGACTGGACTGTCGGCGCCGTCGACGGCTGCTACCACTACTGCTGCGGCGCGATTTCGTAGCCTGCTCATCCCGCGTGGTCTCAGTGGATGCACTGACCTCTGACTTGGATGGCTGCTCGGGAGAAGATACCGAGTCTTTCGACTTCCGCCTGCGGCTTGACTCCTTGACGGGTTCATCCTGTGTTGCTCTTGTGGATGTAGAGACCTCTGATTTGTCGGCCTCGGCAGGGAGATCGAGAGAAGAAACGGAGTCCTTGGACCTCCGCCTGCGACGCGAAGGCGACTTCTTGACGGGCTCCTCTTGTGTTACGTCGGTGGATACAGTGACTTCGGACTGCGCAGCTTTCAACGGTAGGTCTACGCTCGACAGAGATTCCTTCGATCTCCGCCTACTCCGCCTGCGACGAGGTTTGGGTTCATCCAACGGGTCTGGGGTGCTACTGAGCCAGGCTTCTAAGCGGCTTCCCGACGGCTTCGTTGGGGATGTCTCTGGAGCAACTGGCACAATCAATGGCGCAGCTGCTTCCTCTTCGGTCCTAGGATAGGACCTGCGGCTCTTTCTTCGTGAGATTTTCGGTGGTTGTCTGAGCGCTTCGTCGGCGGCACGGTCGCCCTGGCTTCTCGGTCGCCGTCTTCGCCGTCTTTCTCGCAGCTCATCGTCTCGCGGTGATGTTATTCGGCTCTCCAGTGCCGATGTAACTCCGCTCTCTGCGTACTCGACTGTGACAAGATTGTTGAGGTCCTCGCTCAGCGCTGTGTCCGACACACGTCCTGGTCTCCGAGGGTATCGCGCGAGGTCTTCTGCCGATAGTGACCCCCGTGGTGATGTCCGCGCACGCCGCCGGCTGGGTCGCATCCGCACAATTTCCATCTTCTCTTTCGGGGGTTGCGGCGACTTTGGCTTGCCAGCCGTCTCGCTCGTCTTGGCTCCCTTTCCGCTTCCTGCGCCGCTGCTTGTCGGTCGGTGGTCGCTCCCTGAGCTCGAGGGCTTCGATGGTCGGCGCTGCTTTGGTAGGGGTCTCGTCTGTCCGGTGCTCCTGCCGACATATTCGGCAAACGGTAGGAGAGGATTCTGTTGTGGTGTGGTGTGTACAATGGGCTTGAGCTCCGGGCTCGCGGGCTTCTTGGGAACGATGCGGGAGGGGCGCACCCAGGCATTTGGTATCGTCTTTGGCTGTGGGCGACCGGCTTCCTTGGTCGGCGACTGCTTGCGCCAGTGCGAGTCGCTGATGACGCGCTTCTTAGGCGCCGTTGCCGAGAGTAGGTCTTCATCGAGTTCATTATGGGTGGCGGGTGTCTTCTTTGCGCTATTCGGCCGCTCTGGACTGGCGCCGACCGACTTCCCCCGCTCGTGTGAAGGCGTCCAGTTGGGCTTGTCATCCAGAGCCTTTGCCTTGGGGGTGGGCGTTGAGGGCGTCGTCTTGGGAGAGGATGCGCCCGCCTTGTCTGCGCCCGCCGCGTCCGGGTCTACGTCTTGCTGCCATCGCTTTATCTTATCGCGCACGTTGGCGGGCTTGTTGATGCCAATTGCCTTGGCAAAGTCCTTGCCGTCCATGCCGGTCTGTTTGTCCGTCGCACCCATATTCTTGCCTGGCGTGCCATTTCTTTTCTGCTCAGCCGAGCTTTCAGGGTCACTGGGCCGGGGGGATGCGGGCATCGAGTCCCGCAATCATTGGCGCTGCAACGGGCGTCGCGGGGACGAGGGGGCTAGCGATTGACAAGACACTGGCAGAGGTGGTGTTTTGGTGTTTTGCACCTATGTGGCTGGCGGCGGTTTCTAGAGTTACGCCGAAAATGCTATCTCCTCACGCTGTGCCTCTCCTTGCGAGGCGTCAGTGAGGGATGTCGGGGTCACGGGGCTACAGGCAACGAGTGTATAGGTGAGTTATGGTGAGAGCTGCCACCCCATAAGGGTTGAATGTTGGGTGGAGTTGCAGTGCTGGCAACGTGGACGGTGTGATGTTTGATGGCCCACTAGGTGTGCTGGTGCAGCCGCCCAAAACCGGACTGAACAGGTCTGCATGCACGTTCCCTGCCACAATAATAATAATGCAAATGAGATCAGGCGATCGTGCTGGTTCCCGATCGCCAAAGCCTCCGGGAGTCTCTCTAGCCTAGGGGCGTCGAGTCTCCGAGTCCAGTTGTTGACGAGGTGGCTGAGACGCTGTTATCTTGCAGCCCAGGCTGTGGCGCCTTACCTTGTATGGCTCGGGAACACCCACGCCTACGTACATCACCACGTTGATCCACGACTCCGTCCGCGTACTTCATGCAGAAGACACATGGTTGTCATTACGGCTACATGTGCGCAATCAGCGAATGGCATCTTGGCCTTTGCCCTGTCAAGCAACCCCGCGCCTCTGATGGCAGGCGACCCATGCGCTATAGCATGCACAACACCAAAGTAGACATGCACATGCACGATTACGCCTTCCAAGTCCAACTTGCTTGTTCTCAACACCTTGTTTTATATCCTCAAAACTAGGTCAATCTCTCGTATTCCAAGCTTGCCAACACAAACGCAGCAGAACCGAGAACGCTATTGTAGACAAGTGGTCGTCCGACATAGTACTGTCATCATCTTAGCATCGGCCCCAGTATCCATTGTCCAGGAATACTCACTTCAAACGTCGCAGTCGAGTTCAAACTGCATACACCCACGGTTCCATTCCACCCCAGTGCAGTACCATTCTCTACGACAAAAGTCTTGGCAATGTACTCGTATGCTCTCGTCGCCGTATCTCTGATAACCGACCGACTAGCCCCCGAAGGGCCAGTAGAATTGAATGCTGTCTGCGGAGATAGGACGCCTAGACGAAGACCCTTGAGCATCGAATACACAAACATACTACTCGCACTACTCTCAATGTAATTCCCCTTCCGCCCCGGCTGATCCATAACCTGCCACCACGCACCCGTCTCGGCGTCAACAGCACGTCCAACCGCCTCCATTAGCTCCTGGAAGCGGTCGGCCATGTATGCGCGGGCGGTGTGGGCGGTGGTTGGGAGTAGCTCGAATGTGTCGATGAGTGCCATACAATACCATCCCAGACTTCGGCCCCAAACATGCGGGCTTGCGCCTGTGACAGTGCTGGTTACCCATACAGCCTTCCTACTGGCATCGTAACCGTGGACTAAAAGGCCAGTCTTGTGGTCGTAGCAGTGCTGCCAGAGAAGATCTATCTGCAACACCACGTCGTCAACCCCAGAAGCCGAGTTGTCGCAGGTTTTGGCGTATGCAGTCATGAAGGGAGCAAAACTGTACATGCCGTCCAGATAGCTCCAATACGGATATACGTAGTACCAAAGCCCATGCTGCGCGTTTCTGGGTTGTAGATCTATGCTCTTTCGCAGCGCATGCAGCGCTTTTTGGTAATTTGCTTTTCCGGGTTCTGTGTAGACGCGTAGTAACTCGTTTCCATTGCTTAGTCGATCCATCGGGAGACTGACGTCGCGTGTTGCATTGGAGACGACTGGAACCACGGAATCAATGCTCTTGGCGATGTACGCGTTAAATTGGGACTTGTGTTCCGGATGTTGAAGAACGATTGCATGGAATGCTTTTTGAGTGAAACCAGCTTGGAGTAGAGCGGAAACTTCGCTCATGTTGGCCAAGACGCCTTGCTTGCGAGACATGATGGACTGGGCCATTTGCAGCGAAAGTGGCTGGGCTCCATGTTTCGTTGTCTGTGGAAGGGCTGATGTGAAGCTGAGAATAGCCAAGCAGGCTGCTAGTGTATTGTATACCTTCATGCTGAGACTCGACCCCAGGCCGTTGGAATCGGGGAAGTAGGTGGATGATTACAGAGACCTCACGAAGAAAGATCGACGAAGGCGCAATGCAGAGTTCGGTTTTCTTTTGCCCAATTGCCGGGTCTCATTAGACTGTGCACGGATCGTATGATACGAAAGGCGAATGGTTCCATCTCATGGTTGACATGGTCTTTGCTCACCAACGTGGCTTGCCCTTCTTCGGCTGGATTCGCGGGCTTTACGTTGTTCGCACATGAGGGGGCTGCAAGGGTCAAGCTTATGATGAGCAGACACTGACGTGCACAGATGACGTGCTTCGATAAGTAACAGTGACGCCCAATGTCCATGCTGCAGTTACAAAGTCTAATTCGTTCTATTGGCACAACCAAAGCCTATCAGTCAAGCGCGCCTCAATTGAAGCATGCCTTCAAATCTAGGGTATCGACATCTATCGTGGCCTGCGTAAGGTCCGGTGAACACATTTAGAAATTAACGCTAAGTAGCCATCTTCCTCCATCTCGCATGCAGCCATTGCGGAAAGGGTGGTCGTTTCCCCGAACCCCTGTTTTCACAATGATGCTCGAACTTGGTTGCAAGTATTGATGTGCTGTTCTACGACAAGCGTGGAGCAATGCTAGTTCCGCTTCTTGCCCATCTTCTCAACAAGCTTTGCCGCGTCATTGACCGCCGCAAACGCGCTCCAGGTAGCCATGACGCTCTGGTACATGAGGTATCCCGGGATGACAATCCAGAAAGCGTTCATGAGGACAAAGTAACCCCAGTAGTAGAACTGCTCGGGGCGCGAGTATGACAAGTTGAGAATGTAGTGGTCGAAGAGCGAGGTTGCGTAGTAGAGGACGTCGCCGTAGAATTGACCGAGCGAGACGATGAGTTGGGCCGAGTAGCGTAGCGGGTGATCGATGGAGATGAGATAAGCACAAAGGAACGATCCGGGGCCCCAGAAGACCTGTGATGGCGCGTGTTAGTGTTTGGGTACCACAACAATGCAGCATAGCGTATACGTACAGCAGTAACAGTCTCCATGCAGAGCACGAATGCATCCTGGGTGAGGTAACGCGAGTCGCTCAGCGCATACTCCTTCCACAGCTGGCCGAACAGATCGTTGAGGCCGCCCATGTTCCTGAAGTTGTAGGCAAAGTAGCCCTCAAAGAACGAGTGTATGCAGCCGCACAGCACGAACCACATGATGGTGGACAAGTCGCCGGTGCTGGCATTGGGTCTCAGACGCTTGACCATGACATACGTGACGCCAAAGATGCCCACGCAGCCCGCAGCGAACATCAGCAGGAGGTCGAGTGTGTCCCATTTGTTGGCCAGGTAGCCCACAATCTCCTTCTCAATGGGGTAGTAAGGGTGCTGACCGGGAACGAAGGAAACGTTTGCGGCGGCCATGGCGGAACAAGGCGATATTCAATCAGATATGAATATGATGATTGTGAATGGATGCAAAGGTACGAAAGAGAGGAGGGAAGATGAGAGCGACGGTAATGTTTCTGGGCAACCGGCTAGTAATGGGGGCACGGCGTGCTTCGTGGTGCCCAGAAGGCAGGACTCAGGGCCCAAAATATTCCGGGGCAGGAGGCGAGCCCTGATTGGCTGCTGCGACCCGTATTGGCGGCAGCGGCAGGGGTTTCAATACGCGACCGCGATTCCCCTGGGTTGGTGTAATGTCAGATGGCGGTGACATGTCTTGCTGCACTGCACGTAGGCATGTGACTGCCATATGAAAGCTTCCTCTCCACGCTCTTTTCTTCCTATCATGGTTCATCTTGTCGTGTCTTTCGTCCGCATCTCATACAGCTTAAGGGACGTTTCACTCTTAGCGTATGGGGGGGCGTCCTGCCGGGCCATCTTCGGGTAAGCCGTCCAACAAGATTGTACGCGAGCAACGTGGTCTTCGTGTGGAACAGTAATATGCTTCAAGCCGTGTTCAAAATGATTGAACAACTTAGGAACAAGACGCAAGTAGCAAAAATTGAAGCTGTCATGTATGCTGAGGCTGGTGCCACAATGCACATGATTTCTATAGCTCAGACTCCCATGATGGTGGACCGGAACAGAGCCAAAAGAAAAGCGGCAGAGAGGTTTCCAAGGTCCATGGGCTGACTACCGGTAACCTTGGCATCCGTGTCTCCTCACGCTATTCCGTGTTTGGCCAACCTCGGTCACTACCCCAACATCTCGACTCAAACATCACAACCTCCCGGCATCCCGATAAATAAAGCTGTATCGCTAGCATTGGTATACGACTTGATGTCATCTTGATTGTTACCGTTAATTGTCACAATGTCAAAAGAAGACCAGTCTCCAGCCAAGTGGCAGGATGTATCGCAACGTAAAAAAGACGAACAGTATGGACGCATACCAGCAGACTGGAGGTTGAAGACCTTACCCGGGCCTCATGTCAAAAGCTACATGGATATACCACGAAATTGTGGTTTGTTGAGCAAGGAAGAGTTGGATATAACAGAAAAATATGACGCCGTTGCTCTAGCCCAAGCAATCAAGGATAAACAAGTCAAGTGTGTAGACGTCACAAGAGCCTTCTGCAAGGTGAGCTTACACCCAGACGGAATATGAATTGCCCGAGCCAATACCTAACCTCTCTCCAGAGAGCAGCGATCGCCCATCAACTCACCAACTGCCTCACAGAAATTTTCTTTGATGACGCACTAAAACGAGCCCAAGAGCTTGACCATCACTTGGCATCTGGAAACCCTCCCCTCGGCTTCCTCCACGGCGTGCCCATTTCACTCAAAGACACTTTCAAGGTCCGTGGCTACGATGCATCCATCGGCCTTGCAGCTCTGTGTTTCAAGCCTGCACAGGAAAATTCTACCTTGGTCGAATGCTTGCTTCGTGCCGGCGCAGTCTTGTACTGCAAGACTAATATTCCGCAAACGCTCATGGCCCTGGACTCTCACAACAACATCTTTGGTCGTACCATCAACCCTCTCAACACTGCTGTTACTGCAGGTGGAAGTTCTGGCGGTGAAGGAGCCTTGGTTGCGATGCGTGGATCCATCCTAGGAGTAGGCACGGATGTTGGCGGTAGCATCCGGATCCCGGCCATGTGCGATGGGACATTCGGTGTCAAGCCAAGCTGGGACCGTATACCTTACGCTGGTCAAGAAGGTGGTGCACTACCTGGTGCATCTAAGATCGGCATCCCTGCCAGTGCAGGACCACTCGCTCACAGCATGCGCGATATCGAGCTCTTTTTCAGCGCAATATCCGCACAACAGCCTTGGACTACAGACGCAGACGTTGCACCCTTGCCATGGACGCCCTCTTCTTCTCTCCCAAAGAAACTCAGAATCGGTATTGTCAGACGTGACGGAGTCATCGACCCCCATCCGCCCATCGCCCGCCTCTTAGACGAAGTAAAATCCAACCTACAGAATTCTGGAGTCCAAGTCGTGGAAGCTGACATTACATCGCTCTTCTCGCAGTGCCAGTCCCTTGCCAACGCTCTCTTCGGCGTCGAAGGTGGAAACGCCATGCTTGACCTTCTAGAATCTTTCAACGAGCCGCTTTCCCCATGGCTCGCCACGCGCCTCAAGCGCAAGAAGCACATGGATCTGAAACAAGTCCAGCAACTCCACGGCAAGCGCGATGCGTTACGCAAGCAGTTTCTCAAAATCTGGAAAGATGAACATGGCGATATGGACGCGTTTGTCTGTCCAGTTGCGCCGCATCCCGTGCCGCCGATTGATCGGTACAATGGCGTTAGCTACACGAGTTCCTTTGTTTTGCTGGATTATCCCGCTGGTGTTGTGCCAGTGAGGATATTCGAGGAGAAGGATATGCAGGGGGAGATGGAGGGTGGGAAGCCGTTGGGGAGTTGGGATAAGGCGAATCGCGAGTTGTGGACTGGCTTTGATCGGTCGGTTTACTTGGGGACGCCGCTTTGTGTGCAGGTCGTGGCACCGAGGTTGCAGGAGGAGAAGCTGGTGCAGGCTATGGCTGCTATTGATGATGCTGTAAGAGGAAAGAGGACGACGACAGCGAAATTGTAGGGTCTGACGAGAGATTGGGCGTACCTGTCAAGCTTTGCAAACACATAGACAAATGAAGTCATGATTCCTCCACAAATGAGTATTCTCAACACACCATCTCAAGTAGAATCACTCATATATCAAATAAACGGTCTACATCTACGTCACCCCTCACCACACATACTTCTCCCCATACCTCCCCACAAACCCCCCAACATCCGCATCCCTCTCCCCTCTCACAATCTGCAGCAAGCCCTGCGCACTCGTCTCCGAACTCTCAATCCCATTCGCTTTCCTCACCTCCCTATCATTCCCCAAATCCGTAACCACATACCCAGGACAGTACGTCCAAACCTTGAACCCCTCGGGCTTGAGCTGGTACCACACATAGGCCGTCAGCATATTCAGCGCACTCTTACTCATACGGTACCCAGAGTACTTGACGCCAGAGTAGCTGCTGCTGTGGTCGGAGATGAAGCCGATACTACCAAGCGTCGACGACACATTGATAATACGGGGGTTAGAAGAGCGCTTTAGCAGCGGGAAAAACATCTGCGTTATGATCGTTGGGCCAAAGACATTGGTTTCGAATACTGTACGGAGGGTGTCCCGAGAAGGCCATTGGTCGTTTTCTTTTTCTGGACAGACGCCCGCGTTGTTGATGAGGACGTCGAGACGGGAGAATTCTTGGTCTACTTTTTTGACGGCCGCCGCGATGGAGTCGTCGGAGGTGGCGTCGATTTGCACGAGGGAGAGGGTGCCTTGGATGCCGGGTTTGGTCCGGAGTTCCGAGAGAACCTTTTCGCCTTTGGAGAGGTTTCGGGCGCCGATTATAACATGGTAGTTTGGTGAGGCAGAGGCGATGTAGATGACGGTGTCTAGACCGATGCCGTTGGTGCCGCCTGTTGGTGTTTTGGTACTGTAACTTTCTGTGTATGTTGAGGTTCTTACCTGTAATTAGGACAATCTCTTTTTCGGGTCCAGACGCCATGTCAGCTTCAACTATATGATGTTTTCAAGAGGGATAAGATGTTTAGAAATGGGTGGTTCTGCGGGGTCAAGTTTGCTGCGGAGAAGACTGGGTGACCTGCAGTGCGTATATATACCTTGTCTACAAGTTCGACCTAGTCAACTCCCCCTCAGGCTCCCAACAGAATCAAGCACTTGCTAAGCATATTATGGAGCAAGGCAATAGTCGTAAGCAAATGGGGAAATTCGCTGTCAAGAAAGGCCGATGGCCTGGTCATTCAGTACTACCATGCCCGGATTTATTCAGCTAACTCCGGTGTACCCGGAGGAGCTCATGAAGTCATTTAATTGTGATGCCAAGTCATTTAGATATTGAATAAATATCTTGGACTGTTAATAGATTTCTGATCTTACTTCGAAGATGTAGTTGTACCTGATCCGTGGGCATCGCTTGATATGCAGGGCGTAGTTACCTACTAAGCTAAAGCTGTGCAATGGATATCCATGAATTAACCTTCCATTTCCTTCGTTTTGGCCAGATGATGTTAGAAATTCACCCTGTACCTACCAGCAATGGTCTTAGTTGTCTTGATCGGGCATGGCAAGAGTGAGAGTGTAAAGTGATTGTCGCGTGGGGTAAAATGCATTAGCGGCGCAAGACGCCTGGGCGACGTCATGTTCCGCTCAGCCCGTCAAATGTCTTTACGTGCAGCTGTCGTCAACCTCATGTCAGTAGCCGGAGAGTCAATTGCCCCTTGGTGCGCATAGTGCTGCCGAAGATATGCCATCCCTTGTTCGTAAGCTGCTCATCTTTGCAGCTGTCGATGGTCTCATATTGCAGCCATATCCGCCCCGCAACCATGCGCCCACGACGCAGCAGGCCATCAAGGTCGACTACAAAGGACAAGTTGGCCCGCTATTGAAGGATAGGCGCGAGGAAAATATTGCGCCAACATCCGTTGAAGCGCATGGCATAATCGGTACGCGCCGCAGCCATTGGCGCAACACGGCATTTAACAATTGCTAACCCTACGATCAGGACTCCTCAAAGTCGCTACTTCTTATTTCTTGATTTCGATATCCGATCGCGAGCAGGTCGCGATAATACGCGGCAGGCCTATATACAAAATCACCGACGTCGCTCTCATTCCGCTCTCCTCCCAAGCCGATGCGGACAAGGCAATCACGGCCACCCGGGATCACTTGAGGCGTCGGAACAAGGTACCAGGTCTAGACGATGACGAAACGGATAGCGAAAGCGATGACAACGCGCCCAGTGTGTCAGACTCGATCGTGGAGGAATCGCCGCCCGAGAACAACGAGGTCAAGAGTCCCGTGATCGGCTGGACGGGTAGTCCGCACCCGAAAACAAGTGTCGCAGAGGATGTCATGCAGCGCAAAGGTGTCTACGGCAGGTTCGCAGACAAATGGTTCTCGCGCAAAGGATGGAGTGCAGACAATAGACGTCTGCAAGGCTTCAGCTCGGAAGAGAATCTGGCTGCCAAGAACGCCGCCTCAATGCCAAAAACAGAAGAGCAGCCCAAGGGTGAGTCAAAGCCAGACGCAATACCGACCGAGGATGCGAACGTCCCAGAACCAGTCAGCCCTGAGGCGATACCAAAGGCGCTCGGCGGGGAGAAGAACACGACGACCATAGTATTGCTGCCAAAGATCTTGCAAACGACTAAAATGTATTTCTCCTCTGGTAACTTCTTCTATTCGTACGACTATGATATCTCACATGGCATTGGTCAGCAGCAGTCCACCCCTAGTGTGGCACTTTTCAAGCAATTCGACCCTTTGGTTAGTTCACGTATCACCCCCGCAGTGCACAGCTACTGACATCCTTTTAGTTCTTCTGGAACCAGCACATCGTTTCGCCTTTTATCGACGCTGGGCAGCATAGTTTTGTTCTCCCCATCATCCAGGGTTTCGTGGGACAGCGGTCCTTCACTATCAAGGCCGCGGATGACAATTCGAGCAGCCTAGTCGTGGACCCTCATGCGACTCCAGACGACATACAATTACAGTCTTGGCATGAGAAGCAGCAACAAGATTCGCAGTCTGACCCAGTAGAAAGTTATCAAGATCCCACTGGGGAGGCTTCCCTTGCAAGTGGCAAAGACTTTGTACTGACACTCATTTCGCGGCGGTCTATGAAACGCGCCGGACTTCGATATCTGCGTCGCGGGACTGATGACGAGGGCTGCACTGCAAATACCGTCGAAACGGAGCAGATTCTGTCGACACCGACGTTCGACACCACGCAAGACAAGATCTTCTCTTTCACGCAGCTCCGAGGGTCAATACCATTATTCTTCTCACAATCACCATACAGTCTTAAGCCTCAGGTCACAACCTGGGGCTCCTTTGAAACAAATGCTCTAGCCTTCAAACGACATTTCTATGATCTTTCGTCGCGTTACGGGGATATCTATTGCGATTCGCTGATTGACAAGCATGGCACAGAAGCGAAGATTGGTGAGCTCTATGAGCAGCATGCGAAATCTCTCAATGAGAATGGTGGTATCGATGGCAAGGGCAAGCAACTTGGGTTCGAGTGGTTCGATTTCCATAACGTCTGCCGTGGGATGCGTTTTGAGAACGTATCTAAATTGATGGATTCCATCGAGCCATTCATGAAATCTTCCAGCTGGGTCGAGATTTCGAACGATCAAATACAGCAACGGCAATCCGGTATTCTACGAACAAATTGCATGGACTGTTTGGATCGGACCAACGTCGTTCAGTCTGCTTGCGCCAGAACGGCTCTTGAGGCACAGTTGTCAATCGGCAGCTATAACATCGATCTCCAGAACGACCCTAGTACTTCATGGTTCAACACGCTTTGGGCTGACAATGGCGACGCTATCTCGCGACAATATGCTGGCACTGCTGCACTAAAGGGCGACTTCACGCGTACACGAAAACGCCAGATCACCGGGGCTCTTACCGACTTTGGACTTACATTGACGAGATACTACAACAACATCGTCAACGACTACTTTGCACAAGCTCTTATTGATTATCTCCTTGGTCGCGTGACTGATACTATTTTCGCGGAATTCGAAGCCGACATGAAAAGCTCGGACTACTTCATCGATGTACGCAAGGTGCGCCAACAAGCTATCGAGCGATCAGCCGGTATTGTCATTGAGGACCACGACGAAGACCTGGTTCAAGGATGGACCCTCAGCGTACCAACAGCAGCGAACCAGGTCAAAACTACTACCTTTGAAGAGGCTGTTCTTCTCCTCACCGAGAAGGCTTTGTATTTCTGTCGTCTAGACTGGGGTACGGAGAAGGTACGCGAGTTCGAGCGCATTCCACTCGAGAACATACAGGGCCTCATGCGCGGCACCTACGTCACCTCGACTCTAGCTCAGCGATACACCGATACCGACAAGAACATCGGGCTCATCATACAGTACCGAGCCGACACCAAAGGCGAGCTAGTACGACGAAACACACGAGCGCTGGATTCAGCTTCGATCAACGGGGAGTCCAGTGAGGAGCCCGCCAAGAAAGACCAAAAGGACGCTGCCGGTCGCTTCCTAGCATTCAAGGCATTGCCATCGCGAAGTAGCGTCCCTTCATCTCCTGGTGAAACACCAGAGAACGAGGGCGAGGTTGTCAAGTCGGTTTGCGATGAGATTGTACGCGTAGCCAATAAGGCGAGGAAGGGAGGTGTCGACGAGGATAGAGTATTGGAGGTCAAGGAGAAGGATATTATTAGCTTAGCAGACGCAAAGAAGACTACAGGGTACCTAGAACAGTTTGAGTATTCTCTAAAGAAGCTAGTCTGGGGTTAGAGGTGGGTGCTTCGCTAGCGCTTTCATAGAACGGACGCTTTATGTATATAATTTGGTTTATTGTAGATGGCTCTTGATCACGTGGAAGCCTGGCGTATTACCTTTTGTGTATCTGGAAGGTGGGGCCGGGTAATTTGGGCAAGCGCGACAGGCGATGAGGAACAGCCTGTGGTTATCTACAGACCTCTCTACGTCCTTTCATTCGACATAGCTTGTACTTTGCGTCGTCACGCTGCATGCAGTGCTTTAACCACGCCGCAATCGTACTGATCCTAGACCGGCCGGCGCTTTTGTTACTTTCCACCTTCTACCCCGCGCTTTTGTAGCATTGTATTTCCAATTGACTTGTTGCAACATTTATTGAAATCCATACGGCTATCTTTACAACCTAATAACCTTATAAGTTTACGATCAACTCGCAACTGCGACACAGTCGATTCAGTAGATGCACGTAGTACCACTGCTCCCGAGAGATTTTGAACGATCACACAACGCTTCAACTTCGCGATCCCATGCCCATTCGTCCCCCTGACTTTCACTAAGAGCTCTCGTTGAGTTGTGCCGACCCTACCATTACACCCTACGCTTCCACAGGATCAACATTTTATAAAGCCAGTGAGCTTCCCGCAGTTTCCACCGAGCCCAGAAATTCAAATGGAGCTTGAACGGCCATCAGACACCGGGCCTTTCCACCGCCAACCGTTCGATCACGAAAAGTCTTCTCTCCGCCTTGTCACTGTACAACCGGACACATCACCAGAAGGCCTTATACGCTGTGCTATTACCCACATTACAGCTGACGCAACTTACACCTGCCTGTCCTATTGATGGGGTCCTCCGATACCGAGTCAGAAGATTTTGATCAACAACAAGCCTTTCTCAGTCCTCCAGAACTTATTTGACTTTCTCAAGACTGTACATCGGTAACCGGAAGTATCGCAGTCCTATTGAATTGATGCTCTATGCATAGACCAGGCGAATACGGCTGAGAAGAATCATCAAGTCGCACAGATGGGTGTTATTTACTCGCGTGCATAAAGAGTTGAGATATGGCTTGGCAAAAGGACTGACCCAATAACGATGTTGCTTCGACCACAGCCATCACAGTCACAGAACATAGCACAGGAAGAACAGTTCTCCTGGCACCGCCGCCGAGAAGTGGAGGAAGCAAGGAGATTCCTGAGTGATATCAAGAAAGACGAGTATTGGTATCGCGCATGGATCATCCAGGAATTAGCTTTGGCCCGAAGTTTGATGGTGTGGATAAATTGTGAGTCTGGATGGCCTACATGGTTTGATGTCTGTAACTTGGGTGTGGAAGTATCACGATCCAAGCAACCAGTTTCGGTGGCTCACGACACCAGCTTCCAAAAAGACATGATTCAATGATCAAAGTGCTAGCCTAATCGCATTGCTGGCTCATTTCCAAAACGAGCTTTGCGAGAATCCTCGAGACCGAATCTTCTCCCTGCTCTCACTATGTAACAATGATCACGGAATAGAAGTGGATTATGAGTCGCCATATAACAAGATAGCATTCAACATCCTGGTACGTAACATGGAATCGGCTTTTCTTTATACCTTCCTACTGGTTGTACGACCTCTTGAAAGGGATCTGAAGTATATGGAATTGGATGACGCAGATAACTGGTCTGAGCTTATCTTCGAAATTCAGATGGATGACCTACGTTTTGACGATAGCTTTGTGCATGAGGGAGCTCCTTTGGGGGGGGGGGGGGGCGCTTCAGTCACGATGAGTGGAAGCCACCCGAAGTCTTCACTGTGGACAACCGATATTACCAGGTGCGCGGACTATTGGCTCACCCTAACAAACACGATTATCCCATTGGCGATCGTTGTGGCTTGTTGCTTGACTTCAAATACATATTAGCGAGCAGAAATCAGGTTGTCGAAATTACCAAAGAGCAATTCGGACATCCAGGCAACAGAGCCTTCGATGGCTCCATAGTCACATCAAATTTAGGGTGCATGCGGTCGTTAGGAAACATGAAAACATCATGGATACGGCGTGTTAAAGGGTCTCAGAGATTCTGGACGCCAACTACAGATATTAGTACGCAAGAGAGAAAAGGCGGGAATATAATCATCCAGACCGGGTCAAAGGAACTGCTGAAAATTGTGCAGGAGCCACCTCCACTTTTGACCTGCTATCAATTCCGATTGGAAATGGACCCCCGAGAGCTGCATAGAGGCCCATTGCACGCGCGAGTCTTGCAAAGTACAAGACTGGAGCCGGATAATGTACTGCTTCCAGAGTTGAAAGATCTGAAATCTTCCAAACGCCAACTCTTTGGGGCATTCTTCCTGCGCTACATGCTTTCCTCGGCAACAATTCGTCACGCATCGGATCCACTGCCTACAACAACATTCCAAGACATGGAGCTATTGCATGTCTTCATACACAAATCATGGTGCAAGAACTATTTCGGACCCATTTCTGGAGAGCAAATCCATATCAAGACAGACGATATTATCGTCGTGCCCAGAGTGGCCATTCCACAAATATGGTGCATGAGGAGATCTCATGGTTACTTGGTTCTTCGCCCACTACTACGTGCACACTTTCCACTACGGTCTAAGGACGTGGACTGTGATATGCGGACGCGCTTTGCTGAATACATAGTACGTCTTTTTAAGCTCAAGCCAAGGATGCTTGAAGAGAGAAGAGACACATGAGCCCAAGATGAAGGATAGGCGTTATGGTCAATAGACATTTCAAGGTGGAGCTTCTACTCTAAGAATTGATATACGTCTTCTTATAATCACAGTGATCAAGCAGAAAACTAGTCATGTGGTACTGAAGGTCCTGTTTCTGACCACGACAAGCCAATAGTTCTCGCAGAGATAGTGAGACATGTGAGCCTACAAGTTGCGTACATATTTTTTTCCATCTTAATTTCTAGTTCTCTAAAGCGATAGCATCCTTCCAAAACAAATTGCACAAAGTGGGGTTATGAACTATCCATCATGAACAGCGTTGTCCCCAACCATATCAGTGATTTGAACTGTACCTACTTATCTAATGCCAGCTATCTGTATCATATAAACTTGCTTAATTTCCCCGAAATGTTTCCCTGTATTTTGACTTCATGGAATTATACCGGGGATCTACCGAGTAAGATATCATTCAGAAGTTTCATTGATCAGTAACACCACCATGGCCAACCCATGGGTTCTTCAAGCGAACCACACTCTGCTTACAACTTTATCCTGCATGCATCAGGAATTGTTATTTATTTACGAGGAGTGGCTCTCTAGAAGTCTGTCTTTGCAACACTATATTGCGACATGGATCGACCGTCATTGGTTAGGTAAGTAAGCCCGCCCCGTTCGCTACCAAACTACGTACTCATCCGACTAGCGAACGTTTTGGATGTTAACCACGGATACAGCATCGCCATGCATTCTTGTAAATAAAATATATAATGATATTCATTCCCCATCTTAGACAATCACTCGTCCCATACATAGCACTTTTAGTCGGAGAAACCAAAGTCTAGCCTTGAAAACCACCTCATCTTCAACAACGTTTCTACACACTTTCGCACCATGTTTAAGCTTATGAAAGAAATTACGGGCATGTTTGATCCAAAGCCAGAGGGACTGCCAGATGCAGAGCCGAGAAAGTCTGTCACGAAACGGAAGAGGGCCTTGACCAGAGCTACAGAGTCGCCCGAAAGTTCTCTATTGGGGTCAGAAAGAGACCGTACCCTCTCACCAACTCAAAGGCGTTGCCTTAAAAGTTTGAGGGACAGCAAGGATTGTATCCCCAAACCAAGAAACCCATCGCCTTGCCCATTTTCTCCAGTCCTACCACCAGCGCTCATGGAACCGTTTCCAGATTTCAAAGATGAGTACGAAAGCCTGGAACCTTACGATCCCCATCACTGCAATCTCCACTGCCCCCATCACGTATGTAAAAGTCTCCGCAAACTTGATGAGAAAAACCACATCGCACCAAAACCGTGCATCCATAACGATCGGCACGCTCCGCCAATTTTTCGGGGCCCCTTCAACCTATCTCGCATTCCAAGCCTCAGCCGCAGGAGCTTTGCCGCCACAAAACGCGCCTATGGCCTCAACGACAAGGCCGGCAAGATACGCGTGGAGCTAACATCCGCCATCGCACTCGTGCAAAAGCTCCGTGACGAGAAACGGCTAGACTTTTGCTGTCACCTCCTCTCACACCCACACTACACATGGAACGCTGTGTACAAGCGGTCGCAATTCCAACCTGCCGCACATGCCGCGGATGCTTTGGTAGACAAACTACTGGAATATCTGAGGTGCATGCTATCACGCTTTCCCACACTCATGCGAGAAGTGACCATTGCGCAACTGGAGAAGGAGATGCAGGATTTCATGTACTTGGAAGTGCTCTGGTGGGCTGCAGAATGGTGTCTGTGCAAAGCCCCTAGCAAGAAAGACAGCGAGCGGAAGAGGGGCTCGATGCTGAGGAGGGCCATGGTGACTGCGTTGGTTCAACGGTCGGAGGGCAAGCAAAGGAGGGGGGTGGATCTTGTGATGAACAGGGCTGATGAGGTGGTTAATAGGGTCATGGGGGTGTTGGTTTGGTGGGATGGGGTGAACAGGGACGTGGAGATTGAAGAGGAAGAGTTTGAGGGGAGTGTCGGGTCTGTTGAAACCGTGGTTGGGGAATGGAATGATGGTGCGTTTAGTGAGCCAAGTAGTGGGTCGAATCATGACTCAGACGTGGAAGACGGGGAGGACATGTGGTAGAGAGTGGTTGCGGTGTTAGCGCTGGTATCGTACATTGGGGTTCGTAGTTGTTCGGTTAGCTATTCACTTGGGCGTAATATCTAGTTTGCCCCCTCAAGTGAAAGTAGTGTTTCCTGTTCTCGGAACTTATTTCATCTGCCGTAACAACCCCCACGCTCTTCCAGTCGAATCTGAATACTCAAACAAGCCATGACGTTCTCAACTGCTGACTTCGAGTCCGCCACCATCACCATCGCGCCTTGACCCAAGCGCAAGCCCCGCCTACACCTCACTATACCGACTAGTCACCTACGTCTCCCCATCTCCCCACCGTCTCCCCTCTTCGCCAGCATGAATCAATATATCAACACCGACGCGTTTCCGACGTGATCGAGCATCCAAACTCGGAGGAAACTCACTGCAGTGTACACTGTGAGAAGAACATATGCAGGTGCATGCGCAAGAAGGGAATAAAAGTATCAGAGTGTCAGTGTGGATTGAACATGGAGCGAGTTGAGAAGGAGCGAGTTGAAAAGGAAAAGGAACTACCAGTAGGGACAGGGAGCGTTATGGTGGAGTTTATATTTGACTGGCTTTTTGGGCCCCCATCTGCTTTGTTACACCCGATGTAGCGTCGAGACCTGTGCAGGCGGGTGAAGTTCGTTTGGAGACGACGTAGGAAGTAATTTTGCGCCCACTCCGAATGGATTACATGATGGTTCCGGCAGTGTTGTGTCTTCTGGCGGCTTTTACAGAACGATGACGGGCGTAGACCCAATTGAGTTAGCGCCGGCCAAGCCTCGGCTTCTCCGACGCTGAACAAAACCCTCGCCACAGCCGGCCATCCTCTTTTCTTCTTCTTTATAGAAAGTTGCACCCACGTAATTTGACCTCACTCTTTCCGCCTCGATAAGATTGAAGTTGACATAAGCTGGGGAGATCGAACCTCTTTGCTCCCAAGAACTGCCTGCCCTTATCGAATGGGCTGTCGGTCCCGTAGCTCCGAGACATCCCAATAAGACTCATCGTCATTTGCTACACTGCCCGTCCGCCACGACACGATACCGATACGTATACGCGCGAGTGACACGATGGATGCATAAAGGTGGCCAGAGCGACAAACGTGATCGCTTTGGACGGCGCCGGTAAATGGCCCGTAAAACGAAGGCGATTGACCACATGGTCAATCGCATGAACAAAATGCGGCTGGTGGATGAGCGAGCTGTGGCAAAAGCCTCTCCCGCAAAGCCAGTCGCCAAGGAGGATACGGAAAGCGATAGCGAGGAAGAGGTCAAGCTTCCATGTTTCCGCTTCTTCGACCTGCCCTTTGAATTGCGACTCCGCGTATATGAAGAGCTCCTCGTGTTTCCCAAGACGATCGACCTCGACCCAGAAAACTTTCGCCTTGTCGCACCGGCGCTCCGCCTCTTTCTCGTAGACCGCCGCACACACGACGAAGCTTCACGCGTCTTCTACGGTCTCAATACCTTTCGCATCTTTCCGATCCACGGACGCTACATCAACCGAAAGCACCCGCTTCTTGCGTGGCTGCCTCGGAAATACCGCGCACACCTTACACGGCTAGAGCTTCGGCTCGGCCCAGGCTTCACAAAGCCACCCAAATGCTGGGTCGTGGACAGCAGATTGGGTCTGGCCGCCGTGAAGAAGGTGTACCGGCTCAAGGTGTTCGTCGAGATTGACCCCGCATCCAACGAAGTGTTCGAAGGCTGGCGCGTGGGAAACAACTTTTATACTGAATACTGTGTGGGCTTGTTGAGAGGCTTGCTTGCACAGGTGCCATCGGTCAACGATGTTGAATTTGACGCATATCCCAGTGTGTCCAAGTCGAGTCCCTTGCTCAAGGGCTTGATAGAAGAGACAAAGCTCAACCAGAAGCGCGTTGCTTGGGGCCCCGAGAGGGGTTGGGATACGATAGTCGACGTTGACCTCGCAGGCGTTCTCCAGAAGATGGGGCTTGGAGCGCTCTGACATATCTCTAGCCATCACACTGTTAGTACATACTTCAGGCTGCCTTCTGCGTTAGTTGAGATGGACAAATACCTAGAAACCTATTGAATTATGGTTACATCGAAACTGAATCAAACTTGTAAATATAACGCACAGACAAAGCCAACAGCATTTCAAAGTCATCAAGTTCCTTCTGGTCAACATTGTTTATCTATGTCGAGACCTCCAGCTGATACGCAAGGAAAAAGGATAGCCTGCATGCTCATTTTGAGATCAGTTCGGGCTGGGAATAGACCCAGTAGTAGTAGTAGTAGCTGATACGCAAACCAACACGGATGACGCACAGACACTCCGATCAGAGCCCGGGATCTGCAACTGCGGGGTCAGTCCAGCTGCGAAACAGGGATAATTCCAAGTCGTCGTTTCATCGAGTTTTGCTTTTCGCTCAGCCTGTAAAAACTCTTCTCTAATCCTCGATTCTTCTTGTCCGACATCGCCAGTATGCAACAAGTTGTCAACCTTTGTGGTAGGAACATTGTGCTCGAAAGCTTGCCTCCTGGTGTTGACTTTCGAGAGACCAGCATCCCAATGGATGGTGGGCCACCTCAGGTGACATACGAAGGCAACGGACTACCAGGTAACTCCATATCACTCCGAGAATGCAGAAGAGAAGCAAGAGCGAAGTCCAAATCCATCGTTGATAACTACAAGCTGCTCAACAATGTGCTGGCAAGGTATGAAGACCTCATTCGGACCCGATGGTCTAAGAAGACGCGAACGCAACGCAAAACCATACTCCATAATTCGTGGCATACTACGATACCTACTTCCCACCGCGCAGATCTCATTGCATTCCGTAGGAGCGAGCTTGATGTGGGGGGTGAAGAGAGAAACGAAGACAGTGCGTACTGGTGGCCGCATATCAACGAGGAAGATCTTCTGACTCCTGCGACGATTCCCCGCTTCTTGAACTCGAGGGGCCGCAATGCGCCGAGTGTGTTTGTGGATATGGACTGGGATAGTACAGCTATTGGACGCGAGCTGTGAGTTATAGGATCGCGGTCTCTGCGGTTAGATACCAAGGATGACGAGAATGACGATGAAGAGATAAAGGAGGAAGAGGAGGAAGACAATAAAGATGATGACAAAGACGTAGAATATCTGATGAACCTAAGATCTGCCGATTTGACCGAGTATGGCAAGCTGGTGAAAGTTCCTGCAGGAGCTGAAGATGAAGGCATCAAGATAAGCGCAACTCGTGGTCTTCTGATTTTGGAAATTCAGAAGGCTGTCATGGAGTTTCTCATCAATGTCTGCCAAGGCATTCTCCACGAGAAAGATCTTGACCCAACAGCACTTCAACAAGTACCTGAATTGCCTGAACCGCCCAAGATGGCGGCGATTAAAGACAGCGAATGAAAATCGGCAGTCGACCTTGCGTGCGAGTCGCCATATCTCGTACCACAGACCGTGGATTTAGAACGTATCCAGTCGCCTATCCACGCCCGACTGCGCGAGCGGGAAGACTATGCCTGGGCTATGCGGGAGGATCCATCTTTTTTCGCTGTTGTTGTCAATGACTGGAGTAAGTGAATTTCCGATCAAGGTGGATTGAGATGTACTGACATTGTATCTCTTCAAGGCGAGCATTCATCAGATCAGATTCCACCAGACGGTAAAAAGATATCTCCCAACTTATCGCATCCAATACGCATAAGGCAACATTGGGACCGCACAGTCAGCAGCGCTATCAACGAGGTCTATGGATATCTCGTCATCTGGAAGTTGATGAGTGACAAGCTTGATGCTATCATAGAACTCCAGAAGCAACAAGCCAAGGGAAACTATGGTCGACCAGAAGACGTACCTGGTTTAGTGGATGCTGTGCGGATACTAAAGGTCATACTCGATGTGCGCGTCGTGGAGAAGCAACAAAGGGAGTTGGGATTCATACTTCTTTCTTCACCGCCGATGCGCCCACTCTTCATAACAGACGGTGGTCGTTTAACGCTGAGAAATGAAGTGAATAAAGATGACTATCTTCTGTGGTTGGGACAGGACCTGTTTCGGGGAGGAATCTTGCGCCCCCCGCGACCTTGGTCATGGAGATGCTTCGCGTCATCCAGCAAGACAAGACGCAGAAGCCCAGAATCACGCCCATGGTTGCGAGATTCATGTCTGACCTGGGTCTTGGGTACGAACTGCGCTCGCGTCTGAGCATCCTATGTCCTCAAATCTTTCAACCTGGAAAGAAAGAAGAAGCACGCACCAAAGTAGCTCTGGACTCGCTCAAGTTTGATCAAGCCTTTCTAGCAATGTACGACCTCAAGATGATTGTCAGTCCATTCTACGCAGGCAAAAACTTCCTTCGTCTAGGAGACCTCGGCGAGCCATTCACCCTGCCCTACCCCGTGAGCAAACGACGTACAAAAGAGAGCGTCGAAACTATGCAGGCCTCCGAGCGCCGACTTGACGCCCTGTGGGAAAAGTACGACGAGCATTTGAAAAAGCTTCTCAAACCCGAAGTCGAAGCCTTCCTCCAAAAATCCATGCCCGCGCGAGGCGAGCTACAACGCACCACCGACTGGGTCGAGCCCGAGAAGCCCGCCAAAAAGGCGCGACAAAACGAGGAATACATAACCCCTGTAATCCCCGAACCAAACCCCGATCCCAGCACCACCCTCCCCATCCGCAAGGAAAAGCCAAAAACATGCGGAACCCCCGCCCCATCTCCCACAGAACCCGCATCATCAATTTCACACTCCCAAACCACCGCGCCTTCTACCCCAGTCTTCACCGTCCCCAAAAACCATACCACACCTTTTCAAACGTCTTTTTCCAGCCCTCAACCTCCTCTCACCCCGGAGAGATCCTCTGAACAGACTTCGTCTCCGCCCTTAGCGCTGTTGGGTTCCAGCCTGAAAAACTATACGGGTCTGTGTGGCGGTTTACGCCAAAAGATGGCGGGAAGCTGTTTGGCACCGAGGCGCCGATTAACTTCCACGAGCCGCATCCAGGTGTCAAGTTGACGTTTGAGCGAGCGAGGAACTATGGGAGGAGGCTGACGAGGAATTATGGGTTGGATGGAGGCAGTTTTACTCTGGCTTAGTTAGGTTAGGTTAGTGGTGAGGGGATTGAATAAAGGTGGGCTGATATAGAAAGAATACAACTTACAAATAAAACTACAATTAGTTACAATTACAGATGAAAATACAAACACATTGTTACCTAATCATCTCATTGTTGCTATGTAACATATCTACAGGCCCCATCTTCCATTCACGTCACACAATCTACCACTATCTCCCCATCATCATCCCCACATTCCTCAAAATAAACATGATAAGTCCGACACAGCGGCTTCCCCACACGCAGCGTCGCATGCATACCATCCTCCTCATATCCCGGCACATCTGGCCATGCAACGCGCGATGGACATGCCGCATGTCTGGTCCCACTATAGGTACCCCAGTAATCATCGCAGCCTATACACACATAATTCTGTTGTCGACGTGTAAAAGCATGAGGCGGATGTCTAGTTAATGGGACGGAGGTTAGCTACTCTCCAGCCTAAATCGGGGATAGTGTGCATAGGGGGAGGTTAATACTTGATGAATATATACGGAACTTTGAGTTTGGTGCGGAGCCAGGGGGCGAGTATTTCACTTGTACGTTTTGAGCGATGGGGTGAGACTTGTTTTCGGCCTGTTTTGATTCACTTGAGTCGTTTTGTTTGCCAGATGTGGCTGGGGATATTACGATCCTTCGGTTTACTGGAAGTGGGCCTTATCACTTGTTTGATCAGAAGAGCTGTTCGGGTTGGGCATGGGCCTCGTGACGATGGTGTAGCTCGCTGCTCGTGCCTAAATTGTCTTGTGGGGGTGTGTGCCATATGATACCTTAGTGGATGCAAGAGATCAATGTAGCTGTGCTCAGGTCTTCGGATATAATAAACTTCCGTCGACTGTGTTTTTGTTCATGGGGAAAGTTTATAGTACTGGTGCATTTTTACACATCCATATCATGTCTCATATCCTGGATCTGTCTCACTTCAGATAATCTCGTTCAATATCACACCTTTCGCGCCAGCTCAAAAAGAGGATCTATGTTCAAACTATGTCTTGGACGGTACTGTAATATCACTTGATGATACCAGTTCTGATCTCCTAAGCCTTATCCCATGCGCTCATACCCTCAACCCGCATCTTTTCGAACCAGTTCCTCACATACTCCAATCCCGCATGGGGGCCATAAGGAGGCTTTTCCCACTGCGGAACTGGAGGATTCAGTCCAGTCTCCGTTTCACACTTTTCCATCAATTCGGAGATTGTGCCACCTCGATCGATGGTGTTATGCGTACTATACCCTTCTTTCGCACGCTCTTCGCGTATCTTGTTCCGGAGGTCTGCAGTGGCAACCTCATCGAAGTTGAAGCTGTTTGGTTGTATGACGACTCCGTAGTTCTGCTTGGCTCCTGCGATAGTGACCAGTCGGCGATGCACTTCTTGGGCTACACGTTCAGCAGGGCGCGTGAGGGGGTCACCAAGGCCACCGCCACCCCAAGTTATCCACTCAAGAACGTCGCCTACACGTTATCAGCTATCGTGTTTTGGGCACATGAGATTAGTACTTACCAGGGTAGACATGGACGTAATCTTTCTTTGATTGGCAAAGCTCCATGTTGTCCTTCTCTGTTCCCGTGCCGTAGCTTTTATTCCGATAGAGCACTTTCCTTGATCTACTGCCTGGTTTACCACCATTGACACCCCAAGGCTTAAGCATCCATCGATCATCGTGGATACTCACGTCACCCTCACACAACCACCTGTATAGCGTCCGCTGTGCATTACCACCACGATAGAAGCCGGCGCCTCCAGAATCCGGCAGCGCCTCATTTGCTTCGATGATGACAGGATAGTACAGCTCAATGTTCTCTGTAGGAATAGCCTTGATAGCAGGGAACAGGCAGTGACAATCTGGTCCATCGCCAATCGGGCGAGCGGGAACACCACCAAAACCGATTTGGTAAAGCAAATAAAACTCTCCATCTGGCTTGAAACCCGAATAGAAGAGATGGGGCGAGTCAGAGAAGCCTGCTGCACAGCGATGATCCGGGCTTTGCTGGCCGAACAGTGCTTGCAAAACATCCATGACGCGGCCTAAAAGATGGGTCCTGCAACTCACTGCCGCAGGACGTACGGGGCGGAGGATGGTACCAGTTGGGATCTTGATGTCGAGCAGTTCGTGGAACCCATCGTTAACAATAGCATGAGGATCGTATATGGCGAGTAAATGGTATCCGATGAACATCTTGAACATGGTGATTGAAAGGTAAAAGTTCATAGAGGTATTCGACTGCGGGGACGTGCCATCCCAGTCGAATATGAGTCTACCGTTCTCTTTCTTCATTGAGCAGGATATAGCATACGGACCTACTCCTTGCCCGTCATCGTCAACGAAATCGGTGAAACGTACAACTTCATTGCCGATCTTTTCGTTGATGATTGTTCTGATGGCGATCTTGTTCTGTTCGAGTAGGGAGTCTGTGGCTGCTTCGTATACCTCTGGACTATAGCGTTCGCAAAGCTCGGTAACCCGCGTAGCAGCAGTTCGACATGCCGCGACGAGAGCCATTAAGTCGCTTCGGAACCAATCTGGCGCACGAGAGTTGCGAAATAGCACTGTCGCCAAGCTTTCGTTGTAAACGCCTTTTTCGTACAACTTGACGATCGGGATCTGGAGTCCATCTTCGTAAATTGTTGAAGCGTTGATACTCATGGATCCCGGCACTTTGCCTTGTATATCGGTCAAGTGACCAAAGTTAGCAGCCCACCCTATGAGCTTGTGCTCAAAGTAAATGGGGAGTAGTAGTATGACGTCATTCAGATGCGATACCGCGCCATCAATCTGAAAGACGTCATTCGTCATGAAGACTGTGGTTAATGCATATCAGTAAGATTGAACATGAAAAGCTGTTTCAGAGGTGACTCACCATCTCCTTCTTCAACAGTGCCGTCCCAACCATTCAAAAACTGGGTAATGAAAGACCCGAATTGACCGACAAGCATCTGGCCGCGCGTGTTGGTGATGACATTGAACTCGTCTTGTTGGTCCCTGATAGCTGGACTCATCGCCGTCGTCAACATGCAACTATCCATTTCTCTTCGAATAGATGATAGAGCAGAAGCAATGAGCGTGGAGATGATAGGCTGCTCTTTCACTAATGCCTGGGCTGACTCTTTGGTGTGCACTGCCTTTTTGCTTGCGCTCTTCTCGGACGGCCAGATGAGTATATTGCCCATTGAGTCGGTTTCACCATAGTAACCAGGAAGGATCAAGGTATTAGAATCCATCTCTGAGATGACGGCCGGACCTTGTATAATTTTACCAGCGCCGCCAAGTTTAATACGATCCCAAAATGTAGCCTCCACCTTTTGGCCTTCATGCATAATTTCCTGCTTCATGACCATGGCATCTTGCGAAGGTTCGGTGGTATGAGCTGCCTCGAGCGGCTTGAAAGTTACCTCTTCGGAAGCATCGACGACTTTGGCGCGCAAGCGCATAGTCTCAATCTCAGCATCCGGGTTGGAGAAGCCAAATCGATGCTGATGAGCTTCATTGAACCTACTGCGCAGGATACTAACAAGATTTTGTGAATGTTCAAGCTCCTTTGAACTGAGGTCGACTGTGAAAGTCATTGCTTGACCCTTGTAGCGCATGTCCGTCTGATACTGGACTTTCAGCGCGGCATGGTCATTGGCAAGCGAGGTTTTCATCGTGGTTTCACCATTTTCTTTGAGACCTTGTAGTGTCTGTCTAAGGTCTTGTTCGGAGATTTCCGAGAAAACTCGAATGTATGTGCAGCCTTCCTCGTGAGACATCTTCGTGATAGCGTCCCCCTGTGCACAAAGCACGCCAGGAGAAGGAGGAATTATGACAGGCCAAGACCCGAGAAGCTTGCCGAGAGCATTTCCATGGAGGGGACCTGCTCCTCCAAGAGTTACCAGTGCGAACTCCCGTGGATCATAACCCTGCTCTACGGATACCAGGCGGAGTGCTCCATGCATAGCCTCATTTACCAGATCGATGATACCCTCTGCTGCTATTGTGGAGTCGACACCCATCTGATTAGCAATTGAGTTGACTGCTGCAGTTGAAGCCGCAACATCAAGACTGAACGTGCCGCCCAGGAGTTTTGACGGGAGACGACCTAGGACCAAGTTTGCGTCTGTGACCGTAGCTTGCTTGCCACCTTTGCCATAAGCTGCAGGTCCTGGGGTAGCACCACTAGACTCCGGTCCTACTCTCAAACTCTTTGTAAAATCGTTGTAAAACGCGATAGAGCCTCCGCCAGCTCCTGTAGTGGTAACGTCAACCGATGGCGCGCGCACTGATAGATGTCCAACTGATGTTTCGCGACGAATAATGGCATCACTCCCTGGAAGTAGGGCGCAGTCAGTGCTTGTCCCACCCATATCGAGAGTGATGAGGTTTTTGTAAGGCGTGTTCTTCGCGACCAGATGCGAAACGGCTTTGACGCCACCGGCCGGTCCACTCATGAGGATACGTACTGGTGTCTCCCCAGCGAGCTGAACTGAAGTTAGATCCCCATCAGATTTGAGAATGCGTACTGTATCCGTGTCATCCGCAAGCTTTTTCTGCAAATTTTGCATGTATCGCTTTACCACTGGTTTGACCATGGCATTTGCAGCGGTTGTGACTGTCCGCTCATACTCCTGGATTTCCGGTAAGACGTCCGTCGAAGTAACGATTTCAACATTCGGTCCAAACTCGTCGCTCAAGATGGCTTTTATCCGCTCCTCGTGCACACCGTTGGCAAAAGAGTTGATTAGGGAAACGGCAATTGCTTGGGGGTTCTGGCTCTTGAGATCTTGCAGATCTTCCCGGAACTGTTTCTCATCAAGTTCGTAGAAGACACTGCCATCAATCTTGATGCGTTCCTTGACCTCGACCGTACGTTCCAAGGGTACGAGAGGCTCAGGCTGCTCATAATTCATCCATGCACCTGATAATGGGAATTAGTAGTTGTACATTCATGGTGAAATATCGCTATAAAGCAAACCTACCGAGTCCTCCTGGTATCTGGCTTCGTCGCACAGAAAGCATATCTTTATGTCCTTTGGTAACTACGAGACCGCATTTGGCGCCCTTTCCTTCAAGCACCGCATTGGTGCCGGTAGTTGTGCCATGATGTATGTACTCAAACTTCCCTTCCCAGCTGTACTTCTCTTTTAGTATCTTCCGCGCCTGCTGAACACCATTGTGCACTCCGATGGACTGATCTTCCGTATTCGTTGGTACCTTTGTACGTACGGCCTCGCCGTTTGGCGTGATTACGCATACTAAACTTGGTCAAAAGATAAAGGCCTACATTTTGAACAGGGCGTACCATCAGTAAAGGTACTAGCCTATTGTTAGTGGCAGCCCGCAATATTTAGATGTTGCGTTGTATTGAGATAGGGTTTAGATGGGTGGTAGTAGTGGAGCCGGCCAAACCATGCGTGTTCGCTTTGGCCGGTGCCCCAAGGTGTCCTTGCCACTGCTGATTGTAGGAAATTCAAAGCGAAAATACTTACCCACCAACATCAACACCCAGCCTATATCCCGGAGTAGACATGTCCAAATACAGAATTATAGAGTCTTAACAAAGTGTAAGAGGCTTCTTGTGGCCCTGACGAGTTGACTGATGATGAACTTTTGGCTGACCCTGCGTCATGCTATCTATGCTTTTTCTTCAGGTGCTAGACAAACGCCGGGCCGCACCGGAGTTAAGTAGGTAGGGCTGCCTGGTCTTGCCCAGAATCAAACATGCTCATTATCTCTTTCTGCATCTTGCGTGGCTCAATGCTGGTTTTGACTTTTGACCAACGCTCTTGGGGAAGGCGGTGATTGAAGTGCCCCGTCCCGAGGCGTATCATTGGTATGTTGAGGGTTGTCCACGACGGTTAGCGTTTTTATGCGAGGTCACTAGTTAGTAATGGCGCTATCACACTGTCGAAAAGCAGTCTTTGTGTGGTACCAGCGATCCCCTGTGAATCGCACCGCTGTCATCCGATGATGCATGACGTCGAGAGTGGATGCCAAAACTCGCTTAAACTTCCGGTAAGATAAGGCTGCAGCGCGACACCTCACAGCTGAGTAACCTCCCTTATACAGCAATACACGTCCCATTGTTTACGTGTACATTCGCGAAATCTCCAGTATCGCCATGGGAGACAGCTTCGTCTCTTATATTGCCGACTCCTATCTTCTCTTGACGGCTTCAACCAGGCCAACGTCACTCGCACATAAAAGAAGCAAATACAGCCGTGTTGAGACTGCATGATTTATCGAATTTCCATGTCCTGATATCATTCGGTGCTAACCGTTTGTTCCGAGCTATGTTCGACCTTTACTTGGCAGCCATCATCTCAACAAACTTGTCTCCAATCGCATTCGCTGACATTGGGTTGTCACCTGTGATGAGCTCTCTATCCACCGTAATGCTTCCCATACTCTTCGCAATGCCTTCCTGCATATCGGCGCCCTCCTCTCGCAATGTAAATTCCACCTTATCAATCTCGCCTCTCATTATCGTCTCCATAAATTTCTCCTCTGCATCAGACCAACTCGTCATCTTGTAGCCTTTGTACGCAAATTCGGCCTTGTTTGGTGTGTACTTGGTTGATAGAAAGGCCCAGGGCCCATGGCAGAGAGCTGCGGTAGGCTTTTGGGCAGAGTGAAAGTGTGTGAGTATGCGTCCGAGCTCTGGGTTGTCTCCAAGGTCCGACAAGGGGGCGTGGCCACCGGGGATGAAGACGCCGCTGTAACTCTTCAAATCGTCATCGCTGATCTCTGAGAACTTTTTCGGCCTCGAAAATCCATTCTCCTTCTTCATGCGCTCAATCAAATCAAGTTCGCGCTGCTTTTCGTAGTAGTTGCCAGCAAAAGCCGCGAGGGATACACTGAGCGGGTCTGGCGTGGGCTCCTTGCCTTCTGGCGACGCAAAGGTGACTTCGTAGCCAGCGTCAAGGACCTTTTGGAGCGGCTTGGCGAGTTCCATAAGGAAGTAACCGGAGGGTTGCGAGACTGTTTTGCCATCGCTGCCTGTGTTGTAGAGGGGAAAAGAGCTTGCGTCCGAGAGGACGATAAGAACTTTCTTTGCGACCATGATGGGTTAATTTAGAATGTTTCTACCCAGTATATTTCTGACTGAACAACAATAATGTGAAAGGTATTTGTTATTTGTTTGAAAGATGCGGGTTGTTAATTGCGAGGAATTGTCATGTACTTGACGGTAGGTCAGTATGACGTAGCCGAGCATCCTCCGCTTTACAAACGTCAGACCCACCAAATTATTCTCAATGCATCACGGGCTGCGGACAAATACGATAGAACTTGTCGGATAACCTCGGCACGGTTTTGGCATGTAAACTTTTTCCATAAACCGCCCCGAAAATAAAGGCAACTAGATTTAGCGTACACTACTCCAAGTTTCAATATGACAGCTGTCATAAAGAACGATGCGGTCTATATGCAACACATGAATGGGCTACGTTGCTCCGATTGAGACAATAGCAAATACGTCCACCCCTCACTTGGTTAATTTGTGAGCACGAAGAGGACAACATATGATGAGGATTGATTCAATGTCGGTGGTTGCTCGCCTTATGATCCTAAGATATATAAAAGGACTATGCAGCAGCTGAAGCACTTTTAGCAGTGTATATACCTCACCATGCGATGATCCATCATTTGACTGCAGAACTCTGGCTGGATGCCATGGACTGGTCCAAGACTGAAAACCTGGATCAACAGTCCTGTCCCAAAAGCTATATAACACAGCCTCAAATGTTCGTATTTCTTGCGAATGCTCGAGACGACAGACCTTGACTTGATACTCGCACTTCCGAACAACACCTTAAGGAAGCTCTCCGGGGTTCACAAGTGGAACGGGATTTCGACATACCCAGGTCTCCCTAGTATCCTTGAACTTCATCCGAAATCGTTGCGAGGCCTGAAATTCCGGTGTCGAGGGCCATTTTGCGATATCAGCTAATTACCACCTCGATTCGATGCCAAAGAATATGTAGAATCGTCAACATTTTAGTGTAAACATTCCACGAAACGGTATTTGGCCTTTAGAAACCCTAGGCCTGATTGCAGCTATTCCCATATTGAAGACAGCAGATTTGTGTATAAACGTATCATCAGAATGTCGCGAGAGATATGAGAGTTATGAAGGCCCATAGTAGGTGTTGGTTCTCGAATTCGACAATTTTGAGGGGGGAAACCAGTTCCAGAGGTCACTTCTTAATGGCACGAGCGCACTGGAGTTATTCAGGTATTTATAGAAGAACAAGCAAGGACCAGAACCCAGGGAATTGATATTCCGGGTCGGGGAATTTTACGAGGCCCCGGATTGGCCCACCACATCGCGGATTGTGGCTGGATGGGAGGATGGCGAAGGTGGTGTGTATGGTGGATGATAACGGCGACGAAGTCTGGTGCATGGATTTGAAAGGTGATGATTATTGGAAGTAGAAGGAGCCTAATGTCGAATTACGGCAGGATAATGACTGAATTTGACGAATTGGCTGGACAGTGATATCATAATTGTTGGGAAGCATGGCGGAAACATTGAATTCAGGTACCTATTGGTAGATACATAAACTGGCGCCATCAATCGTGACTGACTGTGGGATCCCATGCGCACGGCTCGTACTTTCCGGTATCGAGGCTCTTCATGTCCTCATCCGTAAGCTCAAAATCGTAAATTTGGGCGTTCTCCTCGATTCTAGACTTGGTGACAGATTTGGGAAGTGGAACGAAGCCCTGTAGTGTTTAGCACATGCACGATTTCTTACTATCCCGTAAACGTACCATCTGTAAGCTCCACCTTAGTAAGATTTGGGATGAAGTTTTGTCGTATTTTTGCGCGAGTGGCTTCAGTAGCGGATCATCATTTCTAGTCGCACGGACAATTGGGCAATATGCTTCGCACAGCACATTCCTTTCTTTGCACCATGCAACGATATCCGGTCGCGCAAGCCAAGGATGCAGTTCGACCTGGTTTATGCTGATCACACCTCCTTTGCCTTTGCCCTCCTTCGCTTCGGTCTCTTTGATCCACGTTTCTAGTTCTTCCAGATGGTGGACGCCATAGTTGGACACGCCTATGGAACGGATCTTACCAGCCTGCACGCCCTCAACTAGGGCTCTCCATGCGCCGATCCGATTCTCCTTTCCACCGTAAGGACTATGCAGCAGGTAGAGATCGACGTAATCGAATCCCGTGGTCTTGAGCGTGTTCTCGATGTGCGCTTTCGCGGTGATGTAGCTCATATCTTTGGGCGGAATCTTCGTCGTAAAGAACAATTCTTCCCGAGAAATGCCAGATTTCTTCATACCCTCGGCGGAAGGTTGCTCGTTCCGGTACGCTACAGCTGAATCAACGTGCCGATAGCCAACCTTGAGCGCATGCTGAACCACATCGGCAGCGACATCTGCCGGTGTTTGGTAGACGCCATAGCCAAGAACAGGAATCTTGTGCCCCGACGGCATGGCATACTGTGAGTTGATCGTGAGACCTGCCATAACGGCCGATGACGTATGGAAGAAGCGCGTGGGGGCGCTGGAGCGGGGAAATTGAGTACGAACTTGATACAATCTTGTAAGAGCAGTGCGCATGATAGTGAGAGGTCGATCGACGAGGCAGACGTACGCGGGTAACTTTCCTAGATGATGCCGACGTATATCGCGCAACGGCAGGCAATACGAACGAAGCTAGCGGAGAAAGCCTGAAATAGGTATCGGCATTGAACGCCGATGACTCGAGAAGCCACAGAAAACCAAACCACCAATTTCCTCACTTGACCCCCGCTCCTCATCGAACCCTGAAGCTTCTCCTACCTCTTCATATCTTCTGGTATGCCTTCGATTTAACCGACGATATGGTGCTTACATCGGGCACGTAAGACGCAAAATGTCCCAGAACGGCAATATTAAGGTACTTTCACCGCACTTCGTATCCCGTTCTCTCGGGACATGCAGTGCAGCAAAGCACTCAATCTAGAACAACATAACCGGGTAAATCTTCGCCCCGTTTAGCAGCCACACCTGGCATACGCCTACTAACGAGCGACTCCTGTTAGGTTCATTTCCCGCGCTCAATGTCTATGAGCGTGATGGAACAGGCATCATGCTTCGAGCTTTAATGCATACGACGGTGGCTTCAGCCATCACTGGCTTCAAGTGAACGGTACCCGCGTTGATGGACCCCCGTACGTACTACTAAGCGCTAGAAGGACCGAAGAAGATCTGGAGAAGATGCTGGCGAACGTGGGTGGGGCCAATGCACGCAATTACGCGCCAGGACACTATGGATAATCAGGAAGCACGTCGCGCATGCGAGCCCCCGGATACTGAGTCGACTAAACTCACTCATTCTATTTCTTTGGGGTTGTGTGAGGAGCAGGTGCATTCTGCAAGCGGATAGCGAGCGTGCCCAGATCCTCGCCGGTGCACTGGCGCATGGTTCGGCACCCCGGGAGGGGTACGATGCTATACTTAGCAGAGTGCAGCATTAGCTGGACAACATTAACCGGCCACTATTTGTGCGAGAACAGAATGCGATTACATTATCGGAAAGCACGTGGTTGTTCCTGCGAGCCCTGTCGAACCGTCAGCGCACAAGTAACTAGCCCGGCAAGTCTGCGCTGTCATCGGTCAGCTGTGAGCGGAACGATGCTGACGTGCACGTGCAGAGTGACTTCATGAGGCTTAGTTTATCCCTTAGCTAAACGTGTCGCAGTTCAACAAGATTCCGCCTTGAATCATGAGTGAGTTCACGGTTGACGTTGCAGACCCAGAAAACGTTCGTCTACAGAGCGCAGATCATGAAACGAGTATCCGTACGGGATTGGAACTGCGCAGTCACAAACACCTCCTATACCGTAACCCGTTCAGCCCGGTACCAGAGCTGTTTCATCACTCGAGCCCAGCCTCTACCACGCTCGATACGTCATTCTGTGTTACCGTCGCAGCGTTTGACGGACTTTCTACCTGCAGTCTGTTCGGCAATGCGGAGGAGATTCCGGAGGACCTAACAAGGTAGCCTACTACGAGCACCCTCATTCCTATCGCTATTGGAGGCCTTTCCTTGACAGGTGAGTGTGGCATGCAACAGTAGGCGGTCAACAGGCAGCCACGATTGTCCATGGTGAGCGGCAACAGCTAGCAATGTGGGGGTTTGATACCACACATGTGCTCGATGCTCATCACTAGCTCCACCAGATCGTCAGGGCTTTCCTCTAAACAATAAGCAGCCTACTAAGATTAAGAGTTCTCTGAGTAAACCACTCTAGTGGATATCCCCGCTTCACTATCTGCCATTGGAAATTTTAGGCGAGGAACAGTTTGCAGCCAATTTCTGTGACCTCGACTGTAGGTAGGGCCATTCGGCCCGCTGGGGACATCGATGGCCAGTAGGCGGCGTACTTAGGGCAGCGAATGGGTCGTCAGAGCGGTCCGCTATGACTTTGGCGAGCGGATGTCAGCTTACTAGAGACCAGGGCCTGTGACACCACGGTTCCCCCTTCTAAATTAAGGCACCTGTTGGAAGGTCTATAGCACTAGTGCTGAAAGGAAATAACGATAACTAGGAATGCATTCTGTTCGGTGATGGTGATTGATTTATTACGAACACAGCTGCTACGAAGGTATACCTAAGCTCTGCGCAAGGTGGGCCGAAGTCGGGCCGAAGTGTCCAGCAGCCGACGTCTCTACCGATACTCACGATCCGACACTGGAAGTCTTTTCTTTCTGGGTAGCTAGTAACTCTGCTTGTATCGGTAGTGACAGTATGTGTTGATGGTAACTGTGTGTAGCATCAACCATCAAAGCTTGTCGGCCTCTGCACCCATCCCTCTACTCGGACTGTCAGCTTATTGCCGTCAATAAAGCGTTCAAGAGCGCGGTTTGGCGATGCCTTGGTGAAGGCGTCTGCAGGATTGTCTTCACCATTGATCCAGCGGATCTCCGTGATCTCGCGACGCTCATATGATTGGCGCAGCGCCATGATGTCGATCATGAGACGCTTTTCCTTCGTCGTCCCAAGCTTTACTAGGCACTCGTACAAGGAGTACGAGTCTGTACAGATAACCAAGGGAATTGCAGGTAGTCTAAGTCGTTCTGTAACTATCCTCAGCGTGGTTGCAACTGCAATGCCTATGTCAAAGCCGTTGACCATGCCGTAGATCTCTGAGGCCAGTACGCTCCGTGTGATGCGCTTGCATTTTGTAGAGCTGTAGTGGATCACGTTGCCCTGTATTGTGAAGGTGTTGACGTCAATAGACTCGTTGACGAGCATAAGGACAAAGCCTAGCTGTGAGCTGAGGTCCTTGTTGTTGGCAAAGGAGCCATCCACAAAGACCATCAACTTGGCCTCCATAAGATTGACAGTGACGTAGCGCAGGCCACGATCGAGATTCTCCATCTGCCATTTCAGGCGTTTGTTGAGTGCCTTGATGTCCTCGTCTGATGGTTGCTGAGCTTGAGCAGCGACGGACAGGTCAAATGACGCCTCTGGTTGGCATGTTGATGCGATGTACGCTCCGCGGGCGCGCTGCTCGGTGTACTGTTGCGCGCGGTCGGGTGCCCTGATATCCACAAGCCTGATCCTTCCTCCTTGTCCTTTCTGCCTAAGGGTCAAGACTCTGCTGGCGTCCATCGTGAGTGTACATCCATTGAAGTCTAACTGCACTTCTGGTGTCAGCCTTGCTTTTGGCTTTGACCTGAACTCTGCCTTCTGGATCTTCTTCTCTTCACGTGACGAGAACGCTGGTGTCCCGAGCATGAGAGTGTCGTCTGTCTGCATGCCAACGATGCCGAAGATGCCTGCGTCGTCTCTGTTCGTGATCAATAGGCATGGGTCGTACGTCGATGTTGCCATGTCCAGTTCCTTGCAATGGTGTCCGTGATACGTTGTCCACCAGTGGACTCCTGCCTCAGCGATTCCATACAGCGGCTTGATCACATGGAGTAGCGTGCCTTCTGGATATCGATGGACTAGCTCAGTAGGAAGATGTGCGAGTATCGTCCTCTTCAGGGTTGTCTGCGCCTGGGGATACGCCTGCGTAATGTCACGGAGCTCGATGTTCATTCCGCGTTGTACCATCTCGGGCGCCAGCGACATAATCAGGCGCTGGCTACATCGCTGTATGGTTGGAGATTGCGTCAGAATAGTCTCCTTGCCGTGGTCCTGGTAGCCTTGGATAACTAGGCGGGATTTCTCATAGGGCTTGGTTGTCTTTCCCTTGACCTCACGTACTAGGCGTGACTTGAAGATCCGGATCTTGCTGTGTAGCCTCTCGTCGTATTGCTCAAATTTAAAGACTCCACGACCTACGAGGTCGCTGATCTCTTGGTCATCAGACGCTTCAAAGGGGGCGCCTGAGGTTGTGATCACTCCATCGTTTCGTAGCTTGATAGCTAGTTCAAGATCGTCCTGCTCCTTCTTGGTGATGTACGCGTGCGCCTTCCGCTTGTTCTTTGACCCTGGAGGGCGGCCTCTCCTGCGTGGTTGCACTGCCGGTGGTACTGCTACCCGGCTCATGCGGCTCATTCGGCGCGTGTGGCGCATCGGGGTCGCTCCAAAGGTGGTCCGGTCTGTAGTATGGCTTGACGACAGTGGATCTGAATGTCGTTGGACCATTGACCATGTCAACAGTGACGTTGTGGCCATCTGTACTGGCGATCTTGTACGGGCCATTCCAGCCATCACTCTCTCTCCATACTAAGACTTCGCTCTGGAGTGGGAGCGCGAGCATGTCTGCAGTGGCTGGTCCATTGCGGGTGTTCAAGGCGTCTGCAACTTGGTGCTCTGCCGTGATCTTGCGTAGGGCTTTCGTCGCCTTTTGAATAGCCTCGCTGCGCTTGACCATTGACGGGGATGGCGGTGACTCTGCAGTCATTCGTGGGTACGCTCCAAAGACCAGTAGCGTCGGGACTAGTCCATCGGGGCCAGCAGTATCGTTGACAGCCTTCACAGCCATCTGGAGAATCGCGTCGTCGGACATAGTGTCAGTGAGTTCTGCATAGAGTATGTCCCATGCGCGGCGTAGAGGTGCATGGTACCTCTCAGTTTTGCCGATAGACCAGTGCGCCTCCGTAGGTACTTGCTTGCATGTGACTCCCATGATCTTTGCTTCTGCGCGGAACTCTGTGCTTGCAAAGTTAGTGCCTGCGTCATGCGTGATAATGTCTGGTGGTCCTTGATACGTGTCGATCCATAGTATCCGCAGTGCTTGCCATGTTTCTTTAGCTGAGATAGCGCTAAGGAACCTCGCGCCTTGAAACGCTGTTGAGGAATCGACCACATGCAGTACAGGTTTGTTGCTCAGGTACATCACATCCACCAGGATCTCATAGTTGAAGTGGTGATCATCCTTGAGAGTGAATTTGAATCGGCGCGGTGCGGAGCTGTGGAGCTGGCAGTGGTGGCAGAACTTAGTGACTTCTTCTAGGGTTCTTTCTTCGAAGTCGTTATGGCCAGCATCCTTTAAGAGCTTAACAAGTCGCGTGACAGCTGGGTGTCCAAATCGTCGATGGAGCCGTCGCAACTGTCTCTGTCAAGAACACAGTTGCTCTCTCTCTTTTGTTCAGATGGAACCAAGGATGTCCCCATTTGCGAATTACAGGGATGTGTACGTCACCCTGGACTAGCTCATCTGTGGTGTTGTTAAAGTAGACCTTTAACCTGTCCATGTCTGCAAGGCACAATAAGAATGGTGTAGGTGCGTCAAGCACCTCAAAGTTGATCGTCCCAATGTCTGTAGAGACCTGTGCAGTGCCAATAGATGATGTAGCCTCGCCCTTGCCGAATTTGATAGATGCCTTTCCTGCTGTAGACGTATCCATCCTAACTGTAGGATCTTCCCTTGTGAGTGCAAGGTACTGCTCCTTGCCAACTGTGGATACGTTGGCAGCGCCTGTATCCGGTAGGATCCCTTGGTACACAGATCTTGTGTAGCGGTCTTCAAGCAGGAGCTGTGACGCTGGCGCTGATGGCGCGTCTTGGCGGTATACGTCGTCGCCAGAGATGTGGTGCAAGAACGCCTGATCTGCAAGGCATTGCTCCGTGAAAAACTGGTGTTCAAGGTATGCTTCCGCGACGTCGTCATCGTCGTCATCCTCGCAGTCTTCCTCCTCTCTCCAGCCTCTCTGATTGTACTGGCTAGTGTGCTCGATCCCTTCGTATTCTGCAAGATGTACGGAGAAGTCCTTGGGGGGCTGTGTACCTGTAAAGTATAGCGTAGAGAAGAACTGTGTACGGGCAGCCTTGCGCTCTTCGTCTGTGTGGTTGGTAGACCAGCATCCTTCCTTCTGGCAAACAAAGCATTTCTTCCTCCAGCGTGGCTTGAATCCTCGTCCGTTGTCGTCGCGCTGCTCGCCTCCTCGATATGCTCCTCTGGATCCGCCTCTGAATCCTCCTCCACCTCGAGATCCACCTCGGATTCTTCTATTGCCGTTGTATCGGCGATCTAAGTAATATTGGTCCTCTGTGACCATCTGGGCAGTGTGTTGCCGTGCAAGGTGTGTCTCAACTGCAGAACGTAGGTCTGAGAAGAGTCCTTCACAGATTGTGGCTGGTTTGAACAGTGCCATCTCAAGCTCTGGTACTCCTCGGCAGGCATTGATGACAGTGGTACGTAGGGCATCCTCGCCCTCAAAGTTCTTGCCAAGGGCACGCTGGCATAGCTGCAGCTTGTCAAGCAGGATCTGCAGAACCTCGTGTAGTCCCTTGTCGGGGTTCTCTGTGCGGGTGCGAGCGAAGGTTGTAGTCGTCCAGTCTGTGTAGTAGTGCTGGTGATGGACGTCATGGTCGAAGTGGTTTTTGATTGCCATGTACGCATCAGCAAAGCTGTCATCTCTCTCTACAACCTGTATGTAGAATGTCTCTGCACGTCCGGTAAGGATACGGGGAAACACTGCGTGAAACTGCTCTTCTTGGATATCTACCTGCCAGCAGATGCTGAAGAAGATCTTGATCTTATCGTCTAGGAGATCGTACGCATTCCCTGTATACTTGTTGCTATTGTCCCATAGCTTAGAGAACTGCGTGATCGTATTAGCGTCGAGTCGATCGTTGCGGGACCATCGCGGCGGTAGCGTCTTGTACGGGTCGTATGGTAGTTCGGGTGGTCTGTTAGGGACGCGGTTCGTTGGCTGTTGCGGAAATGGCGTGACTTCGCGATATGCAGTCGCTGGCGGCCGTGTCTGTAGTTGCGCACGCCCTTGTTGCGGCTGCGCGGCCTGCTCCCACAGTTGTCGATGCTGAGGCCCTTCTAGCGTACCGCTCATGTGTAGCGGCTGTTGTGGCTCTATTGTTTGGGAACGGCTCTGGACGCCTTGTCTCACTCTATACTGCTCTTGTTGCTCGCCCTGCGACGGTCGTTGTAATTGCGACGGCTGTGGTACTTGCGGTGGCTGTTGTAATTGCGGCGGTTGTTGTAATTGCGGCGGTTGTTGTACTTGCGGTGGTTGTTGTACAGCTGGATAGACTGTGTGCTGAGTGTCCTGTTGGCGTTTATTGCTCTGCTGGCGCTGGTACGCTTCGGACTGTTGGTCGAATTTCACGGCTCGAAACTCTGCTGGTTCCCATTCAAGAGTATTCTCTATACCTAGAATGTTGTAGAGAGAGTCCGCCACCCTGGCGTGATTGTTGCCAGTGTATACTCCCCGGTGTCGTAGCACACTCTTAAGAGACCTTAGTGTACCACGCTCAACCTTGCTAAATAGCTCCTTCGTCCATCCTTCAAAGTCCCATTTGTAGTCAATGAAGAGGTCATCGTCCCAGGCCATTGACACATTGTAGTCGTGGATAGCTTTAGCGACCCACGTTGTTGCGTGTGTCTCATTTGCGTCCGCCGGTGCGGGTACACCCCAGAGAGCTGTATTGATGACCTTGAGTGCAACTGTGTATGGACAGTTTTCCATAAGTTGTTCCGCGGTAAATTTGGCCCATGGTGAGTCTGAGAGGTGTTCTGATTGCTCATTCTGTAGTTGATTCTGAGCTTCAGCAGAGTCTGCAGAGCTTATTTCGCTTTGGTTATCCGCCATCTTGCTAGCGGGTGTTGACGCGTTGTCGGTGTTGTTGTCTCGCTGGTTGGTCGTGCCAGCGCTTGTTGTTGTACGTGATCGGATCGTCCGGAGACGCTCGTACGGTTGAGTTGTATTGCGTTGCTGACGCGCTCTGTGTTCGCGGATTAAGCTAAACCAGCAGCTGTAGAGGGAGGTTAAGAGTGCTTTGTGTTATCTCTGCCTCGCTCTGTTCTTAGCACAGAATCTTCTCCCGGGAGTATAACGTCGTGCGTCAGGGAGTTCGTCGAAGATGCGGTCTGTCTCTTCTACCTTGCTGTCTGTGATCGCCTTAAGCAATCACTGATCAGTGTTGGAAGGTCTATAGCACTAGTGCTGAAAGGAAATAACGATAACTAGGAATGCATTCTGTTCGGTGATGGTGATTGATTTATTACGAACACAGCTGCTACGAAGGTATACCTAAGCTCTGCGCAAGGTGGGCCGAAGTCGGGCCGAAGTGTCCAGCAGCCGACGTCTCTACCGATACTCACGATCCGACAGCACCGGCAATTTCTGAACGAATGGGAAATATCCATCAATGAGATTTCGAACTGCGGTGGATTATTATTCAAGAGTCCCAGGACGCAATATCAAGGTTGACATGAGGTACGCGTGCAACTTCTGATTGTGAGTAAGGAATGGGGTGGTAAGTGGTGTCATAACACACAAACACACGTCAGACCGTATTCATGTCCATCTTGATACCTCCGGGGAAACTAATGCGACAATCTCCACGGCTTGTGCAAAAAAGCTTCGCCTGCCAAGGACGGTGCTTACGCTTTGAAGCATAGTATAACCACCACGTCGTACAATCACCACATGGAAGGGGAGACCTCGGTACAACGATTGTCGCAAAAATAGACCGACCAGGCAGGGTGATGAAGTCTCTGATTACATTTCGGCACCACCCGTTCCGTTGACAAAGATGCTCATAACTCAAGGGGGGGCTTAAATTGCGGGGCGTTTGGTTACGCCGGTACAACTGGACAGCATGTCTATGCCGGAGGTATTTCGTAGATCTCCACGCCATGTGGGAGAACCAACATTATTTATCTTCCGATTCTTTGCTCCACAGAGTATGGAAGTGGTAGATCTTGCATCGCCGATTCTTTTGGCCACCCCCCCCCCCCCCCCTGAGAGCGGTCAGCACACGGAAGTCTCCAGAAAGACGGTTCTATCCACGATGCCGTCGACAAGTAAGATTGTGTACGTACCTACGGATAGCTTGGATCAGGTCCCCTTCGTGCACTACCCAACCTGTCGCATGAAATCCAAGTCTCCGCATGGCTTACAGTCAAGGTGGTCTATCAATGATCCTTTGTACATCTGCCGAAGACAGCCAAGGGCCTCTAAGAACGTGAAACTACCTGTCAGATTAGATAAGATATTGCACAAAAGTGATGGATGTTTATGATTTATTTGTTCTTGTCTCTGTTCTAAGGTGCGCGCTGAGAGTTTTGTTCTGCTAAGACGCTAACCCGTTATTAGCTAGCGGTGTCGGCACTTTCGGCTCGACACGCCTGCTATCTGACACTACCACAGTAAGGACTAGAGATGCAGGGGCATCACCATGACAGGTAGATACGGTGTGCGTATCTCAGACCCCCTAGCATACATGCGGCCTACGGGCCAGAGTACAAGCACTGCATTGACCTTCTGGCAGCAAGGACGGTACAATTTAGCTTACGCGTAGGGCTGACTATGCTGACCAGTCGCCATTACTCGCACAGTCGCAATCCCTCGCGAAGTGCCTAGCGGTATTTTTTAATAGGGACAAACCGCTCTACACAATGATTTGATACCTTTTATTTTGCGCTAAGTTAGGATAGCATAAGAATAGCGTAAGGGCAGCGAGCTAGTTGGGTGGAGGGCAAGGAAAAACCATGCTAGACGCTTCGCTAGGGATTGTGATTGTATGTGAACATGCCGGCGTCGATCATACATAGGAGCGCTTTTATATTTGCACGCGTGTAATCATGATTGGAAAAGGTCGGAGTAAAAGCAGCGAATACGAACGGAACCACGCGCAACGCTACCAGGAAGCCATGTGCGGACGCAAAGATGACGAAAGCCAGGACAGTAAGACTCAGCAGCGCCTACCTGATGGGGAACCACAGATACGTGTGCCTGGAAGGAGGTGACCGCTTTTCCGTCGGCTTCGTATGGCCGGAGCACGTCATGCTGCGCCGTATGGTAGGACGATTTTATGCCCTGTGACATGTAATGATCCTCAAAAGTAGACCTCCTTGTGTGGTGCGCACCACCCTACAGCAAAGAAAAGGCCCGATTGCGGCACCGCACTCATCTCCAGACCTTCTCCACTAGGTACCACACACACACCTGTGCCGCCGCCGTCCAGACACGCGAACCGCGTGGGTGAACGCAGAACTCTAACTTGGCCCTGGACTCTCTGGGCCGATAGCTATACCCAACTTCTCGAACCGAGCCTGTCACAGGTGTCGGTATTAAGACTTCTGAAACCGTCGCAAACAATCGATACAACTTGTGATTGCGGCGCGACCTTTGCACAGTAGGGTAGCAGCTGCAGATTGCGGCGCAGTCGCATCGGTCTGGTGTGTGGGTGACGGAGGAGCATGCCCCGGAGAAGAAGGACCACAACCCAGGGCCCCACAAGGCGGCAGAACTCTAGGGCAAATGCCCAGAAAGCAGATTAAAAACCGAAAAATGGTAAAGGGAGAGATATGATGAAGAGGGTGTGTGTACTTCAAAGTGTGTCCCATGCAAAAACTATGTGACTCGTATCTGTTCATTGATATGTGATAGTGCATTTCGCTGGCGGTAGACGCCCAAAGCTCTCTTGGAAAACATACATACTTGCTGCAAGGGTTTTGGTAGTGTGCGCGCATTGTGACAAAGGGGCCGCCTAGCAGGCCCCAGAGGTGAGGTAGAATAAGAAAACGTTATACATTCGAAACGTTCAGCTTAAGCAAGGGTATCGAGCGAAGTAAGAAGTAAAAAATGTGAAATGTGCGCTTACACGAAGCGTTTGCGCGCTGCTGTGTTGCTGCTGCTTTGCTGTGCCGCCTCATTCCTATGCAAGCCACCCGTTTTAACGCCAAGTTTGCGCCGCATCGCGTGCTGAGCGCGTTTAGACAGTGTGTCACTGTGTGACTATCCCTAGTTGAAGATTAAAGAAAGAAGAAAACGTAAAAGAGGAAAGTTCGTGCCAAGTCATAGCCCGGAGTCTGGTATGCGAGTCTCAGTGGGCATGCAGGTGGTAGAATAAAGAGTTGCTAGGTGGGGGTTCGACGGGACTCATAGCGTAAGGAGCAAAGCCGTGCTGGATATGTGGTTCAAAGTGGGCATAGGGTATGGCCGCAGGGTCCAATTCTTGCCACTTGCGCGAGCATTGTCGGGCGGTCCATTTCTCTAGAGCACCGAACTCGGCCATCTATGTCGCGTCAGCATTATGTTTCGTGTTTTGTGACATTGAGGGATAATACCTTTGCAGCAATGATCTCAAACTTGTTCTGTGCCCAGTACTCGTGTGCGGCGCGCAGTGCCTTGACATCTTGCTCGCTCCAAACCCGCATCCGTTCTCGTAGGCGCTTGAGTCGCATCTGTAGTGCGGGTATCTGATAAGTCTTGTTGAGGTCTGTCTGGAAGCGTGCTGCGATGTCCTTCCACGGCATGGACTCTTCCTCTTTGAGTTGTAATAGTAGCTTGTCTTCTTCACTGAGCTCAAACTGCGTTGACATTTGCGAGTCGGAACGCTTTCTTCTCTTGGACTCTTCAATGACTGGCTCTTCTTCCTCTTCTCGGAACCGTTTGCTTCCATGCGACCGGGGTGTGCCAAGGAGCATTGGCGCGATGGGTGTATACATGCGTCGAGGTTGCGGTGAGGCCATCTGGTTAGAGGACACCTCTATGGATGGCTCGCTCAAACGGGGGCTGTGGGTCATGATTGGGAATGCTTGATAGTAAGATTCTTGGTTGGAGTGGATGCCTAATGGGTTCATGGTCCAAGAGACGTCGACTGCTCCTGAATGCATCGAACCTGAGCTGCTGTGAGGTCGATCCATCAGATGGGGCTGTCTTGTCAAGTGAGAGGTCCCGTGCTGCCCGGCACTTCTTGCGTCGGTAGACTGGGGCTCCTCTGATGGGCGGGTAGACTCGGGTACTGCTGAGTCGCGGGAGTAGACGGTGGCTGGGGATATGGCGGCTGATGGGTCAATGTGTGTGGTAGATACTGGAGCCTTTGCAGAGTAGGAGAAAGCAGATACAGGCGGCGACAGGTTGAGTGCCGCTGTTTGTGAAGGCACAAAGTGGCCATATGGGGCGTAGCTGGTCTAGACGAGTGCATATGAGTAGCCGATCTTGCAACAAGGGTGAAGTCCAAACCTCATTATGGCACTCTGGGGCCGAAAGGGAGGGGCCAAACCACCCAGACGTGGGTAGGCTGGTGAGCTCTTGGGAGGGAAGAGGACTTTCCGATAGGTGGGACATGTAAGAGTGAAGTGACTGGGGAGACATCGGGGCAGGCGAGGATGCCGGGGCGGGGTAGTGGTGAGAGTGGTAGGCACTCGGGTAGGCGACGGTCTTGTTCTGTAAAAGATGTGGAGGAGGGATAGAAGACTCGAGTATGATAGACATGACAACTGCTTCTGAGGGGTGTATAAGAAGGGCGTTTGCTGCTGCGCCTCTATATCTCTGGGTCGCTAATGGAGCAAGCAACAGACACGGGTGGTAGCAGGAAAGAAGATGGATGGGGCGCACGGTGATGATGCTCAAGCTGGCGGTAGACGACCAGGCTAGGGGAACGCCTCAGTCATATTTATCAAGATGGCTCCGGTATAGCGGCCTCGAGCGCAGGTCACTTCTAGTGCGTCAACTCTGTATCGTGCCACCCCCGGTAGGCTTGGGAAGGATCCTGATGCGCACTGACTGTCAGGCCTGCACGTTAGCGCCCCGAGCTTTCGCCCTGGTCTCTCGAGTCTCTTCGCGTGCTGGCGGCATCAGGGCCTGCTGCCATGGCTTTCGCCTGAGCCGCGAATTGGCCAGACATGCATGGCCTGTCGACGGTTGTGTCCGGCCCATTTGCTGGCCCGGGACGGTGTGCTGGGTCGCTGCTGGCCGTCATGCAACGGCGATGATCACGGCCGTGGAGGCGTCGGCGCAGCCTTGCTATCGGGATCCGCTACACAGCTAGGGCATACCCGGCGTCTTCGTGATGGTGGAGCGATTATCATGGTAAACGTCTACAACGAGGTGGGCGTGGTGGTCGGCCCTGACGCCCTGGAGAGCTCCAGGTAGTGGTTCCAGAGGACAATCTCTTTTCGCTGCAGCGTGATATCGACGAAGCTGTCTATGCAGACAGCGCCATAGGATCCCGTCCACAAGGGTGGCACTCCATCGCGCAGCACGAGCAAATTTCGCCAGCCCGCGTCTTGTGTGTTGCTATTCGGTGGGCTGGACGACTGTGCCGTATGTGAAGCTCAAAGTCAGTAAATTGCCCCGCATGTGGAGCGTAAGCTGGTGATGAAGGACGTAAAGGCGCTTAAATGCATGCTTGGGGCAATTGTTATTGGCAGCTAATGTGTGCTTCGGTTGGCTAAAGGCCGCTAATTTGCCGCATTCATCACACTGCCCACCCTTCCAACTCACCTCCTTCGCATGGCACCTCTCAACCACCTCTCGTCCATGGCATTTGCGAAGATCACTGCCACCACCACCATCGAGACCACTCCATCAGTCAGTGCGCAAGCTCGCTGTGTCGATTATCGCCCCACACCACGAAACTTTGGCCCGAAGAGAACCGCCGACAGTGACCTCTTGCCACATGTCCACTACTAGTCTACCTGGGCTGTGCGTTGTCTAACGGCTAAAAGATATCGTTCGTGCAGTGCTCCATGCCCTAATGCCTGCTACTTTGCCGCCATGTCCCTATTGTTGCTCATCACATTGGTGGTTGCGATTATCAAGAGGAGGCACGTAGGTACCTACATCGTGATAATGACGCGGCAGTTGAGGAACCCCCTCACTGCGTGGGGAAACGTGCATTACTCATGTGACATGGCTTGAACATGTTGTGCCCATTCTGAGATATATCGTCTTTGCCGCAGACGACCTTCACCGACTGGTTGCGGCGGCAGTGTACCGCTGCCGCGAGCGCTTGACTGAACCACAGCGGCGTATGCCATGGAGAGAGTCGAAATTAGAGTCGAGATAAATTGAGCCAGGCAGATAGCGTGGCTCAGTTACTGCGCCATAGTTGCACTCGAACTTGATGGTGCCACCTGGACGAGGCGAGATGATCAAAAATATACTTGAAGCGCCTAGCTGCGCATTTGGCCGCAGCGCATACCACTTGAAGTACCGCGTTACAACGGGTATGTGTCAAAGTTCAACACCATTGTCCGAGTGCCCTCAACACGTGGAACGTGGACCTCGTCAAAGATACTGTACACTCGTCAGCCCTACAAAACCTACCGGTACATGACCAACAAGAACAGAGCCGAACATCGGCATGTTGAGCATCTTTCCGATGGGTTTTTCCACCAACCATTACCCACATTTGATTTGATAAACTGGGGCCCAAAATCTCCGAAAACAGACCTCGTGTTGCATATCGATGAAGATTCCCGTGACAAGGTGCCGACAGATCGTGGGTGCCTGAGATGAGCGCGCCGAACCGGCAGTTAGTGTGGAAACCGTCGCATCAGATAGGTATGTACTTGCGAAAAGTCATTCGGAAAATCATTCGATTCTCCACAATATATACGCACATCAAAGCAAGCGCAGGCATATGGCGTGAAAAGTATATGAATTTCTGACATAAGAACAAAGTGGTTGGGCAGTTTGAGCTTGATTGTTCTCGCGATTGCAATTCCAAAACACGTCGAGTTGCAATACTTACGTTGTTCTTTGGGTAAGCTCAACCGAGTCATGCATGTACACCGCGTTTTCGCTACTCTTTCTAGTACAATCTTCTAGTCTTGTGTGTTTCTATTGCTCAATTTCCCATGGAGACTTGATGAGGTTAGGCGATGAAATGGCTGGGGTAGACCTGCAGTAGGTCAGCCTTGCGTACCCATTTCCAGGACAAGCAGTCTGCGCTACGCTCAATCGGGCACGCTAGGACTGGACCCTGGGCCCTTGCCAAGCATGTTACAGGTAGCGACGTAGCGTGTTGCTTGCGTCAACCCGACGAAGACACCAAGTATCACCATCAAACCACTCTCTAACATCGATCTCTCACTCCTCTGATCCCGAATTAACTCGGAAATTGCTGCTCAGCACATCTAGATTCGCCCTCGCGCTCGACACTAAGCCGTCTTACGGGAACCGCGTGTTCCAAACGTCTGCTCTGCTCCCACGCACGCCAGCGACAGGCGGCTGCCACGTTACCCCGTGTAGCCGTCTTCGTACTCGCCATGAAATTCAACCTCTTCCACATCCTCGGAGATGTGTCGCACACTTCGTCCAAGCTCATTTTAATATGGGCCATACATGCCAACAGCAGTGCTGAGGGTGAGCTTACGTAGATTGCGGATGGGGGATGGAGCATAGCTGACGTATGCAGGTGTCTCCCTCATCACTCAGGTCCTTTATGCCCTCGTATTCGGAACACGATATCTCGACATCTTTACGTCATCGGCCACCAAGGACGTCTGGCACACATGGAACTTCTCGTTGAAGGTGCGGACAGCTGGCGCATACGCAGCAAGACTAAACGCTAACAGATGAAAGATCTTCTACACCCTCTCGTCGCTCTACATCATCTTCTTGATGACAAGCGTGTATGCGCGCACTCGTGAAAGGGAAAAGGCATGGAAGTTTGGCATGTACTGTCTACTAGGGAGCGTGGCTATTGCTCCCTTTTGGTACATTATCTTCAAGAAAACCGTCATTGGCAATAACACCTTCCTCAAGGTACGTCTCCTGTGCGCCCTTTTTACCATCACACACAAAGCTCATTCTACTAGATTCTCTGGGTCTTTTCCGAAATCCTCGAATCCGTATGCGTTATCCCGCAACTGCTACTCCTCCGCCAAACCACCGTGCCTACCGTCATCGACTCCTTCTACCTCGTCACACTCGGTACATATCGCTTTCTATACGTCCTCAATTGGATTGTTCGCGGTGCCAATGAGGACCACTATCGCGATCCTACTTCTTGGGTTTGGGGCTCCATTCAAACAGCCCTCATGATCGACTTTGCGTGGGTCTACTGGACCCGCCAGCGCGTCAAGCTCCGTCATGGCGGCGTTGTGGATTCGGATGACTTGGGCAGGGGCTGGCTCGTGGGACGCTTTGTTGGAAGGAAGAGCATGGATTACGACTATGACGAAGAGACTGGCGGACAACGCAATGACGCTGTACAGCCGGGCAACAACTGGGGGCGGAGGGGCATCTCCGTGTCTGCTGACGATGACGTAGAAGGAGCGCCCAAGAGGAAGGGTCCACAAGGAGAAAATGCGGACCCAGAGAGCCAGCCATTGGCAGATCCTGCGGCCTTTGAAGATGAGAGCGACGATGATGCGCCGCCACCTGCAGCTACTTCAGTAGCTGAGCAAAGCGGCGTGAGAAGCGACGAGTGGAATGATGATGTAGACGACGATGCAAGGGAGCACGATGCATCATCAAGAGCGGGCAAATAAAGGTATCTACTGGACATGGTTTTGGATCAGCGTTTAGCGATAGTGCAGCTTGCTTCTTGTACAATTCTCTTTCCTCGCAATCAACGTTTTTACTTCACCAAGACCCTTACTCTAACCTCCCAATCCTTCCCCCAATATGACCGCTAATTTCCCCTGTTTCACTCTAAAACGATGAATCAATCATACCCTAAAACATAAAGCCAACTAAATCCCCTCTTTCTATCTCCTCGTTCTCCTTCCAGCGCGGACGCAGCCTTCCCATCTCCCGTACCCAAATCCGTTAAACCCGCATCAATCCCCAGCATCCCGGACCCGGGACACCTGCAGCCAGCATTTGCCAACCCACGTGTACGGTAATGATGCAAGCCCAGGTAGTTTAAACCCCCCGCGATGGGCAGGTAGACGCGATGCAGTAGCATGGGCGTGATTATTGGGAATATGCGGGATACCGTGGGGGCGGAAACGGGTGATGCGAAGTGCGTAGATAGGAAGTGCTGTCGGGTCGGGGAAAATCATGGGTCCGGGTGGGTTGAATTGTCGGATCATTACTTGTTCTACCTATCGGTGTTGTATTTGCGTGTGTATGTATGTGTGAGTTTCTTTTCTTGAATGTCTAACTACACGCTGTTTACAAGAGTTTGTTGCACACACTACGTACTAAACACGCACAGCCTGAATAATAGACTCGATGTAACCACACATACACACACACCCATCCTTCTCATCCTCATCCTCTTCCCACACACATCCACCAACTAATCTACAGCACCCAACGCCAGGCCTTGGCAAACCGACCTTGTGATTTCTTCGGATTCCGAAACTATGGGTAGCTAAGCTTGCTGGCATTACTTCGCCTCGCCTCGCCTCGTCGGTTCGGGTGCGCGGCGGGTAAAAACAAAGTGGTTTTGTGTGTATGACATGTGGGAGTGGGTACCCGGGTGTTTATGTATGTGGGTTTATATTGTCGGGATGTTCGGGTATTTGTATGTGTGGTTGTGGTTTGGCTGGGGCTGGCTGGCGGGGGGTTTATAGTGCACGCACTGTACGGTATGTAGGTGAATGGGTGTGCATGATACATGGGGAGAGTTTGGACCCGCACATGGGTTTAGCGCTGGGTGGAGTGAGTGGTCTTTCCGTGGGATCGGTAGTTTCGGGGGTGCGTGTGCATGGGAGGGTTCATTCCAGATATACAATACATGCGTAAAATTTCTACCAGAATCTTCGTAGATCTCATCAACATAGATCCAACGCCGCCCGATGCAAAGAGAAGAAGAAATGGTTATATACAAGAAAGGTGGTGTTTCCACTCTAAAACGAACCTCCGTTTACACAGACAATGGGAGCTTCACGCGCCTCGCCTGCGATGATACGGTCGAGTTGTTACAAACGCCTGCAGGCACATCGAAGCTGTTCGTCCTGCCACCGGTGCTGTACACGGCCTTCTCGCCCAGACCCCTCTTTGCGAATCCGCTCCAGATCTCGCATAGGTTGGCGCCACCAGTAAGCGCCTTGTCGGCATCAATAATGGCGTCACGGGCAGACACAAAGGTAGGGTTGCAGGGCTGGAGAGCCATACCGTCGAGCGCAAGCTTCATGGCGAGGTACTTTCCATCCTTGGGCACACCAGCGCTGTTGAACTCGGGGAGCCAGTCGTCGTTCTTGCCGTACTTGTCGATGAGGTTCCAGAGCACCTCGTAGAGCATGGATGCCCAAATGTTGCCGATGGGGTGGACCCTGGTGTACTGGTCTACGTCGGTGTAGACCTGGGGGTTGACTTCCAGGTTGGTCGAGTACTTATAATTTCTAATACCAAATTCACTTCCACTAATCCACTCACCCATGGTGTAGTCCTTGGCGCGGGTGTCGCTGGGCTTGAGACGGATGGCAGTGGCGAAGAAGTCGCTCCAGCCCTCTCCCATACCTCCGGATTCAAGCATAGAGAGACAGCCAGAGTTTGCGGGGCCACCAGTGAGACGGTTAGACAGGCCGTGAGTGTACTCGTGGATTACTACACCAGCTTCGAAGGAGCAGTCACGGAATGGTGTGGTCTGGTTCCAGATGTACATGCGCATACGTGCGGGTGAGCCATCGGGAGGTGTGGCAAAGTTGGCGTTGTTGAAGCGCTCGCCATCTTGTGCGTTGAGGTAGACGAAATCTTGTCCGACGCCACCGGCACCGTTGTTGTTGATTTCAAAGTTTCCAGCCTTTTCGTTGAAGCCCAATGTGTAGAGCAAGTCGTGGTACTTGTTAGAGGTGTAGAATAGCTGAGTGATGGATGCATTGCCGTAGTCGTGGAAGTCGGTTTGGTTGAGTGAAAAGGGGTAGTCGAAGTTCAGGTCCTCACTGGTAGGGCGGGGTAGGTCGAGGAAACCGCTCATCTTGTTGTCCCAGTTTGTGTGTGCAATTCCGTTGTTGCCACGGGTTGTCTTGAACGCCATCTTGCCGTCATTGTGCCATCCAAACTCACTGGCTGGAGGATAGAAACCATCGGTCACAAGCTGTCGCTCTCCCTCAGTTGGGTCGTTGATTCCCCATGGGCTGGTTCTGGTTAGTGCTGCTCCGGATCCAATAATTTGTAGCTACTTACTAGACGTTGTAGGTTGCATCGGCAGAGTAGTCGACAACCGCATGCACCTTGCTGCCGTCTTTGACATCAACGTAGGACAGAAGCCAGTTGCTCATAATGTCAGTCTCAACTCTCCAGGTAAGGGCGAGCTTGCCCTCATCATCTACAAGGTAGACAAGGCGGGCCTCAGGCTCGCTGACAGTTCCAGTGGTCTTCTTGATAGCGTAAGTCTCAGTTGCATCCTTGGGCTCGGCGGTTGCCGATTGAGCAGAAACTGGGAGAGCGAGGACATCGACAGCCGACTTCAAGGCGGCTACGGGCTCAGAACCATCACGCTTGGTCAGACTTGGTGGTGCTGGGACGTCGCCCTTGTAGAAAGAGTTTCCGAAAGAGAAGACGTTGCCATCACGACCAATCTGCAGTTGGTTAGCAATGACGATGAGCTGAGGAATTCAGTCGACTTACGTTGACGTTGAAGTCGGCAGTGTCGATATCAAGACCGTTGGCGGTTTGCTTGAAGTAGAAATGTGCCACACCGTTATCGCTGACGTACGAGTCTGATACAAGACGGAAGGTAGCATTAGGGATAGTAGCTTTGACGAGATCGGTAGCAATGTCTTGGGCACTAGCACGCTTTGCCAGTGTGTTGATGTTGTGGTCGGCCACAACCTCTGCAACGTTCTTGTATGTGGCGGCATGCTTCATGCGGTATGAATCTAGGTCAACGCCCCGGCGAGTAAGCGTACTCCGGGCATGAGGATGGCCGTAGACGCTGATGACCGACAGAGAGGCCAGCGAGGCAAGAAGGAAGGAGCGCATCTTGAGTGGGGGAGGTTGTAATGAAGGACTGGAGACAAGAAGTGAGGACAAGATTCTACCAGAGCCATATACCTGCACTCTTATACATGATGTGCTCTTGCCACACTGAAGTCCGAATCTCCTCCACGCTCAGCCCTGCCCCCCTGGTGTATAGAAAAGCGAGGTCGCAACGGTGTTAGACCGTTCACGCGACAAGGAAAGGTATCCCCGGCTGCCTTATTGAGTCTGGTTCGACAGCAACCCTCCCACGCCGATGTAGTAATTAGTAGTTTGAAGCTTGGCGATCCTGTAAAAAAAGGCAGGCAAGCTTCCATAACCCCGGTCAAACCGGGCTGGGCACTATAATAGACAGTGGATATCAGTGATATGATGGTGGACCTTCCGAATAAGGTCATGGGACCGGGAGATCACGACAGTGCAGTTCGCTCACATGAAGCGGACGAGTGCATTAGGTGCACCGGTGCAAACGGGCTCCGAGGCACTCGTCTTCGTCATGACTATAAACAACACAACACACACACACACTGACTGGCGAAACATGTCAATCCTTTTTCCAGGAGTTGTTCCAGCAGGCCCCTGCAGAAAGCGAAAGTCCGAGACCGGACTTGCCGCAAGCCAACAGCACACAAACCTGGTAGCCGTCAATCAGTTCGCAAGGCGGTCGCTGAAATTCGATAGGTACACGCAGAGATTCTGATGCAACTACGCGCTGTGGTGGACAGATAGTGAGGCTTGGCGCAGTGGCCGCCTGCCTGTTTGGCAGTAGTGTCAGGCCCTCGACTATTCCGCTCCGATGAATTAACATAGTTGACCAGAGCCATCGGACATGTAATACAAGGGCTGCGCCTCATACAGATAGAAGTAAAGTGAAGGGTCGCGCGAGAAGGCTTCTGCGCATGGACAAAGTGGGAGTATGACGATGTGGTTGGATGGAGACGCGCCCAAAGTAGAAAGTGGCAAGTTTCAGAATCTGCCAAGGATGGCGGATTTAGCTGAAGACCCCTTTGCGGCTATCCTCCTGCCTAGTAGATAAGGTTGCCCGTTTACCGTCTGTCATAATAACGCATTTCGAAGACCAAGCATCAACGTTTGTATGAGCTTTCATGCGGCACATGCTCACGTCGTTGCGCCGTCGATCGTTAGCACTAAGCCAGTGGAGATCCCGCTGCAGTCAGACCAGCCGGATCCGCGGTGAGAAGCTTGGTGGCTGTGGAACCTCGTGCCAAGTTGATCAGCGTGATGTGGTCATTCAACGAGGTATTTTGATTTAGTCTATGCGAAGTGCGCCATCTAGGCGCCCCTTACACCACAATCAGATTTCCTATCTTGACACCCTGGGTGCGGAAATAATACCGCCTACTCAACCCAAGCCCGCTCGTCCTCTTCAACTTTTCCATCGTCTCTTGTCCTCCCCCAACCATAACGAGGGGTATAGGATTCGGCCTCAAAATCCCTGATGGTGTGTATTGCACTTGATCAAGTAATGGTTGAATGAGTGGCTGTGTTGCATCTGCGTGACTGTCGTCTTCCTGCTCGGGAAAACTGATAATGATGACAAGTTGGAGAGATGCTGCATCAGGTGGATATGCGGGAATATTTTGCAGTTTGGTCGAAAACGAACAATCGCCGCGGGGAATAGCGACAACCTGGTAGTGTTTTACTATCTCCATAGGAAGACGCTCAGAGCAGAGTGTCGTTGGGTGAACGTAGATGTTGGTCCAAATTAGTGGATTCTCGACATTGTATGCCGACTGTGCATCTTTGATATCAGGCATTGGCGCTGCGCCGGGCCCTGTTGGAAGCGTAGCGGGAAGAGACTGGCGCTTTGAGATCGCTTTTTTTCGGTTTTGCGTTTGCGAGGCCGTCGATGTTGATGTGGGCACTGGGGCGGAGAGGAGCGCCTGGAGTGACGAGAAGAAGTTGGCAAGGTAGGAGGGCTCTGTTTCTAGAGCCTCCGGGTCTACCTCAATATCCACGGCATCCTTGAGATCCAGACCTGACAAGTTGCTCAGGTCGCCTAGGGCGTCGCTGAGAAGGTCGGACAACGCAGTGGAAGTTGCGGAAGCTCGCTGAGGTTCTATGTCCATTACCAAATCCAGGGTATGTGTATCCCGCGTTCTCGTAAAGTACGGATCCAATGGGTTGAAATCATCGATTGTAGAACGTGCCATGAAGACCTTCTCATCGCGACCTAGAGCAATGTTGGAGATTGCGTAGATGCGGAATTGCTCGTCCAGTTCTACTGCATGTACATCAGGCAAAGTATCGTGCTCCCGCACCATACCAAGTCTCAGCCCACTCATAGAATTTACCAAGATGCCTTCCTGTACCCTCTGCAGCGCCCCAACCAGCGACGTACTTGGCAAGTTAGGGAATGATAGGTCAAATGTCGTTCTCATAGCCATGGGCGAACTTGTGGCGTTGTGTGGTATGAGCTCAGGAGGCAGTGTCCATGGATAGTATGTGTAGTTGGAAGGCGATCGGATATCCGACAGAGAAATGCTAGGATGGTCGGCACTGAACTCCACGAGGGGCGAGTCAAGTGTCTCGACTGTCGGCATCAGATGTAGTTTGGCAAGACTTGCAGCGTGGTACACATCATTGCGCGCGGCTGTGGCAGAAATGCTGAAGGGTAGGTGGGCAGGCGGCAAAGGACAGGTCTCAACCATTTGCCAAAGAGGTGGGGCTTCTGGTATTTTCCTCGCTGGGCGTACACGCTTAGGTATGATCAACGGATGGCCTTCAGTAGTGAATACGAAGGGTGCATCCCAGGTATTGAGCGGATGCGACGGGTCGAACAGTAGGAATAGGTACTTAGCCGTTTCACCAAGAAAGAAACTCTCCATGCGATCATTCAGTTCGCCAGTGCGCACATCCTGCAGGCCCGCCCATCCACACTTTGTCCAACAACGTCTCTTGATGTCACGAAGCGCCATCTCTCCTACATGGAGGTACCAAGGGTCTTTTGTGGCCTGGTAAAGATACCAAGTCGACTCAATCCATTCCGGTCGGCCACCCCACCAGCGTAAACCATGCTCGATACCGCCAGTTGCAGTAGACCATCTTTCGGGCATGGCCGAATAGCGAGTCCAAAGAGCTGTGTAGAGTAAATGTGTTTCGATAGCCTCATCTAGTTTGCCAGCCATGGTCAGGAGACCTTGGTAAAAAGCACTGAGACTGTCTATCCAGAAAGCTCGAATAGCGCCCGTATAAAGATCAACCTGGGCATAGTGAGGGTGCTGGTGTTGTTTCCCTCGGTAAATTTGTCGCTTAATGCCATCGTGCGCATCAAGCCAGGCAGCCAAGAATGCATCAGGGGAATCAGTAGCTGCGTTGGCTGGGTCGAATGGAAGTCCAGAAAGTAAAATATGCGACTTGAGAGCGTATTCAAAGAAACTGTCGATGCCCGCTCCGATACCAGTATAGGCATTGACCCACTGTCCGGTCTCAGCGTCGATACCGGCACCGATAAGTCCAATGCTGCTTCTGCGTTGCCACACAGCCCAAAAAGCCTTTTTGGCCAATCTCTCATACAGAGGCTTGCCAGTCAAGCGGCTCAGAACGGAAAATTCAAGGACAAGACTTCCGGCCCCAGCGCTGCACGTCTCAGTGACTTCGGTCCCTTTGTCTTGCGGATCCCTCCCACATTGGCCATGTTCTGGATCCATATTGTTCGGAGATTTGGCATAGAAGGGCACACCATGGCGCAAATTGACCCGGGGGTATGGTAGACCGGTCGGGGTGTTGAAAGCCGGCAACAGTCGATCTGCCAGATCTGTAGCCAGGCGTAGCAGCTGTCCGTCATAGACCAAACCATTTGGCCAAAAAATACCTTGTCGGTGTTTTTTCTTGGTGACGTTTGCATCGTATCCTCGAATGGGTAGATCTCCAACGGCAAACTGATGTGCGCTCAGCAGCCCGCCAACACCCCGGATAACCGTCTCAAAGACCTGTACCTTGCTGTCTAGGTTGAAGCCCCTGGCTCTTACTCCCCGACCTTTGCGACCTGGTGTGCCATCTCCATAATATTGGACCAACAGCTGGACACCGTCCTGGAATTCTTCTAGGGCACGGTTCGTTCCTGCCTCGGAAGGTGGTGGGGATGAAGCGAGGATAGCGAGCGTCGATAAGCTGTCAATCAGGGTCAAGGAGTAGTTTCCGAGGACATCGTTGACTTCGATGTGGGCGGGGTTCTGGCGGTCGCGGGTAAGGGGTCCGCACGTGAGTGGTCGTAGTTCATCTTCGGGAAAGGCATGTTCCATGTAGTTGTCATAGCCATGGTAGAAGATGTCGCGTGTCTCTTGTCTGGCCAAATAAGCATGTGCATGCAAGTGATGAGACTATCATGGCAGTACCTCAATTGTGATATGGTTTCATCGGTCATACAGCGCGCAAAGGTTGCCCAGCAACATATACACAACAGCACCGTCCATAGTGATAGTGGCTGAAAGGGTGCTCCTCCGGGCATTGGCGCATTCCGCCGCAGAGGCCTTCCAGTCGGTCGCATGGGCAAAGGAGTCCCTGTAAGGCGACATGGAATGGGCTCTAGGTGCGGCAAGGAGGGGACGTGTCCAGGTTGTATAAGCAGGGCCACATGGCGTTCCTACTAGTCTGGGGTGGGTGAAGGACACGATTGCGATTACCATATAACGCCGGCGAACTTTTGGCGAGGAACGGAGCGTCATTGCGCCAAGACATGCGCTCCATCAATTATTTCATCCCAGCATGGCGAGACATGACCAGCCTAATTTTGCCTCTTCGCCCGCCCGTCGCAGTTGATGAGTTGTAGAGGCGGTTTTGTTTCATAATTTCTATTTACACCCACCCGTCATGCTGCCCCGAGCTGCTGTCCGCGCGCTGCGCATCCGGCCTGCAGTGGCCGCTCCTCGCATCACATCCATTGCCTCGACCTCACCATGGACACGCACATATGCCAAAGTCGGCAAGCCAAAAGACAACACCTGGAAACCAACGGATCCCATCAAGTTTGCTGAAGACAACAAAACTAGCCCAAACCCAACCAGCCCCTCAGAGCAGCCTGAATTCGACTCGGCGGCGGCACCAGAGCGCAACACAACACCATCACAGCCATCAAGACCAGTAGAGAGCGCTACACAGGCCTCGAAAGATGCAGGAAGCGACGCCGCCATGGGCGAACAGGCGGAGATGTCGGGCCCCAAGTCGCCCGCCGAAAACACAGATCCCACCACCGAAAGCCCCGAGTCGCAGCAACCGCAAAAGCCATTGCCCGACCTACGATATGGCATTCCCTCTACTTTTGCCGAAGAGCATGCCGAAGCCTCAGGAAAGGCAAAGAGGGACCCCAACGACCCCAACCAACTCCCCGACGATGCAATACCCGGCGCCGCGGGCGGTCGAGAGGGCGGTGGTGGCGGGGAGCTGCCCAAATCTGCATACGAGACCAGCACAGACAGGCGGCGGAATCGCGTCGCAAACTGGTCCTACCTAGCAATGCTGCTCTTCGGCACAACAGGCGCAGTCTTCATGGGCAGAAATTGGGAGAATGAAGAGGAAGAAGCCGCACACATAGACGCTCCCAACGGCTGGAGTCTAGGAGCCATGTACGCCCGCGCCGCCGCTCGTATCAACGGACAAAAAGCCTACTACACCGAACCCACCTTCCAGAAGCTACTACCAGACAAGGACAAGATTCCAGGAGGAGCGCCCGAACTCACACTAGTCTTAAGTTTGGAAGATCTCCTACTGCACTCAGAATGGACCACCAAGCACGGCTATAGGTTAGCAAAGCGACCTGGTCTCGACTACTTCCTGCGATATCTCAGCTCGCAGTACGAGCTTGTCATCTTCACCTCCGTCAAGTCCATGGACGCCGACCCCATCATCCGTAAACTCGATCCCTTCCGCCTCGTAATGTGGCCCCTCTTCCGCGAAGCCACACGCTTCGAGAAGGGCGAGTACATCAAAGTACGTTTTGAGCATTTCACACACCAGACCCCTACTAACAAAACCCAGGACCTCTCCTACCTCAACCGCGACCTTTCCAAAGTAATCATCCTCGACACTGACCCAGCCCACGTAAAACTCCAACCCGAAAACGCCATCGTCATGCCCAAATGGAAAGGCGACCCCAACGACAAAGGCCTCGTAGCCATGATCCCCTTCCTCGAATACCTCGCCATGATGTCCCAAACCGGCACCCCCATCGACGTCCGCACAGTCCTTAAATCAATGCAAGGAAAGGACATACCCGTTGAATACGCCCGCCGCGAAGCAAAACTCCGCGAACAATTCCAGCGCGACCTCGCTGAGCAAAAACGCAAAACAAAGGGCTCCGCCGGCGGCATGTTCATGAAGAGCCTCGGCCTCGACGCCGCTGCTAAACCGGGCATGCAGCTCGGCGACCAGAATATCTCTCAGGGCATGAATGAGGGCAAGATGATGATTGACATGTACCGAGAGTTCAACAAGCAGAATTATATGCACCTGGAGAAGCAGATTCGTGAGAATGGTGAGCAGTGGCTCAAGGAGATGGCTGAGGAGGAGAAGAAGATGCAGGAGGCTCAGCTCAAGGATATGAAGGCTGGTGCGTTTGGCTGGTTGGGCGCGCCGCAGTCGTCGGCTATACCTTCGGCGGCGAGTGCACCAGAGGCGGCGGCTAGTCATTCGCAAGGTGTATCGCCGGATCAAGTCAAATAGGCGACATTTTTTTTTTGCACATGTATGTTGGGTTTCATGATGGGAAGATACCACGATGAAGAAGAAAAGAAAAGAAAAGAACCCAAACCAAACCTAACCTGTTCCACTCTCCTGTTTCCTTTTGGTTTTGGAAAGCAGCATTTTCTGCGTGGAATGGACAACTACTGAGCAGAGAAAAAGGCTTGGAGAGCATTCGACGTTATTGTATTATATACGTGTTTGTGTTTGTGTGTGTGGAGAAAGGGAATTATATCATGACCATCATGAACAAGAGAAATCAGTAATCAAAACCATCTCACCCCTCACTACTACTGCTCCCGTCCTCTGCAACCACACTCTCCCTGCCCTCAGCCCTCTGCACATCCGAAAACAACTCCTCATAAATCTCCCACGGTATCCCATAATCCTCCAACTCCTTCCTCACCTCACCCCTCGCCTGACCCTTTATATATCCACCCGCCGCCAACCAAAGCTCCCCGCTTTTCGCCACCTCCTCATCCGCATACGCAATCATCTCACCCCACCAATTCTCCCGCTGCTGTTCCATTTTCCAAAATGCAATCCCCGTCCGCACATACAACAGCGCAATATCCATGCCGCCCAAGACCTCGGTCAGGAAAGCCTCAAAGTCCGGGTTGCTGGTCTCGCGCAAGATGCGTATGCTGCGCATGCCCCAAAAGGCGGCATCGTCCCAACGCCCAAGCTTGTTGTATGCGGCCACGGTGCGGGAGACGAGTTTGAGGCGCAGCATAACGCGGATGGTTATGCCGGTTTGGCCTGCGTAACGCCCTTTTGTTACGCTGTCGTGAAAGAACATGTCGGCCATTACGCGGCGGGTGCGGTTGTGTATGAGTATGTGGATGGCGTGGAGTGCTTTGCGGTAGAGGTCGAGGGCTTGGAGGGCAGAGGTTTCCGTGTCGGTGTTTGGGGCCGTGAGTGCGACGTCGCCGGCTTCCATGTAGTCTGTTGCGGACTCGAGGGCTTCCTGTAGCGTGGGGATGGGTTTGGCTTGGAGGCGCGATAGCTCCGCTTGAACACTCGGGTCGTAGTTCTGGAATTCGGTTCCATGAAGGCCTTTGACGTGCTCGAAGGGATATAATAACCGTCTTTGAATGGATAGTGGGACGCCGATGTCTTGCTCGTCGCTACCCTCCTCTCGATTCGGATTCCGCAGTATAAATATCGTCGAGAGCCGTTCGTTTAGCATGGGGTACGATAAAGCACTGTAGTACCACGTCTGAGCAAAAAGATGCAAGTCGTCCACCAGCATGACGACCATGTGTTCAGCCACCACTCCATGGAACGGCGCAGTGATTTGTACGACACCGTGGTGGGACGAGAATGCGTTGGCACGTGATTCGGTGCATACAATGGGTACGAGGCCTTCGGAGGAGATGTGGTTCACTAAAACTCCAGGTTTAAATCAGCCGCATCCTGAAAGAAGGGGAAAGCTCACGGCGGTCTGCAGGCGATTGCGCCAGTACCTCTGGAGCCCCTTCTGTCGCCATGATATACACGCGATACATACCCGCACTCGGCCACGGCGTAGCAATCTTGACAAAGACATTCTCTCTCTTCCACACCTTTTTGCTTTCTGCGTAGATTTGCTTGCTGACTGTCCAGAGGTCAAAATCCCATTTATAGATTCCGCCGAAAAAGCCTCTCGCTTCCAGATCCACGTTCTTGACAAGATGGTCTGCAGGATTGGTGTATATCGAGTATATCTGCTCGCGAAGCTCGAGCGGGAGGCGCATGAATGGAAACGGCTTTGGTGTTTCTTCGGCCATGGCGGGCGATTCTGGCGGTTCTGGCGACTCTGTTTGGGGCTGAGGTCGTGATGCAAAGCGATTGGAGACGAAGGACGGTAATCGGAACATGACAGCCCGGATTCCGGGTGATGGACTCAAGGGGAGGTGGAGTGGCTAATGCTAAACAGAATGAATGACGATGGATTGCCCCCCGCATTTAGCCCCGTTGTTAACGCCGGGCGTAATCTTTAGCTAGTTACCGAGGCCTAGTTAGCTCCATGCGATCAACAAAGCTACTTGTACAAGTCAGACTTGCGACTACAACTTCCAAACTTTTCCTTGATAGATCTCTAATGTTTTGGCCTTGCATCTACTCTCTAGGTACCGTCCAAGTTTCGTCAGCTAAACCTCAGCGTGTCTCTACAGGCCGTAGAGAAATGTCCACTTTGCATCAGCATATCTCGTCCCATCCAACCTCTCCGCTTCAGCCTGCTCTGCCGTCTTTCCGCTCGCCATTTGCAACTTCTTAGCGTTGACTGCTTTGAGGATGAACTTGTAGGCAATATACCCCACAAGTGCCGCTACCACGAAACCCAATGTAGCATAGAAGGGCGTGAGATATCTAGGTGCGTATCTTTTCTTGTAGAGTTGGCTGCCGATGACACCGGCGAAGTTGCCGAACCCATTCACGCCCACTACCACGGAACGTTTGCCCGGCTCTGGGACTGCCGTCAGTACCCGAGATGCATGAGCAAAACGCCGTCAACAAAAGAGATTTCACCTACCAGGGTTATTTCCGCTCAGCCAAGCTAGAGTCAGAGGTGCTGAGATGTAGCTTCCAAACAGAAGTATGCATAAACCTGCGTATTGAGCGCCATGAGATAGTGTGGTAACAGTAATGATGAGGCCAATGAGGGAGATGAATATGCCAACGATGATATGGTAACCACGCTCTTTGCTAAATCCCACTCTCAGTATAGCTCTCCGTACCCGTGTCGTGAACTCTTACCGGTAGTCAGAGCTGAGAGCGAAGAGATAGAGGCCAATAGCACCACATATGAACGGGGGAACTGACATCTGCACGCGACATGGTTAGATCGACTTGCTTATCCAATTGCATGGAAGTCGGCATACCAGATTTGCTTGTATCGAAGAATAGCCCAGTCCTTGTACAACCATGGGCATAAAAACTGAAAATGCCTGACTTGGTACACTAGCGCAAATGTTGAAAATCAGAAGGAAGAACAGCTTCCAGTCTTTGGCCGTCTCCACAATGTCCCTCTTTGTGAGCCGATCTCGCTCCACGCCATCAGTGCCATACTCGTGCGTGACATATGAGATGTTATCTTTTCGAATCCGCCGAACAACAAATTTCTGCTCGTCGGAATTGAGAAACCATGCTGATCCAGGTCCTCGTGGTAGCCAGAACCAAGCCACGAGCGCAACAAGAATGGTGAGACCGCCCTCTATGATGAATAGATACTGCCAATTTTTCAACCTTGTCTCGTTTAGATGAAAGATGCCAAATGCTAGCGTACAGGTTAGCTAGCCATGACAGACGCAGACAGGAGTGCATACCGATAGAAGCTGAAAAAGCGCCTGCAACAGCATATTGACCATAGAACAATCCTATCCGCACTCCCAGATCGTATCTGGAATAGAAAGTAGACAGATAGGTGATGGTGGTGGGATAAAAGCCTGCTTCGAAGACACCTATCATGAGCCGTACAGCAATGAGTGCGCTACGCCCATGAATGAAGGCATGTGCAAGTGTGAAGATTCCCCACCCGACCTAGAAACCTGTCAGAGCAAGATGTTGCAGAAGAAGCGTCAAGCTTGCCATGATGATGGTGATCCAGTGTTTGGCTCCTAACCACCTTCCAATGGCGGCCGAGGGAGGCTGTAGCAGCACGAAGGTAATGAAGAACACGGAGACTGCAAAGTTGAGATCGTCCGAAGTTGCGCCGATGTCTGTAGTGAAGCCTGTATACAACCTCGTTACGATCGACGTTATGATCAACACCCCACAGATGCAACATACCTTGCGTCTCAGCATTTCCAACGTTGGATCGATCTAAACTGGTGTCAGAGAGCAATAAATGACAGCAAGTCACAACATGACTCGATCCAAAGCGACTCCTTACCCAACCCGTTGAAGAGATACAACAGAGACAAAAATGGTAAGAGAGCAATATCCATTTTCCTATTCACTCGCTTGGTCATGACTTTGTCTCCACAAGAAGGTGAGCGGACGTGTGTAGGCACCGCATTTTCCTCGCTCATGTTGTTGGATACTGATGGAATTGGATTGAATTGGGAGCTATGAGTGTTAGGAAGCAGAGGTGCTCTTTCCCTGATAGAAGCCATGGTCAAGGTCGGCGGCCTGCAAGTTAAGATGGCCGAGCATGCGCTGAGCTTTGCAGGCAGTGACTCAATGTCTTCACATGTACGTAATTGCTTTGATGAGGTTCATCGGGAAGAACCGAGCTTTTTCCAGCCCTTTCTCTGTATATGTAACCCTGCACGATGCCAGCGGTATACAACCTCGGCATGCGTATGTAAGGCTCCGATCCAAGGGTCCAAATGGCCGGACAGCCAATGGGACAAGCACGATCTAGGGGACTAGCATCATCGTGTATGGGTTGATGACATTAGAGCTGGGAAAGTTAGACGCGTTGGCGACAGCCGCAATGCCGGATTCGCCCAAGCCTCATGGGTTTTTTCTTGTGCACCGACTCGGGTGCGGTACCGGCGGCATGAGTGTAACCACTCAGAGACCCCTTGGGTCTCTAGCGATATCAGCCTAAGCACGTGATGTATGCCCACATACCTAACACGTACTATTTTTCCAAACTGGTGTTCGATTAGCCTGACGCCATCTGCAACGCTCTTGGCCTGGCCACCCAGCCATGTGGTAAGAACGGCTCTAGGTGAGCTGCGAAGTGAAGTCACTAGATTGGCGTGATTGGCCAATCGGAACACGGGTGCGGGAGGATGCCGCCGTGTGCAGAAGCAAGGAGACGCAGCATTTGTCCGGAAAGCATTCCCGGCGGGGGGCCTCTTAAATGAGTAAGCTGTTCTGTAGCTGCAAGCCGTCGCTCTGTATCCAGATACGCATCTCTTGGTATAAGGGACTGGCCTCAGTGCTGTTCGCTTTGCTTTGCCCTTCTGCGCCTGGTTGGGCCGCGGGCTGCGGCCCCGGAGCACCTGCATTGGCACCCAAGCTAGCGTTACTTCCATGAAGCAAGTTGACTTGACTGTGAGATAGATAGCGATGCACTAGAGCCTTGAGGTCCTGTAGAATCTTGAAGCAATCTCTTGGATAGTTCGTTCCCGTCTTTGATTCGTCCGCAAACGTGCGAATGGCAAATTCGAGCTTGGTCCCGTGCGTCGCTATATCGGGTGAAGGTGGCGTTGGGTGGCTGCGAGAAGCGCTCAAGATCTGCTCAAGAAATAATATCACGGCAGCATTGAACACAAAGTGAAGGCCGGCCTGGAGCAGCTTCCTCTTGCATCGTAGTCGCTCGGCGAGTACCAGATTGCCATGTGCCGCCTCCAAGCAAGCCTGGATATGTGTGATATGCGCATGCTGTTGCAACGACCATTGACCGTTCATGTACCGTTCGGCAACTGCTTGCTTGACCGCCGCCAGTAGAATCGGCCGAGTTGTCAGCACCATGAGCTGGTTCGCGGCCAGATGCAGAGAAAGCACCGCGGGGTCAGCGCTTTCATCGGCTGCCAAGACCTGCGGCAAATGCGACTTCCAATCCACAAGCATTTTCACCGCCTTGTCAACCTTCAGAGCCGAATAGCCGGGCGTGTAGTTTCGAGGTGCAATTTTGAATGTCTCGCACACAATGTACCCGGAAATTCGGGACAGCTCAATATGTGCCCGGAGACCTGCACACGGGGGCATGGCGCTGGCTACGTCAGTGACACGCTCCGAATCGTCCGCTTTCCAATTACTTACCCATCATCACAAGGTAGAGGAAGCCTCATAGCCTCGTCGGGTATCGTAGGTGGGCGCCCCATCAGCACTGAGAGCCATCTATCCATAATATAGAGAGTCCAGAAAGTGCGCTTACTCGCTTCATCATGACAAGCTGTGAAAGCGCCATGCATAATGGCAATGTGAATAGCCAGGCTTACCTTGACCGGTCCTCCCAGTTAGTAATTTCCTTATTTGTTTCGTACCATGGATGTTACTAACGTGTACATATGCCGCATCTCTACGGTTGAGCTCGATCAAGTAGAACCCCATAAGAGCCAGTACTGACACGTCGCTAAGAGTGAACCGCACAATGTCCAAGGGGTTTCCCAAAAGCTTCCGCGCACGGTTGAAGTAAGCTTCTCCTGCATGCTGATCGGACCGTCTCAAATCAGATTGACCAAGGGATGTAGCCAGGGCAAAAGAGACATGGTAAAAGGCCAAGTATCTGAAGCTGTCTTCCGCACTTGTCATCGTACTCAGTGAAACCGAGCTAGTTACCGGCGCTGGGGAATTGCTGAGATCACCCCACCCTAACGTTCGAAACATGTCAGCTGTTGTACATATCGTTGGGGGCCCAGGCATAGCCTACAGTAGATGCCACCCGATACGAATTCGCCATTACCATCCTGGATGTATGCACGCAGTTCGCCAAGCATTGAAGCCATGTCTGGCTGCGCGGGTAGCCATAGAGGATCAACGTTTGGATTTGGAAACGGCCTGGAGTCGTACGTCTGGTAACTGCCAACAGAAGCAACAAAGGAAGAGCCGTCTGCAGAATCAGGATGAAAGGTCAGAGGAACCAGTGTCAGCATGAACTGCTTCAGATGGTCGAGAAAGGTAGCACCCGATGTCTCACCAAAGAACCTTCCCACGCCATAAGAATCAACAAGCAAGCGGCCATGGTTGCTGTCAGCTTCATCCAATTCTTCCGACATGGAATTAAAGGTAGGAGCATTCGAGTGCGACACAGCCCGCCTCTGATCTAGTTGGGCAATGAAGTCGGTTGCCTCATCCGGTGCTGCGGCTTGGAATCCCGCCTCGAGTGCTGCACATCGCTGTTGTAAGCGTTCAAGCTCATCTTTCAACGAGTGCTTCTGTTTCTCTTGTTGGGGATATTCGCATTGCCGTGAGGCTTTGTGGCACCTTTGGCAGGGCTGCTCTCCCGTGCACTTGACCCGGCGCACATTGCACGCATTGCACCTGTACCGCATAAGTCATTGATGTTGTATAACGCTTTGCAATCTTCACAAATGCACGACCACCATCGTTTGGCACGTGGCGACAAACACGTACAACGCAATGGTGAGAAGAGAGTTCCAGAAATTCAACTTACGCTCGGACGACGCGTTTGCGTTCTTCGGGCGCTACCTTACGTCTCCTTGGATTGACAGGTAGGCGTTGGGGTTGCGGCGAAGAGCTCTCCGAGGAAGGCCCAAAGTTGGTACGCATCTCGGACCGATGTGATTGAATCCTGTCGTGGCTCACTCGGGTGCCATGGGTTGGGTGGAGAAAAGTGGGTGACAGCAGAAGCGAGATGGATGACGCCAACTTGGATAAAGTACTACGGAGGCGTACAGATGCACATGGCCGTTTGCCAACCCCCACTCACCACAGGGTACGCGACGCGCCACCGCCATACCAACAATGCACTTTGAAACCAAACATACCGGAATTGTCTATATATTTTCATGGCAGAAGAAAGTATTGTCTGAAAAGGAATTCATTCTCCTTATCCAGCCGCCGGTAGTGTTCTCGGCACTATTCGGCCTTCACGGAAATTGGGCGTACTGATAATTCATTGCAGTCGTATCATTGTCGTGACATGTTGGAGCCCTTGCCAACGTTGAAAGATTAAGAAGGGGCTATATTATGTGCTTAATCCATCGGCCCGCAGCGCAAAGAAGAAAAGGACCAAACATGGACGCCTGAAGCATCGTTTGCATACGCTCTACCATTCAACAACCAAGAGAAAGCAGCAATCTCATTTTTCCAAGCTCACAGACAGCTGCCACCGACACGCCGTCCGAATCATGTACTTGGCCTCCTCTTCACTCATCCAGTTCATCTCTGCTCCGCCATTCCACTTGATGCCCACAATTTTGCCCGCACCCTCACCTTTGGTATCCATAACCACAAAAAGCTCGGCCACCTTCATGCCTGTGCCGCTCATGTGGAAATGAACTTTGAGCTTGCCAGCCTGGTCTGGACCTTCGCTGTATATGAACCACTTGTCGTCCATGTCCTTGGGCGCATAACCAAGATACAAAGAGTAAATCTGCGAAGGTGGTAGGAATATATTCCACGGAGTTATCAGAGGCTTCCCCGGGAAAGGTATGGTTGGTAGCGCATCCGCAAGGACGCGTCGGCGTGGCTCAGGTGATGGGGGTGGGGTGAATCGGCTTCGTGCATTCTGGCGCTGCGGCAGGTCGACGCGCCGGACATGCTTAAGCAGCTTGGGTTGCCGCGGCTTGGATGTATCTATTGCTACGGCTTTGCCAGTATTGGAGTTTGGCGGAGACGGCGGTGGTGTAAGGTTTGGTGGTGGTGCAGTGGAGGCACGTCGTAATCTCCTCGGCGACCTTGGGTATTCGTCGATGAGAAAGGGCGACGCAGGCGGGGTTTCGTCTCGGTCTCTTCTTGAAAAGCGACGGAATATCGACCTCTTCCTGAAGGACGGAGTCTGCGGCGATAACGTGTCCATGGTGTCTGTTTTTACCCCACTATACAATTCTTCTGATGAGATTTCTGTGCTTGGGTCCTGGCAGTGCGAGGTGGTCGACGACGGCGTTTTCCAGGGCAAAAAATGAAGGTGCGTAAGAATGAGAGTAACAGCTCGAACGGATCCGTCCAGCCTTGAATACGAATGAGAGTGGGGGAAGACGCCGTGTAAGGCACGAGTACTCAGCCTTCCCCCCTCTCAAGGGCACAGCGTGGCTTTATTTAGCCTCATCCGTCCATGCTGGATCCGGGCAAGAGACGACGGCTCAGCGAGGTCTGGATCCACTCGACAGACACATCGCAAAGGCATCCTGCATGCATGGCGCTGAGGGGCGTTGAGGGCGCGTCTGATAGGTCACCATGGCCGTGGACGTGGCAGCGAAGGAATCGTGGTGTTCGGCCGATATTAGACAAGCGTCATCGTCCGTGCTTTCACCACCCTTACCCGACACAGATTCTCTCATGGTCAATGCGCAGATGAAACTTTATCGTACACTCACTCGTTCACGCTATCCAGGGTCCATGGCAGTTTTCCCTTGACCTCGTCGCCCCCGTCGCCCCCGTCTTTCGCTACGGAACTCTCTCACGACTCTTTGGTGGTCTGCTCACATGTCGATCGCGCCGGCCCCTCCACAGCCGATCACGTACACCCACCCTCGATTCGTGCGCTATCGCACATCCACCCTGGGCCCGGCACATCACCTCTGCAACACACGGGATGCATCACGCATGCAACCCATTGAACTGGCTTTGTTTGTGCTGCCCTTGGGTCTCATGTTTTACGGGAATAGTGGTAGAACCAATCAGCCTCCCTTTGGTCTATCCCACAATCCCTATAAACTCTGGGCTAATGAGTAGTCATGAGTAGCCACAGCAGCCAATGTAGCTCTGCAACGTGAACGACATGACAAGCGGACCCCTCAAGGCCCGTACCATCAGAGCCCGTACCAGAGTGATGAGCCGGCCTCTAAGTAATCTGTGACGCTGGCTGTTCGCACACAACCGAATATCAATCGCATGTAACCAGAGACTCGATAGCGCACTGCCTCAGCGAGCGCTTGCCCGCCGCCTCATCTCGGGAGCTTGCTGCATCACGCTCCTCAAGTACGCCATAGTAAAGGGGCAATGCAGTTGCCAAGAATAACACGCGCATACACCACATGACACTAGTCTTGAGGGTCTACGAGCACCCTACATGCCCAAAACCGGTCAATCAGACAACGACCGCGCGTTTCGCATTTACTCAAAACACACAAACCTGCAAAAAAGAAATGAGACCCTTCACGCTGGCGGCTTACTCGGCTGAACGGTGAATATGCCCCAACTCTGAGCTGACACGGATACGAGTAATAGCCATATGCTTGGTAGCTTCGGTCTCTCAGTACCCATGGATGTTTCCGTAACTTTATTGCTATATGGCTGCTGTCCGGGAAACCACATTCAATATTTGTGCAACACAGACCGGTTTGCAATAACCCTCTGCAAGGGATCTACGCTTCCAATACTCAAATACGATAACAATCACTAGACTTATAGTACGGCTATCGAAACAAGAACTTTGCTTCACTGGGGACATAAGAGGAATAATGAAGCAATATGCCTTCACGTCTACATTCATCCCGTGCCACGAGTACAGTTCAGTACCGCCGACCTGATACGCTCACTCCACCTTGTGCACCTTTGCGTTTCCACCCCCGAAGGTGACGGTATCTTGCTCACAGACCGTAGTAGTATTGGAGTAGATTGTATTCTTAGGCCAGATATCATTCGTACAGGTCCAACTCTGGCAGTCGAGATTGAGGTTTTCCCATGCCGTAAGCGTATACTGGCCCTGACTGTATTGATCATCAGCATGCTGTGTCCGTAGTTTTCACCCAAAGGTGAAAAAGTAAGGAAGAACAAAGAAGCATAACTCACCCCGCACAGGTCCAGCTCAACTGTACAGTCAAATTCATCTCTCCGGGCGTCAGCGTGTCCAGAAAGAAACTTGCGCTGCTGGTCCAGCACTCCGTGTATCCGCTTGTCTCGGGGTAATCACAATACATTTCGTCGGAACCATAGAACATGGCCCAAGGGTTTGTACTGTAGCCATCGCATAAGACAGGGTCTTCGACGGCGTCGTTGACGATGGCGAAGGAGATGGAGCCTAGTTTGGGTCCCGCGGCGGAGGGAGACACGAAGGTGTAGTAAGAGTTGAACGTAACATTGGCAAGCTCGAGACCCGGTGAATTCGCTGTGTCTGCGAAAGCGAGTGGGAGGAGGATGGCTGCGAGAAGAGGTTGGAAGCGCATTGTTACTTGCTTGACGTAGGCGGTTGTTTGTCTGGTTGGGAGTAGGAGGGGCGTTGATGAGATGTTGACTTGGGAACGCTGATGGAACTTATAGACATTGCATCCTTGATCATTCTCGGACCAGTGACGCATATGGTACCTGACTACATTGTTTGCCAATCCAAAAAGGTCGTATGCCAAGGGCATATACGTGACATGCATACCTCCTATATGTTGTGTTTGCTGGTTCGAGCAAGACTTTCGTAGAGCATCATCGTAGGAAGTACATCTCATCTCCGATCTTCTGGCACGTTACCTCCATTCGTCATCCCGCGGGGTATCTGCTTTGACCGGGTTTACGGACGGCATCACATCTTGTATTACCCATCTACCTGTAATCAGTCAGGTAGACTACTACCTCAACCTTGAAACGCGTGATCTATCTGCAAGTCATCTGCAAGTCGCTTGGCAACTCTCGTACTGCGCAAGTGGGGTTACGACATGACGCCCACTGGCGGAAGTATCCGTGTTACGATTCCCGCAGTGGAGCACAAAATCCCATCACCAGTACTTCAAGTCACAGAATGCTTGGTATCGCTACGTCACTAGTATCTCTTTTGCATAACCTATTAAAACTAAGATGTCATTTTCACTACCTAGGTATCCAGTACCTAGTTTCAACGCACAGTAAAGCGTCGTGTACGACAAACTAGTCAACCCTAGTCCTTGTACGTGATGGTCTTCAGACGCAAGAATTCTTCAATACCCCAATTTCCATTGAAGCGACCGAATCCACTCGCCTTTGCACCACCATGCGGCAAAGTAAACTCATCGTGCACAGTCATGGCATTGATATGGATAGCCCTACCCCATGTTCGTTAGTAAATTGAAGTTTCACCAAACCCCGCGCCGCAACACGGGAATGGATAGTGGAAAGCAAACTTACCCGCTTTCAATTTGCTTTGCGATTCTCAAGCCCCGGCCCAGGTTCTCGGTGAAGACGGCGCCTGAAAGTCCGTACTCAGTGTCGTTTGCAATCTCAATGGCCTCCTCATCACTCGAGACCTCAATGATGGAAACAGAGGGACCAAAAGATTCTGTGTGATACAAGTCCATGTCCTTGTTTACGCCGTCGATGATGATGGGGCGCATGCGTGTGGTTGCGATTTCGTTGGTGTCAGGGTGTTGTTCCTCCCTCTCGTGGTCACCGTGTACGACCTTTGCGCCGTTCTTGACTGCATCAGCAATGAGGCGTCTGTTCTTTTCGACACCGGGAGCGGCCACAAGGACGGGTGCGGGTTTGTCGCCACCGAAGATGCCTTCTGCGGCACCCTTGAAGGCTTCAAGGAATTGAGGCTTGATGTCTTTGTGTACGAGTATACGTTCGGAACTCATACAGATCTGGCCTGCATGCAGGAAAGCACCAAGTGCGCATTGTACTGCGGCGGTTTGCAGGTTGGCATCTTCACACACGATGGCACTTGCTTTGCCACCCAGTTCAAGAAGCACGGGCTTGAGGTTCTTGCCGGCTGTTGATGCGATGATGCGGCCGACGGGGGTGGAGCCAGTAAAGTTGATCTTCTTGACGGCTGGCTCCTCGATCAAGGCGGTGGTGACTTGCGCAGCGTCTTCAGGACGGTGGAAGAGCACGTTCAGCGCACCTGCGGGAAGTCCAGCTTCACTCAAGACGCTGCCGAGAGCCCACCAGGTACGAGGGCAGAACTCGCTTCCCTTGAGGATACAAGTATTACCTGCGGCGAGAGGGTACAGAACCGATCGCATACCAAGTATGTACGGCGCGTTCCTATTCTCGTTAGCTTACAAACACACACTTTAGCGCATACAACGATTACATACCAAGGTGCAATGCCAAGTACAACTCCATATGGCTCTTTAACAATCATCGCACTTGTACCCTCCTCTTCGCAGCTGGGAATATGTCCCATGACCGCGCTCAGTCGTCCCGCAACATCCCTCAACATCTCGGCCATCTTGGGCACGTTGAAGCCTTTGCTGAACGCGCCTGGAGAACCGGTTTCGATATCCATGTAGTCTGCAAGCTCACTCGCGCGTGCATCAACCACGTTGGCAGCTTGCAGGAAAATGTTGCGCCGGGCTGCCGGCTTCATTTTGGACCACGCGGGGAAGGCAGCCTTTGCTGCAGAGACTGCACTCTTGACATCGTCCAGCGATGCGGAAGATGAGTTCCATACTTGATTTTGTGTTGCGGGCGATGTTATGGGGAAGGTGGTTTCGGTGACGACCTCCTTGCCATTGATGAGGAGGGGTACCGTATACGACGTATCGGGTTTAACGACAGTGGGGCCGGACATGTTTGCTTCTGATCGTTCTGCTCAGGTTGTAATGGTGGAAAATTAGGGTTGCTTTCTGTGAAGATAAGTAGCAATGGGCGTCGTCGATCTTATAATTGCCTGCCGAGGTCTCGAATGTAGAGCTATCTACCCTGCTGTCTGTCTCGCATCCAGTGGCGCAAGAATCCGCATAGCAAAAACCCCACTTAAGAAACGCAGGTCGTGGCCGGTGGGCCGCGATGTGGAGACGGCACGGCTAACATTCAACCATTGAGACACCAGCAGATCTTGGCTACATTGACAGATTACGGCATAACGCAATGTCTTCCAATAGTGAAGAGAGCACGGTAATAATAATACGGAATAATTCCTCTAAGTGCTAACCGAGGCAAGTCAAGCATTAATGACGTGACAGAACACACTGACTGATGCGAACCATCTCTAGCAAGAATTGTTGAAGATACATCTAGCCAGGAGGCATTGAGTGCATGACAGAATACCTACGGAATTCTGGACGGTCGCTTGTCTCAAGGTATTACCTTGTTTTGCTGAGACGGGACACGATGCACTAAATATGGGTCATACCGCATTTATCTGCCCCTCAACCGAAATTCATTGCGGAATTTATTCATACACACCTTCTTGCGTCTCAAGGTTGTAATATGTAAATTGCTGCAGGTATGTATAGCATGCGCATATGAAGCACTTATCGCGACGAACCCCAGGTTGCAGGGATGATATCAACGGGTCACTTGTCGAAACCGTCACCCGCTGGATATTACTCGTCGTCACTATACAGGTCGACTTCATCTGATGAAGGAGATGATACCGAATGACCCCCTTCCCAGTTGCTGCTAAAGTCATCATCGTTATCGTCTCCTTGCCGGTCCACTTTGAAACTTAGTCCCGTTTTCGAGGATAGTTGAACAAGACGGCTCCAGTCGTACTTCAACCAATTGTACGTCTCCAAGGAGGGTGAAGCAGCCACTATGATCTCTTGAAGCTGAGGCGTGTGTGACTGATAGTTGGCAATCATATGCTCTAAGGCCTCAATACAATCCTCGTCATATGTATACTGTCGGATGTATGCCCGGAATTTCAGCAGTGACGGCGGCAGTCTTTGAACAAGAGTATCAGAATTATTTGATGCCACCTTGCTGAGAGAACAGGTGATCGATTTCAATACTGAGAAGTCCTTAAGGCTATCTCGGAGATGTACATCAACGTAAAGTTCTTCGCTGTAATGCTCGCTGTACACATCAATACCCTCTAGTGAGCTTTTCTGGTAAGCCAGAGCTTGAGACAGCGATAGCGAGGCCTCATCCCGCGATAATGGTACTTCTGCGTCATCGTCGTTTGTTATATCGTACAGAAAATACACTAATTTCTGAGAGGACGCGAGTAATATGTTCAATATCCTCTTAGCGTAGAAGCTTTCGTACAGAATAAGGCTCTCGATGTTGTTGCAAGCCCGTGGAATGAGCCGCTGCAATCTGGGTGCATGTCCGTCTCCTGCTGTCCAACAATCGGTATTTCGTATTTGTAAAGTCTGCAGCGACTGCAATCGGAATAGAGGTGCAAGTTGAATGATGCTTGCTGAGGTGTTCTCGATTGAGACTGATCGTAAGTGCTGGAAACCATGTGCTTGATCGGACAAGATTCCAGCAGTCGTATTTCCGAAAACCTCGAACCAGTCAACGCTTCGCGAAGAGGCATGTATGTCACCATCAATTCTTAGCGACTTTATATTTCTTGTGTAGAATAATATCGCCTTGTATACCGTTTCGTCACCCTTGTCTTTGGAATTGCAATTAGCCGCCCAGTCTTTCCAACCAGGTGTGGCAAGCGCCCGTAGGCCTTCTTTGACGATTTTCTTGTCTTGCGCGGTTGGAGTACGTCGTTGTCCCATGCATGCCGTAAAGGAGATGTCCACGTCATGCACTAGGTCCGCAAGCTCTGGCTTTAATATCATCGTACGAAGAAATTTATAGGGCTCGCGGTAGTAACTTTCATATCTTTCATATATCCTTTCGATAACGATTCGGTAAAAACGTCGATTTGTCAATGATAAATCCAGGAGTGTACGAAGGTCAGATCTACTAGAGTTTCCTGGGAGATGTTCCAGTATTTCTAGTATAAGTTCGTCAGGAAGATCGATCAGTGAGGCATCTAATCCTCCTTTCCTCCGCATGTTTGCAGTATTGACATGAGCTCTTGTTCGAGGACGCTGCTTTCCATCTTGCGATGGCAGCAAAGGGAAGTCTTTATCGTTGATAATCGCCATGGTATATCGGAGTCTATGGAACGCGTAGTGTGAATGAATAGGACGTATAGGAACTGTCGGACCGCCGGGGTGGCTACATACGCCACAGCTGCTGGCGACAGAGGTGGGGAGCTAATTCTGAGTCTTGGCAGGAGACGCCGTAGTTGTGCGCATAATAATCCCTGGAGTGTATTGGACCGTCGGCGTAGCTGAGAAGGTGCGCGTCCGCGAGTGTCTATAAGTGACGTTGTTGCCCACATAGTGCCCGCCACACGATGTGCATGGGTTCTGCGCTAAGCGGGCTTAGTCAACCCCGCTGCCAGAATGTTGCCTTCGCAGCCCCTCAAGAATTAGCATTGCTGTTGCTATTGAGACATATCTGTCAAGCGCCATTGTCCATCTCGCTGACGTATCTCAGGTCGTCCAAAACTAGACTATATTTCTTTCCCTTGGGAATGCCGAAGCAGACTTTGCACCCCAAACACCAATCGCCTCAGCCGGCTGTCTCCAGTCGCTCCACATATTGACGGTCGGTTTAGGGTCTCCAAACAGCGGATGTTCGTCATGGAGAAACTTCCCGAAGAACTGCTCGATCACATAGTGTGCGAGGTCATGAACCCTCTGCCTAACCGATATAATACCTCCTATGGCTATCTCCTCGATTTATCGATGGTCTCGCGGAAGTTTCGTCGCATCACGGAAACATACATCTATCGCTCACTTATAATGTTTGGCGACAATGAGGCAGAGTTACTGCAGACCATGAGCAGCCGACCTGAGCTCTCACGACACACGAGAGGCATTCATATCATGGCTTATTATCGTCTCCCTAGTAAAGTACTGGATTTTGTACTTCGTCTTCCAAACCTTCAAAGACTGGATATTGATATCGTGTCGTGCAGACTATCGAAAGTCATACCTATCCTAAGACTGCCCTCGATTACTGTGTTGATCCTCTCGGATGTCTCACTCCAGCGAAGCTATTCTCGGGACGAGCGCGACTGGACATTTGTCAATGATAACATCACCTACTTAGAGATATCCTTTTCCAGCTCCGATATAGTGTGGGAAGATGGCGAAGAGATGCGAAGTTTTGCAGCCGTTTTTCGCAAGTTGCAGTGTCTGCATATAAACAGCATTTACAAAGGGCCGGACGCTGCTTCCTTGAATAGCCCGGCGTTCCGTTGTCTGGTTCATATGTTCAAGCACGCCTTTGAGACAACCCTCCGCGACTTCAGCTTTATGTACAATGATCTGGATCATGGGGACATGTACGGAGGAGATGTCGGCGTCAGCGCCCGATTCGATGCAAGAGCCATACTGAGACACTCACGACTTGAACATCTCATGATCGATACCATATGTTTGGATACGCCAAGGCATACACAGGCGTTGAGGAGTTTAGCCCTTGGCCCATCCTGCCTCCCAGCGTCTTTGCATACACTTTATGTGCGGCATCTAGTTGCCTCAGGGAACTTGAACCCGGTTGAGAAGAATCTCATGCACTCGGACGAAGCGCAGTGTCTCTCTCAGCTGGTCAATTTGGCGGCACGAAGATTGCGATTTCCTCACCTAGAAAGGATGACGCTGGCTATTTCTCTCCCCGCCTTCTTCGAAGAGGTGGCTTCTCGGGTAGTCAGGGTACAGTCACGTCAGGCGAAAGTTCCGTTAGAATTGATGTTCATGTAAGTGTCATGACACAAGGATGCAGAAAGATCTCTAACTCATAGTAGGTCTCATTGGGATTACATAAGCGATTACACTCCGAGGTCCTGGCCTGATTATGATGCCGCTCGGGATCCGCGACAGTCTTTGTACGACCCAACATACATTAGCTACGACAACAAGGGCCTGTGTTAAGTACACGGACCCTAACAATCATATTTCCATTGAGAATGATGCCTTTTCTTCCCCCACAACTTGCACATCTACATGACGAGTTCTTTGAAGTATACATTTCTCGAGATCCCCCCTTCTCAAAAGACTAAAGTGAATGTCTCCATCACCACGAGTATACACTCCGATCTCCCGACATAGCCTGGAATACAAAAGAAAGGATATGCAGTCTTGCCGTTGCGCACTGTAACCCAGTGCGCGAAAAAAACACCAAGTTCACCACAGGTCGGTTGTAAGGACGTGTATGAACAAATCGTATGCCAGAGCCTCCATATCGCGTCACATCCTTAGAAGCTAGTGCGAGTACAGCCGAACACTCCCGCTTCTTCATGCGTATTGCTTCTTTTCCATGTTCGCCTGGGGTGGTGGTGTTTTAAACGAGTTCGCTCTTGCAACTGAGCGTTGCTCAGCATTCACAGCTCGTACTCTTGCTGACTCGATTTGCTGATCGATCTTGCGTTCGACGAGTTTGGCGAGATTCTCAAGGCCTTTGCGGATGGGACCACCTGCTTGCGACGATTTTGCCTTCTTCTTTTTCTTGTGAGCCGTGGTTGGTGTCTGTTGGGTGGCAGGTACGGGGCCGTGGTCGGTGCTTTGTTGTTGGACAGGGTATGGTTGCGGTTGCTGATATAGCACCATATCTCCAGGCGCATCCTGCGGTGGTGGTTGATGGAGAACCATCTGACCTGCCATATTCTGCGGTTGATGTAACGTATTCCCATTCATGGTGGACATTTTTGTTTGGAAAAATCCCGGACGTGGATGCCAAACGACGACAACGACCGCGAACGATAAAAGTGGAAACACGACCTCTACCAGCAGCCAGCAACGCACATATTATGTACCATTACCCCAGTCTCGGCCAATATATCATTCACGCGATTTTAGGCAATACCATGCGAGGGTGGCCATGCGGCGATGTCGCAACGCAACCTTGTGTGGCTGTGTCAGATTCGTAAACCTCGTACACACGCCAAACCAATCGGATCTCCACGCCACAATCCAACCCACCTCCAACTAGTTTAGCTCAACGACGTATCGTGTGAGCCACACGTCAAGTTGACCCCAGCCTGGGTTGCTTACGCGCGTGGAAGGAAAGTTGAGATATGAAGTCTGGACCCGTACGCGTTAGGAATGCAGACGAATCCTCTGACGAACGTTCCCAGGCGAAGCTTCCCGGTCATTCTGGGCATGTGAGCTTGGTTGTAGTGCCTGCTAATTAGGGGCCACAAACAAGGCTCAATGTCGGAAGTATGAACATGCCGATCATCGTGCGCCGAGTTGGGCAGACTGCAAAATGTGGAGTCTTGCGCATGTTTGTTGTGTTTGTAGGTAGGAGAGCCATGGATGATTGGACTAGTGAATCGCATCTGCAGTTACGTGGCCCTGCGAGAACCCCTTCTTTCCACAGTCCCAGGGATGCTTGAGACATGTACATGATGGGTGTCAAGTGTGGAGAAAGCTTAGATTTGGTAGTGGCGTAACGAACGGGTCTTTTCTCGGTACCATTTTCGCAGGATCACTGCGCTGTATGGATATAAACATCAGAGAAAGAGACACACCTATGCCTTATACCGCCTTGTATGACCATCTATATTTCAAATAGTATGGAAATTTTACTGCGGTGGCTGCCTAGCATTATACACACCTGTCGTCAACTCCCGCACGCCCTGCCTATCCCTATGTGCTGGCTATCCGTTGCCGATCGGCTGTCCGAACATGGGTAATACTTGTATGCGAACTAATTATTGCGGCTACAGAGCTGTTGAAGGTTGTATAACATGCTGGACCAGTCAAACATATCAGTAGCGAGCCTAGGACATGCTAAATTATCTCAAGGCATGCGACTTGCTAATGTTAGGTGTGGATCCCTGCTAGGGCTTGACGGGTAGGTCCCAAAACGTGCTCGCCAGGCAATACATGTGCCGGTACTTTGCCAAGCTTGGTGTCTTACATAGACCGTCTTTTGATAAACAGTTTATCAATGAATCAAGGCAGTAGAAAACTCGAACATTGCATTGGGATGGTAAAGATCCATGCCACCTAGTCCGCGCATGGCTACTGGTACTGGGTAATGGAAGCCAGGTCTGACCGGCTAAGATAATAGAGCCGGCACAAACCCACATATCCTCCTTAGGAGGTTTTTATGTACCCCGACTCCTTTTCCATCCTTCAAAGCCCAAAATCTACCACTGAGGTCTGTCCTTGGGTAGCATAAGCCATCCCTGGGAGTCGTGTGGGAGCTTGCAAGGGGTGAGGGGACAGTCGCCGAGCTTGTGCTTGAGAGAACACCTCCATCGCAGACATGGAGAGTTACTGTCAGCGCAGTTGTGACATGTAGTGTTCTCATCGCACTCTAGGTTCTTGCCGTAGCACTCGGTACACGAATGAACTGTCCTAGGGAGCTTTGAATCTGCGCGCGGTTTGACGAGGTGTACGGCACCTTGTAGAGATAAACCGTTGCTCGTGATGTGAAGAAGCCGCTCCTGGCTCTGCTTGAATCGTGCCTCTGCGATCTTGGCAAGGTTACGGTGGCGATCGCATTCACTGGTCTTCTCGCGCAGTTTGGCCTGGAGACCATTGATGTCTGTCTGCTTCGTCTTCTCCCTGAGCACCTCATTCTGATCCTCTAACTTGACAACTTTGAGATTTGTTTCCATCAGCTCATGCCGCAAGTCTCGTATGACCTTCTCCTGTTTGACCTCACTGCCTGCCTGCTTATGTGCACGAGCCATCTGATCTTCAGTGATGACTTGAGCATGAGACACTTCGAGAATCTTCTGAGAGAGCTCGCTGTTGGTTATCCGGAGTTTCCTGACGGTTTCCTCGGCTTCCTCGAGCTCGCGGTCTTTGGAAGCGGCCAGGTTGCTGAGCTCCCGCTGACGACCTTGTTCGAATTTCTGCCAATCTCGGTCCTTAGCCGCACTCGCATGTTCGAGCGCACGTTCATGCTCCTCCTTGAAGCTTCCCAGCTCTTGGTCCTTAGCAGCCAACTTATTCAAGGCACGCTCAAACTCTTGTTTCATAGCAAAGAGGTTATCAAGAGTGTGTTCATGCTGGTTCTTGATAGCATCGAGTTCGACGAGGGCATTCTGATAGGCTGTTTCGACTGACGACAGCTCTTGGTCTTTGATGGCAGCCAGTTTACTTGAATCGTGCCGGTGCTGACTCTTGAGGGACGATATATTGATGGTGGCGTCTTTATGCTTGACCTCGTATGATTCGATTACGCTGCGAAGATAGTTGCGCTCGTCTTCTAGTTATCAGTTTGACGAAAATTGGTCGTGATGAACAATATGAACATACCTGACATAGCCTCGAGCTCTTTCACTTTAGCGTTCAAAGCATATACTTTGCTCATCAGGTCTTCGATCTCTAGCTGCTGTGTCTTGATAGTCGTCTCTTTCTCACCCAATGCCCGTCCCATAGCCGACTTTTGCGCCTTGTTCGCTTCGTTCTGGTATCGATGCTTGCCCAGCTGCGAACTCATCTCGTGGTCATCGTGTCTCAACTGCTCAATGGTACGATTATGAGCTGCCATACTGATCTGTAGCTCCCTGTTCTCTTTCACCGTGTCATCAAGACTCTTGCACATGTTGTCATAGGCTGGCTTTGTCATCCGTACTATGGGCTCTTGCTCGGACCTAAAGGCTGATGCAGAGCCTGGGAGAGACTGAGGCGGTGTCGGCGGATCAGCGAGGCCATTGCGTACAGGCAGCTCGAACTCTGGGATTAACAAAGGCTCGTTGTGGGGAGGATAGCCGGAGGGCTCGCGGAAGTTCCACATGCTAGCTTCGCTATGACGAAAGCTATTTCCGTGCCCGTTGACGACTTTGTGCTGAGCTAGTATATCTAGAGGCTGCTCTGATATGGGTTCGAAGGAGAAGCTATCCAGGTTCGTCAGCTCAAGTTCCATGAGACACCGTGTAACTAACTCTGATAGACGGGGTCGCCTCGCTGACGAAAGTGAGATGCTGTTTTCAGAGACGATACGGTTGGCAGTTCGAGGGCCTAGAAAAATTCAGCGCACGATCAAAAGGACGAGAGCAGAGTTAATCACCGTTCGGGCTTGCAGTGAGTGGCAGTGGCCCAGATGTAGATGGCAGTAGCCGAGATGCAGACGGCACTGTGTGAATGTACGACTTCTTGGCTTTCACCATGCTCGCGAGCTCGAAGAATTCATCTCTGTGAGTGCTTCTGCTATGATTGATGTTGGGCGGCATGCTCGGCATGCTGGTTGGCGAGCTCGTGACCTCATCGTCGAAACTGATGAGATCTTCGGCCATCTCGAAGAAGCGTTACGAGAGAACGTTACGAGAGAGCGTTTATTCAGCTTGAAGATGTGCTATAACAGAGGGTTACTCCAGCCTGAGCATGTCTTATAAGAGACCTCGGTCCCAACTCAAAAAGGTCTTGTTTTGTTTGTGGCCAGGTGAGGTGAGAGGCAGTCACTGCGACGCCAAGCCTCGGCTCGTTGTTGTGGCAGCAGCGACAACGGGTGACGTCCGATTTGGTCATACTAATATCGCACAATCAGCCTTTGATTCTAATAGCGTAGTCTCACCTTGATCAAAATACCAGCATCCAGTGTATGATCTGCTCCGCATGCGCACTGCCTATGTCTTTACTCTCATCGTCCAGCCCTTGAGCTCTCAGCCTATTGCATCCTGTACCATTGTCGAAGCTATCACAATACCCCGTATCATGCAGATATGGGGGTACCAAGTATAAGCAACGAGCCTGAGTACTCGTTTCATGATCAGGAACCATACCTAGCCTGGAATCGCCAACGTCTTCCTATACCTCAAAACAAAAGCAATCATACTCTTGCACTTATCATTGCTACTCAGCTTTTGTGTCATACTCTTTGCATATGTATATCTAAGACAGAACCTCCTAGAAGAACAGGACTAATATTGATCACGTATTAATCCACGGTTTGTTTGCGTACAACATAGCCCTCATGGTCTAAGGAATACTAGGAACAGCGGCACGTCAGAAAGATTATGAAGACGAGCCGGGTGTGTGACTGGGGCTGCAGGCTTTATTTTCCATAAGCTCTGGTGTACTGGTTTCGTCGGAGCCGGCTGGCATCATCTTCCGAACCGCTTGAGTTCCAATATCCTTAGGGGAGGATATACAACTGCCGCCCATGCAAAGCCAATAAAATTGCCCATCTAGACTAATCAGCTAAATATCAACAGCTACAATGTTAAAGAGACTTACATCTCCTCCGTGGGTACCAACTTGCTTGGCGATTGGCCCGATATACCAAACTTGTGCCATGCACATGATAGCGCCTATCCAACCGATGACAAAGGCTGCAAATGCTGCAATACCCAGAGGGAGCTTCTTCTTTTGATTCCAAACTCCCCAATTAAAGCCTGCCTGGCGATGAAAGATCAAATGCTCTTCTAGAACGATAGCGACCCAGACAGATACCCAGTAACCCATCAGAGCCAGGAAATTGGTAAAGATCTCGGCAAGATGAGCACGTCCGGCTAATGCACATATTGTGTATATGACAACGCCGATGGTGTTCCAGATTACTCTCGGTATCGCGCCTGCGTACCGACCAAGGATCTGGGCATCAATACCAGAAGAGTATGTGGGAAGAATGAGATTGGCGACAAGACCAAGAGCGACGATGACACCACAGAAAGAACCAAACCCGCCAAGAGGCTTGTATGCTTCGACAATGAGAGCGCCCTGGGATACACCGTATGCTGCTTCCCAGTTGCTATTGGTTGACATGCCGGATGCTAGGCCGATACCTAAGATAAAGGCAAATGTAAAGCTGCACATAAGACCTAGCATGGTCATTGCGAAGATTTTCAAGGACGATGAGTGTTCGGGATAGTAAACAAAATAATCAGCCGCGCCACCACCGTATGTGATAGCCGCAGCTAGTGTCAGGCCGAAAAAGCTAATGCGGTTTCCTATTATGGTGTCCGGATCCGTATCGCCAGTCGACTGGGAAGAGATGTTGAAGTGTGGCCCTGCGATACCAGCTAACACGGAGAGCACAATTAACTGGGGGAGCCACGCCCAGCGCTCATAATAGTGGAATATTCGATATCCGAACGTTGTGATGATCCATGCAATCACGGCCACGATGATGATGCCGACTACGACAGACATGGAATTTCCAGAGACGGCAGACAGTATCTGTCCGGCTACTACGCAGTCGATCATGCCGTAACCCAAAAGGACGACAATATTGAGTAAGACAACAATTCTAGACGGCCACCATCCTGTGACATAGCGTGTGAATACCATGGTCCGATTTCCACTCTTCGGCCCAAAGGTGGCAATGTATGCGACAACAAGACAGCCCACAGATACGCCAAAGACGGCCAGCAGACAGGAGTCAAGGAATCCGAGCGCGAAGACAGCGGGGCCCAGCATACCTAGGGTGATGTTGTTTGCAGCCAGGTTGACGCTAAACCACATGATAGCGACCTGCGAGTATCCCAGGAGGCGCAAGTCTTGTCGCTCGTCTGGCTCTACACGCTGAATGCCACGCGCCTCGAGGTTGTATTCCACGAGCTGCCTCTCGAATGCCTTGAACGTATCTTGCCATCCCCCATTTCGTAAGCGCTCGTCGATTCCAGCATCACGCGTGCTGATAGGCAGTTGTAGTTGCAGTTCATTGCTCGCATTCGGCGCAACTTTGGTCTCGTCATCGTGGGTGTTGTTCGTGCAGAATTCTACCATGACAGCGACCTACACCCATTAGCAGCAGCCTTGGGGGAAGGGCGCAAAGCATGAGTCCTTTCGCAGGCTTTAACCTGATCAAGTTCAGACCGTATATCTCAGATCGCCGCCATCAGGAATGATGACGGGCGAACACCGGTCTCATGCATATTGCTCAGACGTTACCTTGATCGGGTGGCTTCCTGGTACTCAGCTGCATTTTGGCTGTGTGGCTGTGTTACCGTACTTGAGATGGACAATGACGACGACAAGCGGAGAATCGTCAACTGACTGGCGTTGAGTAGAGACCGGGAAGCTGGCCTGGGAGTGAAGCTTGATCATCGGCCCCGCTATCGCGATCCTGTCGTTGCCAACCCCTGCGCCTTTCCCGTTCCCATATGTACGCTATCTATCACCAAACCCGCGCCGTCATCCGTCGTCGGCTTGCGCCAATGCCTGTAAATGAATATGTATCATCGTTCTTTTAGCTGAATATAGAGACCAAGTACCTAGGTATTGCGTGTTGTCATCCTCGTCATCTCATCAAAAACTTATGGCGTGCAGCCACCCGCATGGCTCCCTCAAAAGTCCCACGCCATGCCTTTTCCAAGGCGCTGCATATGCAGCTGCGCTTTTTCGTCTAGTACATGTCATACAGGCGTTCTATACCCGGGATTGGTACTCAAGCCATCGTCGAGCAGGCACAGACCGGTCCGACCACATACAGATCGACGCTTCTTTCTGCCTACTATGTCATCGATAGCGCTCTCTGTACTCCACATCCTATCGCGACCCGGTTTTGCTGAGTGATCTAATGCGGGCGAATGCTAGGACGACACTATCGGATAAAGCTTTAAGTACCCAGCGAGACACATGAGCCTTCTAAAACCTCGCATCCAAAGTGCAATCTCTTCAAGAATCTGCGTCATGAGGTTGGCAAAAGGCTGGTTGTTGCTCGTTGGCTTGGTTCCATCCTTAACGTTCGCTGCGCCAGCGTTTCACGGACGAGACTACAATAGCACGTGCAAGAGGACCAAGGTTGCGATCATGTATGTTCCGGGCTACCGATCATAGAGCGTATAGACTGACTGATCATAGAGGTGGAGGTGTTGCTGGCATTACAGCAGCAGTAAGTAGTCCTAGTCGCGTGATAGCTTGAGGCAGCAGTTTGAAACTTCAACGATTGCCGAGCAATTCGAACTGCGGAAAAATATACAAGCTCTTTCTGATGTGTATGCTGACTTACCTAGCAAGCGCTGGCGAATCAGTCCGTTACTGATTTCCTAATCCTCGAGTATCAAGACCATATTGGAGGTCGTATGCGAAATACAAAGTTCGGCTCGGATCCCGACGGGAACCCTTACACGGTCGAACTGGGTGCAAATTGGATCTCTGGACTAGGTCAGGATACTGATGGTCCTGAGAATCCGGTTTGGACATTTTCGAAACAGGTCAATCTAACGAGCCCAAACTCTGATGCTTTCTCCATTGCCACTTACAACGAGACTGGGGCTGTCGATTACACGGACATCTTAGATGAGTTTGAGGACTACTGGTCCAAATTCGAACAGAGCGCTGGTACAATACTATCCGAGAATTTACAGGACAGGAGCTTCCGTGCAGGACTATGGCAGAGTGGATGGCGACCAAAAAGCGACCCCACACGGAAAGCAGTTGAGTATTATTTGTGGGACTGGGAAACCGCCCAGGTAAGATCTCTAAGCATGTATATGTGCAGACGCATCCTAACTTCATTTTTTTAATCTAGTCGCCCGAGGGATCAAGCTTTGTCTATGGAATCGCAGGGTACAACTTCACCTACTACGGGTTTTCCGAGATGAGCAATTGTAAGTCGTGATCTCAACTCTCAACCAATCTATCTCTAACTTTGCTTCTTTTGCAGTCTGCACCGACCAACGCGGCTTCAGCACTTGGTTGAAATACCAAGCGGCTGAATTCCTACAACCTAACGACCCTCGTGTATTGTTGAACACAGTTGTCACAAACATCATCTATTCCGATACCGGCGTTCATATCGCTACTTCTGATGGCTCCTGTGTCGAAGCCGATTACGCAATCTCCACAGTTTCTCTCGGTGTACTGCAGAACGACGCTATCACGTTTGAGCCTGAACTTCCCGAGTGGAAGCAGTCCGCTATTGCCAATTTTCATTTCGGAACATATACAAAGATATTTTTTCAGTTCAACGAGACATTCTGGCCAGAAGACAAACAATTCTTCCTCTACGCAGACCCCACAACACGCGGCTACTACACAGTCTGGCAGAGTCTGTCAACGGAAGGTTTCCTCCCTGGGTCGAATATCATCTTCGCCACAGTGGTCGGCGACCAATCCTACCGTATCGAAGCACAGGATGACGAAACCACAAAGGCAGAAGGAATGGCAGTGCTCCGAAAGATGTTCCCTAGCATCATTGTCCCAGAGCCCATAGCATTCACGTACCCGCGCTGGACTCAAACTCCATGGGCCCGTGGTTCGTACTCGAACTGGCCCGCTGGCACGACGCTTGAGATGCACCAAAACCTTCGCGCGAATGTTGGAAGACTGTACTTTGCTGGTGAGGCTCAGAGTGCACAATACTTTGGCTTTTTGCATGGCGCGTGGTTCGAGGGCCAAGAAGTTGGAGAGCGCATCGCTGGCCAAATCACGACGGAATGCGTCAATCGTCCAAGCGGTTGCGGCGCGTATAACCGCTATGAGGTTCTGCATGGCACGACCGAGTTCTGGGAGGTCAATGCTTTCAATGGGATGGGAACGAGCCCCTTCTTCGTTGCTAATAGTGTTGTTGATGCAGAAGGTGGTGACGCGTAATCAGAATTTCTCATGCTGATCAATGTCTCGGTGGAGACGATTAGACCGCTTTTAACGGGGTTTCTACCCCAGTTCAGATGAGTGTGGTCAAACGTGTGGCACGCAATTAATATGATCGCCCTCTTCCCTGCGGCTTACACATGCTCCAACACCTTGGGACTCGTAGCTATCGCACTAGTGACCAACAACACGAAAAACAAACGCGGCTCTATGATTTTTAGTGACCGAAACAAGCAGTAATGACCGTGGGAAGTCGATGAATGCTACTATTGCATCAAATCAATGCCAGACATCAAGCCTGGTTGTCAATTTCACAGCACTGAATCATATCTCAAAAGCCCGTAACTAAACTCTGTATTCCTTCGTGTATAATGCAATCGATCATATCTAAGTCTATACGTATCTCCAAGACCTAAAAACTAGGAGCTAGGGAAAGGGGTATACGGCTGCGGCTGCGCAAGTGCGAATGTGCCATTCGCGAAGTTCAGCTTCCTAACCTTTGTGTTACGCAAATCGTCAATACCAGTAAGCGAAGCATCCGCATAGTACAGCAGCCAGTCGCCCTTGAACTTGACAATCGATTCGTGAGTAGTCCATCCCTTAACCGGCTGTAGCAGTGTGCTCTTCCAGTAAAACGGACCCTCTGGCTTCTTTCCGACGGCAATCTCGATGGTGTGCGAGGTACCGGTCGAGTATTGGAGATAGTACAAGTTACCGACTTTGTTGATAGAGGGAGCTTCAAAGTAGCGACGCGTGCTGTTCGCTTGCATGACTTGGCCGTCTTTGTCATAGATAACGAGTTCCTTTGGTTCGGTGGCCAAGTGGGTCATGTTGGCGGAGAGCTTGGCGAAGCGTGGGCCAAGTGCTGGGCCGGACGAGGGTGAAATGTTACCGAAAGCAGAGGTGTTCTTTTGGTGGGTTAGTATCAATTTTTTCCTTCAATTCCCAACGGGTAATAATGTCAGCTTGTGCTTACCAGAGTGTTGTTGGGCCATGCCTGGAGCTGGCCGCCCCACAGACCACCAAAGTACATGTAGTAGCATCCGTCGTCGTCAGCCAAGATAGCGGGGTCAATGCTGTAAGCACCAGGGATGTAGCTTGGCTCGGCCTTGAATTTTCCGTCTGGCTTGTCAGACTTGGCTACTCCAATCCTGAAGACACCGTCCTTGTCCTTGGCGGGGAAGTACAGGAAGTACTCGCCGTTCTTTTCAGCCACATCTGGAGCCCAAAGTTGTTGCGAGGCCCATGGGATATCCGGAAGGTCCAGAATCTGGATGGAGTTGTTAGAATGCAACCACTCCAGAAATGAGGTTAAGAGCAAACAAAGCCTTACCTTTGGTCCAACCGTAGCAGGCTTGGTGATGTCGACTTGAATGAGCACATAGTAGTCTTTCATGTCATATTGCTGTATGCCCCATTAGCTTTCGCCGACATAAATACGAGCGTCAAGACTAACCACCGGGGGATTCTTTGTCGAGTTTACGTCGTGGGACCCGTAAACGTACACGGTGTTGGGATCATGCTTCCAGACATGGGCCGCGGGATCGCACTGGTGGAAAGTGTTGATCACCGGGGGATCGTAAACGGCGACAGACATCTTGGACTAGGTTGAACCGATCACGAGCAAAAGCTTGGTGAACTATCTTGACAGGTGCAACGCGTGGAGTAGGATGGCCCTGACATCTCCATCTGTGGGGATTAGGACCTTTATGCCCCCAGAAGGGCCCCCAGAAGGGCCCCCATTGTGGCTTGACTTAGTCAGTTTAGTACAAAACGATGTCATCGCCCCCTTCCGATCTTTAGGCTAATCTTAGGGAAAAACATAGCAGACGTGAGACTTTCTGACGTATCGTCTGGGGAGTTGGGCTAATCGAGTTGTGTGCCTGCAATGAACGGTACGGTCAAATAATCGAATAAGCACCGAAATTCGTGCTGTTCGGGCCGATTGGTTCGTCCGTCCTATGCTGAACCTTCCACACAAGCCTCAAAACCGTTGTTCGTGAACTGCCAACCTCAGGCAAAAAAAAACTTCCGCCACCCATTTCGAACACCCTAAAAACGACGGCGACACCGCCAAAAACATATTGCATCGGCCGGGAATCGAACCCGGGGCTAGCCGAGACTGTCCTGCTTACTGCTGTTGCTATAGAAGCTGGATGGCAACGGCTAATTTTACCACTAAACCACCGATGCTGGGTGATCTGAACCGAACTGTTGCTCGATTGATGGCAAATAGATGATTTTCATCTTATCTATCCTCATAGAATTGCCGTGCAGATGGTGATCAGCGTTGGTTTCTCTACTGTAGACGCGATATGCGGTGTGGCGGTGAACCGAGTGGGGGTTCCTAAGTTCTAGACCACGCAAACAATGGCTCACTAACTTTGGTTGGTTTGGACGATTTATCCGCTTGTAAGAGTGACCGGTCGCACGAATACATAGCACGTATTTTCACCGGATGCGATACATTAATTTGGGACCGAGTGCACGGGAGAGTGACTCAGGAGGTCCGAGGTAACGTAACCAGGTCCGCGGCAGAGGCGCGGGAACGGGTAAATCCCAAAGACTTGGCTTGCTAGAAATGCCCGTATTGAGCGAAAGTACGGAGGCGACTGCCGTCGTGGGGTAGCGCTAGGTAAAATGTTTGCGGTTCAACGGAACGGACGTCGATGACGTTTGCAGCTTGCCAGCCAAAGCACTCAGTTCTGAGGTTTCTCGGCGCATTTTGCTGCGTTGACTCTCCCAGTATCGCCGTTCGGCAAGACAATGAGCTGATCTATACGTGTGCCTATAGGTATACATAATGCGGCTACTGTATGCCTTGTATTAATATGCTTACCTGGTATATCAGGGTCCAGCTGGTCTATTTTCGTCGCCAGACGATGCGCGTTAAAGCATCACTTTACGGCACGTGGGCAATGTATTTATCGGAGAATTTCACCAATGTTCCGTATTATCCTGCAACCAAAGAGTATCTATACGAGCTGCAAGCTACATCGTCCATAATACCAACCAAACCCCGATAGTATATTCATTTGAAGTGACGTTGGTATTCAAGCTTGGGTATCCCAAGGTGATAAAACGAATTGGCCGATTCCTCGCTTTCCCATATACGCAAGAGTCAATCAGACATGCCAGTATGTTTATACATGCCTTGTGCAAAGTGGACATTGTCAGAGGTACATGTAGTTAGAAGAACGAAAGGTACATCTCAAAAGGATCCTGCTCAACCAATGTACATTTGAAGACGCTCTGTCTCCCGTTCTTGCTACCCAAATTGTCATTGCTTCCATCATGGCGAGCTCTCGGCCTCACATCAGCTTACGGTCGATATTGCACCTTACTCTTGGAAGAAACAGACTTTGACGGGTACAATATAAAAGGAAATGAATTTATTGTATGAGTCTACCGTGTGTTTTTGCACTATATGCCACAAGAGCAGGATAAAATCAGAGCACAAGGGTCATTTCATCCAAATCAATATCAAGCCCTGAGCTGAGCTGAGGAACCTGGGTATAGTTGCTCTCGTCCAAAAGCTTCCTGGTGTGTTTCAATGTCTACTGAGCGTCAGAATATCAATCTCACCAAGCGTCTAGGCAGATACGGTCAACACTCACCTCAGCATAACTTGGATTCTGACTACTCTTCATCATCTCCAAGAACGCCCATGTCATTGCTCCAGTTGCTTGCCCGGCAATCTTCGCATCTGCACTGGTCTGATCATCCCTACATCCGCTGAACATGGTAACCATCTTTTGCTCACTTCCATACTGTCCCGCAAACTCACCGCTTTCCAGCCCTTCCTCTTGTCCCTCACCAAAATGACGGAGACCTTTGAAGAAACTGCTGGCGCCGGCGAGCAGTTGCTGCGCCTCGCCAATCTTGTTGTATGAAAATCCGCCAGAGATGATGTCACGAGCTTCGCCTGCGAGGTAGAGCCCGGTCTTGAGGTTATCCATCAAGCTGATCTGGCCTTCGCTGTCGGAACGATATACGTAGGGAAGTTCAAGTGCAGAGCCAGAGTGACAGCAGTCCATAATTACGAACAGTGTACAGTCAGGCGCCATGCGCGTGACAAGATGCTCGTGCAAGATGGTACTAGAGATTTGACCCCTCTGTTCAAAATCAACAGGAACAATAGATGCATCCAAGCCAGTAGAGCCCCTGTTCCCGTCCACATCTTCGATTTGCCCACCATGTCCAGAGTAGTGCAGGAAGAGTGTACAACCGGGTTCGGAAACCAGCCAGTCGATTGCTGCGATGAGATTGTGACCGTTCGGGTAGTATGGTGAATCGTAGGATACCTCTGGACGGTCGGAGAGGATGACTCTATCTTTTTGGGAGTTGTTATAGCCGCGATAGGACAGGAAATCCGCCATGTTGTCGACATCGGAGTGGCAGCCACGTAGTTCATGGCTGCTGCCGACATAGTTGATACCGATGAGGAGACTCTTCTTGCGTTTGTAGGACATCTCGAAGTTGATTATAGCGGTGTATAGATGTATCGTAATAACAATATTTCAATTTCGGCGTAGTTGACAGAGTGGCGGAGGTGTGGCGGAGACAGACGAGTAGCTTTATGAAGTGGAGGGGTACGTGAATGATGTGGCCGATCGCTGCCCGATCGCTACTACAGTAGTCGGACATTATAATTGACGCGTTCCGCTCCGCTGCATGAATGATCGTACCTGACAAAACACCGCAACATTAGTGCACGGTACGGTGAACAGAAGCACACACAAACATGTTCTCTTTAAGAGCACTCTGCATGTCGGGTTCCCACAAGTTCACAGCGTCATCAGCGTTGATCCCCACATAAAGGGCCATTTTGGCTTCGTTTCATACTAAAAGCACTGCGCGCACGACAGAGCGACAAGAAAAACCTGCAGAAGCATTCGTGCCACTCTCTTCTCAAAATTTGGTCTTAAGCTCACCTCTAAACCCTTTGCGCATATTCTCATGGAGCATAGACGGCATTGCTCCGTTTACCTGGCATAGACTAAACGACATGTTCCGTAAAGACGACGAGAAAAGAGGCGTAACAGCGTAAAAGAAGAATTACCGCAACTCTATCTCAGAGGATTTCTGCATCGTCACAATTGGCCACCTGTGCTTTTCCTTCAAGACGTCAAGATTGCCACGGAAGCCAGCGCAACCCAAACCGCCGTTGAAGCAGCAGTGAACACCAGTCAACCATGGCACTACACCTTACATGGTATCGATAGCCCATTGTATAAAGTACACTTTACACTACCCCGCCCATGTTGGTGAGGGAGGATTCAGCGAAGATTGGGAGGAGGCACGGAGTCGTGACTGTTCTACGTGATGATCTTTCTGACTTTTACAACGTCGCGGTACGGACTGTAGATTGGGACAAAGAAGGTCGCGTCGCAATGGTGAGACTCCAGTCGAAGACCGATCCTAAAGCAAAAGTGGTCATTTACAACATCCTTTCTGTCGCAGGGAGCGGCCTTCCGTATCGAGATCCAGAAAGTGGTGTTAAAAGAGATACGAAACATGATCGGAAACACGAGTTTCAGAATCTATTGATGCGGGAGTGCAAGAGGCACGAGGCGGAAAGATGGAATGTGCTGCTTGCGGGCAATATGCATGTCGTGCTCGATGAGCTCGACACAAAAACTCGTTCAGGTGGTATGCCTTTTGAGCATATCGTAGCCTCTAAAAAGTTCAACAAAAAGATGCTAACGGGGGGAGACGAGAAGCATGGCGGATTCAAAGGCGTTGATATTTGGAGAAAGATGAATGAACGCCAAAAACAGTACACTTTCATTCCACGCGTCGGCGGGACGCAAAGGCAATCGGATTTTTTTCTTGCAGGGAGTCAAGCTTGGGAGAAAGGATGCGTCAAAGATTGGAATTTTGGATAGTGAAGCAGATAGGTTACCCAGTGACCATGCGCCGATATTCGCGGTTTTTGAGGTCAAGGGAGCAAGCAAATGATAGAAAGACGGGATAACGCTAGGAATATATCGTTCTGTTGAGAAAGAATGACTCTCTCAGTCATGGCATGTAAGTGTGTCAATTGCTAACTATACAAAGCTCGGCTAATATAGAGCGGTGTGGGTCACGTGACTTAGCGTCCTCGTGACAGGTGACCGGAATATTCTCAACACTCCCCCATAAGCCGATCAGCTGTACCCACTACTTTGTATAGGTCTTGCAGTCAAAGCTTCTTCTCCCTTTATATGCTTCCACTGAACGCCTTGCATGCACTTTCCAACACTCCCCCAGAAGTGCCTTGTCAACAAGAATGAAACCTCCCTGTCACCCTATAGTGGCCGTTACGTTGCGAGTCCCTCAAGTAAAGTGAGGTATCGGCCGAGTGAAGAGTTGAGGAAAGAAGGTCGAGAAAGAAGGTCGAGAGAGAAGGTCGAGAAAGAAGGTCGAGAAAGAAGGTCGAGAAAGAAGGTCGAGAAAGAAGGTCGAGAGAATTTTCGCGTTTGAAAATCAAGGTAGAATCGATATCACCAACATACCGACTCTCCCTCGACTCCTACGTGAGAGTCAGCGCTCCCTCAGCTTGGTACTCCCAGTACTCTAGCTGTGTACGCTCTCCTCTGTCCCAGCGCTCCCCCAGCTTGGTACTCCCAGTACTCTAGCTGTGTACGCTCTCCTCTATCCTAGCGCTCCCCTAGCTTAGTACTCCCAGTACTCTAGCTATGTACGCTCTCCTCTCTTGTTGTCCCCGCTCCGTTCCTCCGCTCCTGCCTCCTTGTCTGTGTCCTATTCAGGGCTCCAGACCCTAACACCCTTATTCTCCCCCATCGTTATATAAGCCTTTGCTTCTTTGCGTTTATTTAACGAAATCCTTTGGAAAGAAGATAAAAATCGATCGAGAAATCGGGTGGGGGTAGGTGGGTAGCGTTCGAGAGAGTAAAAAAACTTCGAGCACCGTCAAACGGTAGGTTTTCGAGTTTAAGGAATTGAAAGTAGCTGTCGAACTGTAGCTACTAGTTTAAAAAGAAGGTCTCGAAAGGTTACTATCGATAGGCAGGCAATTCGAGTTGTTTTCGGAAGAATCGATGGTTACCGTCGGTAGGTAGGTATTCGAATCGTTGTCAAAAGGTTGGTTGAAAAGGGATAGAGCAACCATTGCTCTCTTCGACTCGCGCGTCGGAATTGGGTATAACTCGCCCAAGGTATCTTCGAGACGCTCCCAGCTTCTCCGGACGATAGTCCATTTTTCTTCGGACTTAATACCCTTCGCGGTAGCCAGGGCGACGGCCCAGTGTCTTCAGGACTTAATACCCTTCGCGGCAGCCAGGGCGACGACCCAGTGTCTTAGAATATAGAAGGCGACGACCTCCTGGGTTGTTCTGGCGTAGACACGCATATACCAGCTTGCTGCCCATATCGAAGAAACGACACTCCGGACACTCACAATGCACACGCAAGCGCGTAAGCCGGGCTCATAACCTGTTGAGAAAGAATGACTCTCTCAGTCATGGCATGTAAGTGTGTCAATTGCTAACTATACAAAGCTCGGCTAATATAGAGCGGTGTGGGTCACGTGACTTAGCGTCCTCGTGACAGGTGACCGGAATATTCTCAACACGTTCTGTATCAGTGCTCGTTGTTGCGCTTCACCTCATGGCTTACATAAAATGGGGAAAGAATCATTGATAGCCGACATACATATTTGATTTAGATGATCACGTCCGAAAATAATTGAGTGCCAACTCTTCCAATTTAAGATGCAACTGGGCATGGTGGTGAGGCTGGAGCAGATGTGCAGGAAGCGGATTAATCCCCATTCGGTTAGCGCGGCACAGGCTAAGCGAGGGTCGAAATTCAGATCAGAGAGAGTTCGACGCCGACGACCTAGCAAAGCCAACCCGACAAAGCCACACTCAAGACCACCCCGCCGTCAACCTACACTTCGATCAAAATGGAGAACGAACGCGGAGAGCTCGTTGACTGTAAGAAGCATCCTCTACTGGCGCACCCATCCAGATGATTTGCATACCGCGACTGCCTCCGCCGCTCATGGAAATATCTCTGCGGAACATATTGCTAACTCGCCCACAGTGTACATCCCCCGCCGATGCGTTAGTCTACCTCGATTTCTTATCTGAAGTCTTTGCGATACTAATTCCTTCAAGTCGGCTACCGGACGCATCATCAGGGCCAAGGACCACGCCTCTGTCCAACTGAGCGTTGGCAAGGTTGACGAGAACGGCCGCTACACTGGCGACAACCAGGTCTACGCCATCTGCGGTTTTGTACGCGCCATGGGCGAGTCCGACGACAGCTTCAACAGGCTCACACAAAAGGACGGCTTCCTCAAGTCGGTCTGGAGCGCGTCCCGGTAAATGGTTGGCATTATGGAGTTGAAGTATGCAAGCGGAGAATGTCTCGGGAAAAAGGACGCGGGCTGACTGGAAGCAGGGATTCGGAATCTGAACTGCCTCTCCAAGACGGAGGCTTGCATTTTACACCGACTAAGGGCCTTCACTTCCTTTTCCCGCGGATCAACGATATCACGAGGAATGGGAACTGGTTGAGATATGAATACGATCAATTTCACATAAGCCCGGTCATAATACATGCAACGATCCAGTTTCGATTGTGATGTACGCCTTTGATTTGGATGCGGCGTTGGATGGAAGGCAGTCTAATCTAACCTAGCTATACTGACGACTGCGAGAACCAGGCTACGCCATGTACTGGATGCTGTTAAGCGACATGGTTGCTCGAGATCCTTCCACATCGACCAACCACGTATCACTACACAACGATAATGCTTGTACCACGCCAGCAAGCACTCGCATTCTGCTTCCAGCTTCGTATATGCACTTTTCATTGATGCCTAGCATTGATGCCCAAAGCCGTGACCTCCGTACCGCGCCGCCTACACATGGTAATCCTTACACGTACATTTCGCACACCGAAGAAGCAACTGAAACAGACCATCGTGCATGGCCGCGTGGTCGTGAGATATCGTATCGCGAATCTTGGCGAATAGTTCATTCATTCGCGATAGGCATCTGGTTTCCGTGTCTATTCTCATTAGGCAACACAGGTACGCATGGCGCTTACCTTACACCACATACTGCATGTACATTCTCGCTGTGTTCTAGTCCAACGTACCGAGATCATCATCAGCCCACCACACCTCGCTAAAGCACAGATCCCCGCAGAGCACATCTGCCTATCGCGTCCCATGCTGCGGTAACCGTCCGGCTGGGCGAGGCTGGGTGTAACAATAGACGGGGGCCCACGACAGGGTCTAGATCTATTGCGCATTCGGGCCCCAAGTGGCAACCTATGTGACGAAAGCCAAAGGTGCCAAATGAACGGTCTTTTTACGCGCGTAACCGTCGATCAGACTGCTAATAGCTAGGTATCTCGGGAGTACTCGGTATGGCATCCGCAGGTAGTACACATCCAGCCCATGTGACAACAGCAGCCGCAACAACATGGAGTATTCATTCGACAATCCACATTGAAAATGTGGCTACCCAATACAAATACTCGTTGACCTTTTTTCTGCTCTCCTTCCATACAACCCCTGCAGTTGCCATCTTACGTGCAGTCTGCAGTATTGATCCTCAACAAAGTCCCATCTTGGGGATCAGTGGGATCGCGGGGTTTGAGCAACGGAGGCGTAGCGGTCCGCTGGGAAGGCACGTCAGGCACACCGATCAACAAGGCTGACTGACCGATCAGAGAAGGGGTTACATGTCTGTGTATGGTATGCGTGTATGTGTGAGGTGTGGAGGAGGCCGGGCTGGGAGGGTGGAATGATACAAAGTGGGAAGGTAAATTGTAGGTACCTTTTCGGCATGTTGTACAACGTAGATGGACTAGTTTCATTGTCTAAAAATCAGATGATTAAAGATTGTGGGGTAGTACAAATCAGAGAGATCCCTGAAATGCTTTTGCATGGTATTTGTTCAAGTGGCAATGGGCATTGTCGTTTGTGAGGCGGGCTGTGAGGCGCAATACCGTTGATGAATAAAAGGACCGAAACGTGGCAAACGCGACGACGACTTATTGTCATGCAACTCTCAACGTTTAGCCTTGCTTTTTCGGCAACATGCCGTACCGGTAAATCCTTTCTTGGTTCTGATTACTTGTGCGGTATATGCCGTGGTTACACCCCCGCCCAGCCACCCGTTTCTTCCCACTAGTCTGAAAGAGGAAATGCACGATCGGGAGATTGAGGATATAGGTTTGGATAAGCAGTTTTGCGTGATTGGTCGTCGGGTGGATGTAAGCGATGGAATTTTTGTTCGTACATACATACTTAGGTTAACCATGCAACCAAGCACCAAGCACCGTCTGGACAACGGTAAGGCTGCAGATACGCTAATGTCAAAGCAAATAAGCGCGTTTTTAGTAAATGGAAACTTCGGCGATAAAAAAAACATCACACCTACATACACCTGAGTATGCGAGTCGTGTTTGCGGGAATATCGTTGTATACATTATTAGTACACATATGACAAGATGGAATTGCTTCTGGTTATGCGACTTGCGCGCATCTGGTATTCTTTTCCCGCTCATGCCGCCCTCCGCCCAGCGTTAGCATGTCCGAGCAACGCTGATGTGGGGAGAGAGCCCCGAACCACTAAAAAAAACCCCAAAGACAAATACATCTACTGCAGACATGAAGAAAAGCCGGATCGTGAGTCCATTAGTCTTGCGCGACCTAACACTAGAAACTAGGATTGTACAAAAACACGTGGCCGACCCACGTTAGACCCCAAGTCAGCGTCCCGCATCCGCGGACGCGGGCTGATTTCGAGGGTGCATGCTACCTAGCTTGGCGCGCATACAGGCGGTGTGATTATGCATATGCGGGCAGCTCCGTAAGTACCTCGTAGCGACCATCGGGCGTAAGAATACTGGGATATTGTGATGTCAGAAATTGTGGAAGAGTGATGTCAGACCGCTTTCACAGGGCTGTGTGAGAGACCATGGCTGAGCTGAAGCGCTGCCCGGACGCCATACGTCTATCTAGCCTGCGAGAATGGTCAGGAGACGTGGTGATTCTTGACCATGACTTGCTGAGTTGCGTTATTTAGACGACGCATAGCACTGCCCTATGATTTACGTGTCGGGGTTGTTGTCCCGGAGCCGGGTGGATGATGATCTGAAATCGTATCAAGAGCGGCGCTGCGTACTGCAGAGACGGCCTTACTCTCCTTTACCTTCCAATCATCACCTTTGCGTACGAGCTTCGATCGGTCCTTCTCTGCCTTCTTGAGAAGCATCTCCTGGATCTTCTCATCTCGCCGATTGCCCTGGACACAGTCGCAAAGACAGCCTTCAGTGGGACATGCCCCATCTGACAAGGTTGGGTCGGCAAACCATGTCGAAATGCAATTAGTATGTCCACCGTGCCCACATAGCGGACACCACGTCCAAAGTGTTGCTGTAGGCTGAGACCACTTGGCCGGAACTTTCGGCGATGGATCGTCAGCTTCGTGATCGGCATCAAGGTCTCGACACGTTGTGTGAGACGATCGGTGCCTCCGATGTCCCAGGTCATTAGAGTTTGAACGAGATTTCGACCTCTTCTTCTTCTTCTTGGCGGTAACTGGTTCGAAAGCGGAGTATTTAGCCCAACATATCGGGCATGGTGCCTGTGTACGCCTGCATGACTCGCAGCGCATTTTATCCTTCGGGTTGTTGATTGGTGACTTGCAGCTTAGGCACAGTAGTCCGACCTGGGTCTCTTTCAGGGCTTGCTCATATACAGCAGGGTAGGTCGGATATGCTAAACGGCGTAAGGAAGCCGCAGAATTGAACAGAGACAGAGAGTGCAGCTGGGCATGATAGGTGTGTAAGATAGACTCGGCTTGGTAAGGATTGACACCAGTGGCTATAAGTTCGCTTAGTTGTGTTGCGAGAATTGCTTTCGCTTGCGTTGGGGTTAGTCCGAGTGAAACAAAGGTATCAGCGAAGACATTGAGGACTTCTGCCACATCGGCACTCGGATTGTCAATCGAACTGTGCGTTTGCGGCAGTAATGGGGCCATGAGTAGAAGAAGAATGGATGAGAACTGTGCATCCGAGGCTTCAGCGTGATGGGTGAGGAGATTGTTCAGCAACCCAACAACAGAAAATGGCGACTCCACTTCGGCATCAATATGCATAGCCTGGAAATCAGACAACGTTAATGCATCGTTGGTAGATGGGTCAAGGACCGGAGGTGCACCTCCAGTGACATTTGGTAGAGATGTGATAGGCCTTGGGATATGTGGCGATCGTATCTCCTCAAATACATCAGGCACAATCGTTCCGCTGGCCTCCATTTCATGGTAATCATACGAAGATGATGAGATGCTCGTGAGTGCTTCGGAATCAGAACTGTCATGTCGAAGCAGCTGGTTGTTTCTTCGTAGATGCTGCATGTCGCGAATAGCCTTTTCTCCACTGCCAGGCTCATCTTCGTGGCTTAAACCATTTCGGGCCAAGCTTTGTGAATCATCAAGGCCTGAGCCAACACCGCTTGCGCCGAGAAGAACAGTCGTAGGAGATATGGAGATGCTTTTGCCTAACACTTCATCCCCCGTCACCCTTGGTTTACCGAAGCTGGATTTGTCCGGTAGCGCTTGCCAGTCCTCCGACAAAGCCTTGACACGGTCAAGCTGCGAACTGCCGCTCGCAAATGAGCTTGGCATCGAGTTGCCCTTTTGAGAGTCTGATGAGGCAGAAAACATGGTAAAGCTCTCTCCAGAGTCGTGTCGCTCTAGTGGACGTGGTACACTGATACTCATTCCTTGTTCATTGCTCGGTACAAGACTTAGTGGAATCCGTGGAGATGCTCGATAGCTACCGACCAAGGCCCGCCTTTCATCAAGGCCATCTCCGGTATGATACCAATGGGGTCCACTGAAATTTCTCTGCGATGATGCAAGCATTCTGTTCGCATCAGGTGGTGGTCCTGTAATAGAAGGCGGAAGCTGATCAATGTCTTCTTGGTCGAGGTCGAGCAGGTCTGGCCTCTGCAGATTGTTGCCGCCATGGGTCAGCACGGGGCGAGCGAGGGGCGTCGTAAGGTTAGAGGTGCTCTCCACCACCACTGGCTTTCGAGACGGAGAAGCTGGCTTGTCGAGTGTACCGAGAATGGCTCGCACTGCAGGATTTGGCGGCACTGTCAGCCGTTTGTCATGTGCGTCCACGAGGCCAGACGATACGTTGGGCGGCTTGTCAGACGGCCGCAACCTTGTTTGTTGTCTGTGTAACTCTGCTCGGCGGCGTGTGGCCACAGCAATGGATGTACCGACGACTCTCCATGACTGCGCTAGCCTGTATAAGGCTGCGCGCTGCGCATACTCTGCATTCTGTTGAAAGACGTGTTCTATTCGGAAAAAAGATTCCACGTCAGGGGGGTCGGAAAGCTGTATGGTTTTGTACTTCTGTGCCAGATAGGCAAAGATCTGAGTATTGGTCACGCCGGGTAGTATGCCTCGTAAGGCAACCTGATTCGGCCTGGATGACTCACTGTGCGCGACGACCGAGTCGCTGAGGAACATGACCTTTGGAGCAGTGTCCGAAGGTGGCGTGCTGCTGAATGACTTGGTTGACCTGTTACTTGCGGTGCGCCCATGGTGCCGCTTCATGGAAGAGGTGAGGAAGCTATCGTCCAGGCTGTCATCTGCTGAGTTTCTGAGAGTACCTTTCTCTGGACTATGCCGTCTATCGCGTGGATCGCCAAGGTATGCATCGTTTGTGTAGGCCAGACTGGCAGAGGCGCGCAGTCGAGGCCTCCTCTGTGCAACAACACTGACTTCCCCACTTGGTGATACTGCAAGCGCCTGTAGGTTGCGGCGGTCGAGTGTCTTGGGAGCATGGTGGACATCGTTTTGCTGGAAGATGCCCTCCTTGCCAACAGTCCATAGTGTGTCACGCGAATGCCAAAGCATGTCGGAAGGCGCGGTAGCAAACCTGTTAATTTCTCGAAAAGGCAGGCAAGGTCGACGAAAGTCCCAGACATGGATGGCAGGATGCTCGCGATCGTAAGATGTGGCCAGCTGTGTACACTGGTAGGCGCCCTTTTCGTGGTAGTCGTCAGACCAGTATGGTGGTCTCCATCTCGCCTGGTATACAGGAAAGGGCGTGTGTAAGACGAAGGCAGCCTTTTGGCGGCGTCCAGTAATGGAAAAGTCCCAGACCTTGACAGTTCGATCGACGCCGGCACTGAGCAGGTGCTTGCCGTCTGGATGCCAGTCAATAGAGGTGCAGATGCGTTGGTCGTGCGCTGTAATTTTCTGCTTGGGGCCCTTGTTATTACGAAAGTCCCAGCGCTGTATGGTGCCATTGTCGGTGCCAAAAGCGAATTCTACCGCGTCGGTAGGCGACCACTGGACATCACGGATACCGCCGTTGATGCCTGCATACTGATGGCGACTGCGACAGATAGTGACATCTCTGCGCATGTCGCGCAAGTCCCACAGGCGGACCGTGCATCGTGGCTTGCAGACAGCAGCAAGTGACCCTGATGGGATTGAAAGCGAGTTTGTGTACCTGACGCGTGTGCTCGTGCAGTCTAGTCAGC